TGCCGAAATTAGCTAAGTTCTATCCGGTAATATCGATCGCGTAGCTTAAGCTAGCCCCTAACCTAGTAAAGGACCCGTTCGTAAGACTATACGACTGTATCCTCGTACCGATAGACCTATAGTCCGAGTAACTAGCAATAACCTCTAAACGCGTTTTAGGGAAGCGTAGTTCTAGAGAAAAGACGGAATATCTAGTTAAGTAGAAGGACGAGCAGCCGATAATAAATAAATAGATTAGAGTAGACGACCTTCTAGAGAGCAACGCTTACCTAATCGACTAGTTCGAGGACTCCTAAATTACGGATAAGTAGATTAGTTAGATAAAACTATCCCTAATATTGCGAATACCTACGTAGGTCGCGCCGATAGCAAAGCGACTCTAGCCTAATAACAATAAAGGGGAATAGCTATAGCGAGATATATAGCCTATAAGACGATAGCCGCTAAAAGGAGGTAGAAGGCCGAACTACGCGGAAGATAGCGACCCTAAGTCTATTAAGAAGGTTACCTAACCCGACGCCTAGGAAGCGTAGATAGGTTAGTCGGCTACCGATATAGACCCGAACCGGCTAACTTCGCTAGTAAGCAAAAATGCTACGTTAAGCGAATCGATTAGCTTAGACGTATATCGCTTCCGCGATAGCGGCAGCTACGACGCCTAGAAACAGGCTAAGACCTTAGGTCTACTAACCGTATCTAACGCCTAATCGCGTAAACTAAAGGCTAGGGCGCTTATCCCGATAGTAAGACGCCTTACTAAGGAGGAGATCTAGCGATAGCGAGATACTCTAGCCCTACTAAATATATAGGTAGGGGCGTATCGTAGAATCCTCTATAACGATACCTTGCCGTCCTTTTTTACTACGCTATATTTCCCTCTAATTACCGCGAATCGATACCTCGATCTATAGCTATAGGTTTTTCCCCTATTAGGAGAAATCTAAGAAGTTTTCTAGGAAAATTACCTAGACAGATCTTGTATATATTATAGACCTAGATATTAGGCCTAAGAGGCTACCCTATCCTTCTCCTATACCCTTACTTCCGACTATTCTAGCGCCTTCTATCTATTAGATATACGCGGCTAGAATAAGGTTTGCGTACCCGCGCGACTATTATTAAACGCGGTATATAGAAGCTTAGACTATATCGCCGAAGTAATATTTTAACTATCGCTCGAATTAATAATAATAATAATATATATAGCTACGAGGCGCAATAAGTATACGAGGCGTATAACTATAGCTATCTATATTATAGTAATATTAAACAAGCATTATAAAGAAGCATTACTACGTTACGAAAACTTTTTTACCGATCGCGACGATCCTATCGATAGGATCGCTTAGGATCCTTAGGATCGTACGTTAAAGATCTTATCTAATAGGATCGCCGCGATCTAGAAATTCCGACTACTTACGATCCTATCCGATAGGATCCTCGCGATCGCGAATTTCGGGACAGCCCGTTCCGAAATTCGAGGGTAAGGAACGTAAAGGACGCGGGACAAGTACTACTACTCTATATATATCTACTACTACGAGGTATTTCGGGGTATTACGCACTTATATAGGTCAAATTTAGCGGTTTCGTAGGTTTTTTTTATAAATAAATTTTTTTCGTTAAGGTTTCGTTAAATGTAGCCGATATTTCGTTAAGGTTTCTTTCAAAAGCCGACGCTTAATAAGCAGAACTTTAAAAAAAAGTACACTCGAAACACTCGAGATTCTTTTCTAGATTCTAAGATAACTACTAGGTATTATAACTTAAAAATTTATAATACTCTTATAAGTATATAGAACTTTAAGTTCTATTTTTTAGATTTCTAAAAATAGTAAAGTATAACTTAGAAAAGCTAAAATACTATATTGCTTATTTCTCTTCCCTAGCTTTAGTTTCGTAGAAAATCTATAAATTTTATATTTTTTTATAATAATATACTAAAAATAGAGTACCTTTCTACTATATTACTAAGCTATAACCCTAGTAGAAAAAAAGATAAATTAGAAGCAAAATGTCTAAAAAAGCGATTTTCTTTCCTTTATATCTTTTTATCTAGAAGGTTTACGGCTTAGTAATATATGACAAAAATGTTTTATTTTTAGTATAGTATTAGGTAAAAGTCTAACTTTTATAAGTTACCTATTTATCGTTCTAGGATCGCTCGGGATCGCTCGCGATCGCTTGCGATCGCTAGGATCGATAGGATCGTTACGATCGGAAAAGAAGTTTTCGTAACGTACCGATATAGCCGGAGGGTCGAAGCTTTAGTAGAAGCGCGGCGCGATAATGTTCGGTTAGGAAGATACGCCTCTACTAGAGTATACGCCTCTACTAGGCGGTATCCCCGAAACGCCTCCGTCCGGCTAGGTAACAATATCGCTATAGCGCGGCGAAGACTCTAAGGGAATAGAATAAGGTAACGAAGTAGAGAATAGAGAGAATTCTAAGGTAATAGAAATAAATAGAGAAGATAGTAATAATAACTATAAGGGAAATAGAGGACAGGAGCCTATTCCTAAGAATAAAGAGAATAAAAATAAAGAGAATAAGAATAAAGAGAATAAAAACGAAGAAAATAAAAATAAAAAAACTAATAATAAGGAAGAGGAGCTTATTCCTAGAACTAAGAATAAGGATGCTACTAGAAATAGGGGAAATCCCGAGGATAGTTAATCTACTACTCTAAATAATAGGAGAGTAGTAGTAAGGCAGGCTATACCTACTAATAGGGAAGAGTAAGGATAGGATAACGATAAGGCTAAGAAAGAGGTTTCCGATAATAGCGGAGAAGAAGAGTAGGGTTAGTAGGCTACTAAGAGATAGGCGCCTAAGACGAAGCGTCTTATTATTGCACTACCTAAGCCGGGCGAAATCCTACGTATACTATACCTAGACAAGGTGCCGAGGTTTTCTAATATACTCTCGTATATCGATAGGGCTAGGTATAAGGCTAACGCCGTCTCGGACGTACTAGGCATACTAGTACGTTCTATTAATAGTATAATACGGCGCGAACACAAACTCCTATATAAGATTGTAACGAATAGTAGGCCGGAAAAGGCCTTAGTACTATAGTTACTTATAGCTCCTATCTACGCCGAGCGGTATATAGCTTTCGGCACTCCTCGAATCGAGTATACGCTTATACCTTAGGTTTATAAGACGATTAGCGCCTTAGGCAATCGCCTATATTATACCTTAGAGACTAGCTATAACGCCGACGCGCCGCACTATTACGATACCTACGATTAGTAGGGTCGCGAACGCCTCGACCTCTACGAATAGAAGCTTCGCGATAGTATAGAGACTAAGGCTAGACGCTAGGTCTATCGTAAGGAATCGAGAGAAAAGGGCCTTAAAGACGATAACTATAAGGCCCTATAGATCGAATCGGAGATAGAGGGCGAGCGCGCTACGCGTCTCGCTAATATTAAAAAGGCCTCGAAGGCTAAGCTCGACTAGTATAAAAGGAAGTTTAGAAAAAAGGATAATAAGGGCCGCGACGTATATAGATAGATAGATATTTCATTTGCCTATTGTAGTGCCTTTCGGCCTATACAGGTCTGTTTCTATATATTGTTTTAGGTAGGAAACCAACTTAGTTAGTAAAAACCTCCCTCCTGTCCTATTTATAAGTGCTAATCTTCCTCGTTTCCTTATTTTCCTTCCTCTAGGGTGTACTAGTGTTATAGTTGTTACCCTCTAACTACCTTGCCTGCTGCCCTGCCCTTCTTTCCCCCTCTTCTTCCCTCCTTCTTATCTACTCTTTAGTTTCCCTTACTAATACGAATTGTTATACGAATCCCTATTTAATAATCTACTTTACTATCCTCTTTAGGTCTTCTTTGCTCTAGATTAGCTTGTCGTATTCCCTTTCTATTGCTTTTAGTCTCTAATTACTTCTACCTTCTAACTATTAAGGGCAGACTAGCAGTATATACTTAGGGTTCTGAGATTAGTAGCTATATTAGCAAGCTTTGCTTTCAATTCCTAGGACGTTTCTTCTAAATAGGTAAGATCTAAGTCTAATGTGTTTAGATCTGATTTAGATAGCTAGGCTTGCCTCGGCCCTGTTTAGGTCCTTATAGAGCTAGTAGTTATGTTGACCAAATTTGATTAGTGCCTTTAGGGTTCCTAGTCTAACTTGTGTTTTATTCTATTCCTGCTCCTATAGGTATCTAGCAATTGATTCTACTAGGCTTTGTTTCTCTCTCTTTAGCTTGTCCTCCTTTAGCCTTATATTTAGTCCCTAAAGCTCTTTCTTTAGCATTTCTCTTGTTAAGACTCTATATTGCTCTAGGTCTTTAACTTTCTAGGGAGTCATTTATAGTCTGTCTCGCCTCCTAGTCCTAATGTACTAGGCTTTTATCTTGTCTAGTGCCTTTTGGATAGTCTGTTAGGCTAGGTATTCTATTGTCTTTGCTATATATTAGTGTCTTAGTCCCTTGAAGTATTGTTTAACTAGTAGGATCCCTAATTCTATTTCTACTACCCTTATTAGTATAGTTTTGTATGCTCCTAAGATTTTCTTTAGGCTTTAGGTTTAGGACCTGCTAACTAGTTGCTTAATCCTCTTTAGTGTTTTCTCCTAGGCTGTCTATATCTGTGCTCTATATAGTATTGCTAGCTTGACAATTGCTTTGTATATAACTTTAGCTTTCTCGAATGTAGCCCCCTATATAGAGGCTATAAGCCTATTAATAGATTGTATGTTAGCATCTGCCCTCTGCTTTGCCTTCTTTACTTATAGTCCCTAATTCAGTTTTAGATCTAGCTAGATCCCTAGTACCCTAAGCTCTACTAATAGTTAGGTTTTAAAGCTTTAGATAGTAATTGATTGCTTTATATTATAGGTTGATTTAGCCTTATTAAAGTAGATAAGCTAGTACTTTTCTAGGGCGAATTTTGCTCTATACCTCCTTACCTATTTTTTATACTCCTAGTGCTTCTCTTCTAGGATCTTACAGTTGGTTTCTATTGTTTTAGACTAGGCTAGGATGTTTGTGTTATCTATAAACCCTAATGCTAATGTGTTTTTTAATTCTAGGAGTAGGAGTAGGTCTACTATAAAGATAAGGAAGAGGATTAGGGAGAGTGTTGATCCTTAGGGGATTCCCTTTTTAGTTAGCATTAGGTCTAATTTGAATTTGCTTAGAATAAGCTGTATTAATCTTTCCTATAGGAAGGACTAGATAAATTGGACTATCTAGTTTAGTATAGCTTTCTATTCGAGTATATATAGGAGCCTTTTATAGGAGACATTGTTAAAGGCTCCTAAGATATTAAGGGAGAGGAGGGTTGCTACCTAGTTTTAACTATAGTGCTAGATATGCTTGATCTGTTCTATAATTAGTTCTATAGCTATTAGTATTAACCTCTTCTTTCTTCCTCCTATCTAGCCTTTAGGGAGGATATTCCTTTCCTCGGTAAAGGTTGTTAGCCTTTTAGTAACAATTTTTTCTAGTACCTTGCCTATTATATTAAGTAGGGCTATTAGTCTATAGGCCTTAAGCTATATATAGTCTTCCTTCTAGGGCTTCCTTAGCACTACTATTAGGGACTTCCTAAATAGTCTTAGGTAGTGTCCTAGTGCTAGGCTTTATAAAAAGATATTAGCTAGTGCTAGGGCTAGCCCCTTCCTATATGCTTTTAGGAGTTTATTATAGATCTTGTCTTCCCCTAGTACCTTGTTTCCTAGAATTTTCTTTAGGATCCTTTTAATAGTTTCGGGTTTAACCTAGGTGTCTCTTAGTATGCCTAGTAGTAGAGTCTCTTGTTCTTTCTCCTTTATGTCTAATAGGTCTGCTTGTACTTTTCTATAGAAGAAGTGTTGGCCTAGGGCTCTTACTTTCCCTTCTATTATAGTCTACATTTGTCCTTATTAGTCTATAATATCCGGGAATTGTAGTAGTATGTCCTTGTCCTATTTAGGTCTCCTTGTCTATTTAGCTATCCTCTATATCTCCTCTAGTTTCTTTATAATTATTCCTATTATAGATCTCTATTCTTGTATCTTATCTTTCTTGATCTAGATCTTCTTTTCCTAGTAGGCTTTGTTATAGTTGTCCTATGCTTCCTAGGTATAGGTTTGTATCTACTGCCTCCTAGCCTTCCTTACTACTTTAACCTTCCTTATATACTTACTAGTCTAGTATAGTTACTAGTATAGTAAATGTTTCTTCGCTAGGGTATGCTTTCTAGCTACCTGTTTTAGGGTTCCTATTAGTTCTTCTACTGCCTTGTTAATATCCTCTAGCCTTAGTAGGTACTTTGTTAAGAGTTCCTTTAGTTTTAGGTCCCTTTCTAGTTCCTCCCTAATCCTACCCTATTAGGTACCTTTCTAGTTAAGCTTCTCTTCTAGTTCCCTTTCCTAATTGGCTTAGACATTCAGTTCAATCTATACTAGGAAGTGGTCTAATAATTCTTCTAGTTCCTAGTTAACCCTATATCTTATAATCCTATTCCTAATCTAATATAATGCAAAGTATAGGTCTAGTATACTGCTGCTTCCTCTTGCTTCCTAAGTAATTAGTCCCTTTAGGGTAACAATTTCTATTCCTTCCCTCTCTAATATGTTAATTAGTCTTCCTACTAGGAAGTAGTAAGCTAGGGTAAAGTCTAAGCCCTAGAGGGGGTAGTAGAGGTTGAAATCCCTAAGTAGGATTTAGTAGGTGTTCCCCTAGATAACTCTTAGTAATCTTTCTAGGGTTTTCAGTTAGGTACTGCTTCTTAAGTCTAGTAGTAGGTTGTATATATAGTAGACTTAGAGTGTACCTTAGGATGTCTCTACTTGAACTAATATTAGGTCCCTATCCTCCTATAGTATAGCCTACTAGGTTTCTATATCTATCTCCTTGCTAATGTAGATGTATGTCCTTAGGGCTCCCTAGTTGTAGATAATTGAGTAGTATTTTAGGTCTTTGACTATTGCTAGTCTCTTTGTATATAGGTTAAGCTAGGGCTCTTAGATTGCAATAATATAATGTTCTTTTAGGTTTAGTGCTTAAAGGAAGCTCCTCTATACCTTGTCTTTACTCTTATTGACATTGTACTATATAATGTTTAGTAATGTTGTAATGTTTATTAGGTTTTATCTATATTATTTCCCTATAAGTTTTCCTTTAGTCTTCCCTTACTTTAGACTAATATTTGACTAAGCTTTATCTACCCTGCTTCCTTTCCTGCAATGTTAAGGTATCTTAGTCTCCCTAGTTGCTAGTAACTCTCTTATACTAGTAAGGCCCTAAATGTGAACCTATTATCTTATCTAGACCTCTTTTGTAGCACTTAGCTAGGTTGCTTCTATACCTAGCTGCCCTAGCTTATTATATATCTTTTTAGTATATTGATTCTAGCTTCCTTTGCCTTCCTAGCTGCCTGTATTCTTACTAGGCATTCCTTCGCCTAAGAGGGGTATCTTTTAGTATAGTATATATATCTTGCTTCTCCCTTATATGCTTTGTATTCTTTAACCTAGTAATCCCCTATATAATAGGAGTAGGTGTTGGTTGTCTTTATATACTTAGCTGCTAAGTGTCTATAGTATTAACATTTGAAGCACTATATTATCCTATAGTTGCTTCTATATATCTCTGTTTCTAGTCTTTTAAAGTCCTAGAACAGCCCCTAGTCTAGCACTATATTAGCTTGCTTTATACTCCCTACCTAGATAATTAGGGAAGACTGCTTCTTAGTCTCTTCGATTTTCCTTTTAATCTATGCCACTTTTGTAATCTTTAGGCCTAGGCATATAGCTTAGTTTTGTCTCTATAGGCTCTTAATATCCTATTCTTCCTTAAAGCTTCTTGTTATACTATAGGCTATAATCATAAATTGCTATTAGGAGACCTTTGCTGTTTTCCCTATCTTAGTTGTCCATTCTTTTTGTGTTTCTAGCTTCTTTTTGTCCTACTCTTATACTATAAACAGCTTAATTACCCCTTTACCTTCGTTCCTAGCCCTAATTACCTCTTTAACTACAATTCTTTCTATAATCTCTTTCCCTATAAGTCCTTAGATTTCCTTTTGCTCCTATAGGTCCGTAATATAGACTCTAACTACTATCCTCGGGGGTTTTAGCGCCTCCTAGCTAGCTACTGCTACCTAGGTGCGGTAGTTTAGGCTTGTCTCCTATTGTTTCTTCGTAATCTTTGCTGCGACTATATTAGCTACCTTTGTAATTACGTAGCTCGCCTAGTTATAGATTGCTTTTAGTCCTCTAAGGAGTTCTAAGATTATTATCCTATATACCCTCTTAGGGGTTCTTCTATCCTCCGCCTTTAGTACCTTCTCTGCCTTAGTATATAGTGCTTTCTATTCGTCCTCCCTTCCTTCTTAACTGTCTTCCCTTCGTCTCTAATTGTTCGCTGCTATTCCGTCCACCTCGTTTTTATACTCCTATTATATAGGGGATTGATCCCTAATATATAGTTAGTAAGTATCTACGTACGCGCTAACTAGTCCTTTGTCTCCTATTTATCTTAGCGGTCTTCGTAGCCTAATTAAACTAGGCCTAGTATAATAGTTTCTTTAGTCTTTAACGCTAGCTACTATAGTAGGGCGGCAATAGTAGTAGTTCCCGCGACGTATATAGCAACTACCTCTAGCCGGACCTCGCCTCTTTTAAGGACGAGTACGATTTCGACGCCGACGACGAGAAGCCTACCTAAGCTAGAAAGAAGGCTATCCTTAGTACGTATATAGTACTATAGGCGGATTAGCTTATCGACATTTTGCCTAATAGACTAGCGGTATACCTCGCATCGGTCTAGCTATTATATTTTAGCCTTAACGAATTCAAGACAGCGCTTATTAACCCGGATTCTATATACGGTTCTGAAAAGTATATAAATTAGTAATACGCCCCCCCCCCGGCGAATAGCCTAAGGCGATTTAGAAGAGTATAGGCGAGATCTACCCTCCTAGATAGATAAGGAAAGGCTAGAGCGGACCGAAAAACCCTTACTACGGTACTAACGTACGCTTACTCGAGTAGGCGACCGCTAGTAATAAGCTGCTATATAATATTAATAAAAGCGATTTCTCTATAAATAACTCGATCTTATACGCCTCTAAGGCTCTAGAGGACCTTACGATACCGGACTACGCCGTCCTAAGATACGAGCGGGATAGTCTTACTTACGTAACGGCTTTTTAGACGATTTACTAAGGCGAAATAACGCCTATTGCTATCGCCTACTACGCGCTAGTATACTAGGTTACGGAAGGAGTATACTGCCTCGCAAACTATATAGAGATAGCGAGTTGTTTCGCTAGACTAATCGCCGATATAGTCGAGCGTTATAAGGCAGATCTAAGGTAGAGAATTGTCGCCAACCTCGAGTCTATCTACGATATCTTCCCTAAACCCTACCTAGCGCTAATTCTTTAGAGCAAACAGCTAAAAATATAGCGCTCGATATATATATAGCTAATCGTAGCGCTTATAAACGACGAGAAGTAGCAATTAGAATACGGCGATATTACTAGGGATTTCGAGCGCGTTATCCGCAACTTTTAGATATAGTTAGGCCGTTTCCCGCTAGGCCTACGCGCCCTACTAATAGACCTAATATTAAGTCTTATACCGGCTACCTAAGGCATAATCTTCTAGGATATTCCTTTAGCCTACTACGAGGAAAAGGCTAAAACGATAATAAAGGACAGATACTAACGCCCGGCGATACTACTATATTCCGACTATATAAAGTAGAAGAAAGCAATCGACTAGAGGATATCTATATAGACTAAGAAATTCAAGGCTAAACTCTAAGAATAGAAGGCCTAGGAGCAGGCCGACGCAAAGGCTTAGAAAGTAGCCTAGAAAGCCGCGAAAGTATAGAAGGCCGCCTCTACCTCGATAGCTAGAAAGTGTAAGAATGCGCCTACGTTAGCCCTAACTACCGCTAAAAAGGCTAAGTCTACTAAAGCTAATAATACTAGAGCCGACCTGCTAACTACTACTAAAAAGGCTAAGTCGACTAAAGCCGACCTACTAACTGCTACTAAAAAGGCTAAGTCTACTAAAGCCGACGATAGTAAAGCCGAACTAGGTGCCGGGAAAGGCAAATCTATAAAGGCGCCTACCGGGAAGGCCGTAATAGTAGGAAAGGCTAAGTCTACTAAAGCGCAAACCGCGGCGCCGGAGAAAGCAACTAGTAAGGACAATTTAGACTTAAGCAAACCTATAACTCGTATAAATAAGGAGATCGTAGACGCCGCTATCTGCGTAGGACTAGCTCTCTAAGGACTTCTTACGGATTCGACGATCCGCCTTCCTACGAGCCGTTTCGACTTTCCGAGACTTATAATAGCTTTCCGTAACGTAGACTTAGAGCGAGTGCTGCCTAGTAGCAAGCTACGTCTATTAAGGGAGTAGGAGAAGGATTTTATCCGCTACTCTATAGCTTTTTACGAACTTGATATCGATACTAGCTAGCTTATTCTTACGATATTTCTAGACGAAGAATAGAAAGCCTACCTCTACTATCTAATACTAGTCGTATCGAATTTCAACTACAAGTACGGAAACATTTACTTCTAGGTCTCCTAAATGCTAGTATCCGCTTAGGACAAGATCGAGAAAATTAATAAAGCCGACCCTTTCTTAAATCGAGATTTCGTTACTAGTATATCTAAAGACGATAAAGACGTAGATATAAACACTTTCCGCAACTAGACGAACTAGATACTAAGTTACGCCCCTAAGCAAATAATAAACGTTATTTAACAAAACAGCGACCGCTTAATGCTTTACCTAATAAGTAAGCTCCTTATGTTAGCGGTACCCTTGCTGTTAAAGGCCGCTATCCTTTAGTACTAGATAAAGGCGCTCGTTCTAATAGACGGGAATAACGAGATCTAGCCTATACCCTAGGCGACTATCGTTTACTATAAGGGAGATAACGACGTTAGATAGCTACTTAAGCACTTCGCGCGGGAACTCGACGACTAAAGCGGCGGACGCCCGCTATAGCAAATCGCGACTAAGGATAACGGATACTCTAGGTCTATTATAAATAACGCGTTTTAGCCCCCTAGAGAGGATATTCTCGATAAGCTCGAGGCCGTAAAATAGCTATATTTCGTAGAGCTAATATATGCCTGCCCCGTAAAGATAGTCTAGTAAATTCCGCTAAAGCCTACGTCTATCGACGATAGCTATAGCTTACTAATCGAAGCGATACGGAACTATAGATAGGACGACGACGCCTTTCGGAAGGCCTTAGCTACGTTATAAGGAAATTAGTAGAAGGATACCGACTCGCAAGAATTTAAGTAATACGTCGGCTTTCTTATAAGAGCCGTCGGCGACGCGCTCGAAGATAGCGGTTATAATTAAGTAATAGACGACGAAGACCTCGCTAAACTAGACGCCGACGAGAGGTTATAGTACGAGAGATATATCGCGTTATATTAAAAGTTCGGTACCGCGTTTGCCTAACTACTAGAAGAGAATTAAAGAGAGGTTATAGACTATAGCAACTAATTCGATTAGGAAAGCACCGCCTAGAACGGCAAATTCGACTTTACTAACCTCGAGGTCCGACTCCGTAGTAGTTCGGTTTGCGAACTATAGAACGTATATAGTTTGGTTTCTTAGCGGTACCCCTCCGGTTTGGTTCCGGTTTGGTTTTTTACCCCGCTAGTCTAAGCCGGTTTCCGAGAACATCCGACTAAACTACGACGATATACGACGATATACGACGACATGCGACGACCTCGGATCGGGTCTAGGGGCCCTATCTACACGATTGCATCTATATTTCGGGCTGTTTAGACGTGTTTTAGGTTAGGTTTTTGTCCGTAGCTAGCACGTGGCCGGCAAACCGGTCCGTACACCGGTTCCTTAGCAAACTAAACTAAACTAAACTAGAATTTCGGCTTAGCAAACCAAACTAAACCAACCCGGACTACTACGGGGTCTACGAGTCGAGGATATTATAGAGTTTACAAACACACTCTCCGATTTCTAGCTAGAAGACGGCACTATCAAACACGATAATAAAGACAAGCCGACTATAAGTCTACCCCTAATTATCGATGCTATCTAGCGTATATCTAAGGAACCTAACTCCGCTACGAATACGATTAAGGCTATAAAAGACCTACTGCTACTATAGTTCCTTAGGTAAGAGGAAAGCGACCTTTTTAAACTACTTGCCGCGCTCTATAGATTAGTACGACCGAGCGGCGATAAGGGCCTACGTAAGGCGCTCGGAAAGCTTACTATAGAGACTTTTAATAGTCTATATCCTACTAATAAGAAAAAGGGCCTCCGCTTTCTAGAACCACGCCCTCTATAGTAAGGAGAACCTAATAACGAGCATCCTAGAGACCCCGTAGTTAGCGAATAGTAGTGTTTCTTACACTCTCGCGCGTTAACGACCTAGCTAGAGGAAATAAGATATTAAGCATTAGCGGGTAAGGAAGAATTAGGATAGCGAGACGAAAAATAGGGGCGTATAGCCTAAAATCTCTTTTATTGTGTATATAGATACTAAGTCTACCGTCCGCGTAGTCGCGGACATTTCGGGACTAAGGGATTCTATTACGAAGGCAGGTATAGGCATAGGCTAGGCAGGAGGCCCTAGCCTACTATAGTACATACTTCTCTAAGCCTAGATAGACTTAGAATAATTATCTACTTTATAATACACGATACATAATAGGACCGCCGCCGTGTGTTTAAATAGGCTAATCTAATACGCATTTAATTTATAGTCGAAGTAGAAACAGCTAAACGAGCTATTTAGCTCTAGTAACGACTAGAATCGAGGATCCGACTAGCTAGTACTAACCGTAGCAACCGTAGCCGAGGAGGAAACTAAGGTTCTACCTAAAACAATAGTGCTAACAATAGGAATAGTAACGACTATAGAAGAGGCCGTAGCCGACGGCTATATAGAGGAGGCCGTAATAGGGGCCGTAGAAGGGGCTCGTATCCTTATAACGCTAACCGCTCGACTAATAGCAGCTATAGTAACCTCCTAACTAGATTAAAGTGCTTTAATTACGATAGCACTAGCTATCTACTAGGCTAATACGACAAACCTAAGGACTAGGCCCGAATCGACCGTACTACTGCTAAATACTAAAAGCACCTTTTAGCTGCTAACGCTACCCCTATCGGTCCTTCTAATTAGTCGAAAAAAGAATAAGCGCCGCACTAACTGTTAGCCTTATACGGCGTAAAACTATCGATATTATACTAGCTATTATACGCACCTGTCTTATATAGGATACGTATAGAACTAACTATAAGACTAAGGTTATACTAGATCTAGGAAATTTAGTTAGTGCCCTTATTAGCTATCGCCTAGCTAGGCAATTAGACCTTCGACAATTGAATAGGGCTAACCTACTAACCCTTACTTAGTTTAATAACGCTCGGCACTTAACCTATAGGGCCTACTATATTCCTATAGTTCTAAAGGACGACCTCGGAAATAAACGCTTGCTAGATTTTACTGCCTACGTAGTAGATATAGACAACCTTCTATCCGATATTGTTATTAGCAACCCTATTCTTAAACACTATACTATAGTTATAGACTTAGGTAGTTAATAGTAGCGATTTAGAATCGCTAGGAGAGAGGACATTAAATATATTAATATTAGCGAGTGCCTCGACGATATCCGGGTCCTATTTATCGGCAACCTAACGCCTACCTTAGCTAATCCGACAGCTAACCTTCTCGGTAGAGATAACGATAAACCTATACCCCCTAATAGTATAGATCCTAATTAGCTTGCTCGTATACTACTACCTATTCGAGAGACCTATATTAATATATTCAAACACTACCTAGCATCGACATTGCCTATATTTAAGGAGACAGACTATAAGATTAATATAATAGAGGGCAAGGAGGTTCCTTTTAGTCCCCTCTATAATCTTAGTAAACGAGAGCTTGCTATATTACGTAAGTACCTAGATGAAAATCTAGCTAATAGCCGGATACGATATAGCAACAGCCCTGCTAGTACACCTATCCTGTTCGTACTAAAGAAGGATAGTAGCCTACGCCTATATATCAATTATCGTAGGCTTAATACTATTACTATTAAGGACCGCTATCTACTTCTGCTTATTAACGAGACCCTCGATCGCCTTTCTAGCGCCTACTTTTATACTACGCTAGATATTAAGGATGCCTACTACCGTATCTGTATTCGTAAAGGCGACGAATAGAAAACAGCCTTCCGTACTCGCTATAGCTATTTTAAGTACTTAGTTATACTATTCGGCCTAGCTAATACCCCTATAACTTTCTAGTCCTATATTAATCGGGCCTTTTTAGGCCTACTAGACTACCTCTGTACAGTTTACCTAGATAATATCCTAGTTTATACCTATTTACCTAATATTATAGAACACTAGGCTGTAGTACGCAAGGTCCTCGACTGCCTACGAGCCTATAGCCTATATTGTAAGCCCTCTAAATGCACCTTTACTACTAAAGAGGTGTCCTTCCTTAGCTTCCTCGTGTCGACTAAGGGTATTAAGGCTAATCCTAACTAGATTAAGACTATTACTAAGTAGCTAACACCTACTAGTATTAAGGAACTTTAGTTATTCCTCGGTTTCGCTAACTTCTACCGTCGGTTTATTAAGGGCTATTCGAGACATGTAATGCCCCTAACTAAGCTTACTAAAACTAAGGCTAACCCGACTAGAGAGTTTAAATAGACTAATAGAGCACAAACCGCTTTTAACGGTTTAAAGAAGCGATTTACTAAAGTCCCCTTATTATACTACTTCGTACTAAGCGAACTAATTCGTATTAAGACTAACGCTTTATAGTTTGCTATATTAGCTATTATATTACAACAATCGGGCAAGGACTATTATTAGTACCCGATTGCCTTCTTCTCGAGGAAGATAATTAATGCCGAACGCCGCTACGAGAGCTACGAGCAAGAGTTGCTAGCTATTATTAAGGCCTTTAAGCACTAGCGTTACTATCTCGATAGTGCTTAGCATACTATCTAGGTCTATACGGACTATAACAACCTTCGTAGAATTACGAAGGTTACTAGGGTTATAGGTCGATAGGCTAGATAGGCCGTCTACCTCGCTAGGTTTAATTTTAATATATTATATTAGCTAGGCGTAAGCAACCCTGCTAATAGCCTATCGAGGCGACCTAATTACGATAGCGAAACCTAATCTATTAATTCGTTATTTCTAACCCTGCAGTATAAGATTGCTATAAACCTCGTAGTAAGGCAAGCGTAGAATAAGCGGCTTACCGGACTCCGCGACGGCTTAAAGCATATTAATGCTCTTGCTATATTAATAGTGCGTATTAAGGACATAGATAGGAGAAGTTATAATAACTCCCTAGTCGATATTGCTATATATAGTAATAGCGATAGCACTACTGCAGTTAATCCGGCTACTAGTACTACTAGATGCATATAGTACGTACTACGTAAGACAGTAAGGGTACTATTAAGCGAACTTATAGAAGGGGATAGACGAGCGTTTATAGATAAGCTGTTACGTGCTTAGCAAAGGGACGCTTTTGCTACTGCTCGTATAGATTAGCTTAGAAGTAGCCGTAAGACTAGATCTAGTAAGAATTAGTCGATTAATGCTAATAGCTATTTGCGCTATAAGGGCAGGCTCTATATCCCTACCGAGCATTCGATCCGATAAGAGCTTCTTAAGCGACACTATAATAGTAAGCTTGCCGGTTACTATAGTATAGAGAGGTCGTACGAGCTACTATCGCGTATATACTACTAGCTAAATAGTAAGTAGGATATAAAGGAATATATCGATACGTATACCGTATACTACGTATTAAGGCACCGAAGTATTAGCCTTTTAGCGAGTTGTCCTTATTACTAATCCCTAATAAGCTATTCGTAGAGCTTATAATAGATTTTATTATAGGTCTTTCCTCTACTAAACGAAGAGGAAGCAGAGACGTCTTTAACGCTATACTAGTCGTTATAGACCGATTTACTAAGGGTGCTCGCTATATTGCTACTCGGAAGGATTAGACTGCTATTAATATAGCTAAAGTACTATAGAACAATATCTTCTATAGCTACTAGGGAACCCCTAAGGGGATAGTTTCCGACCGAGGCTCGATATTTATATCTTACTATTAGAGTAAGATATGCCTATAGCTAAGAGTCAAGACTTAAGTATCGCCTGTCTATAGCGTTCTATCTATAAACAGATAGCTAGACCGAGAGGCAAAATGCTACCCTATAGCAGTACCTACGTAGCTACATTAATAAGAACCCTAATAACTAGGTTAACCTCCTATAACTAGCTAAATTCGTATATAATAATAGTGTCTACTTATTAACTAAGGTCTCGCTATATATAGCTATAATAGGCTAGAACGCTGCTATACTACAAGACCCTCTATCGCTCGAGGCCGAGCGTAAGGAAAGGGAAGCGCGTTAAGTACTAATACCTAAGACACTAGTAGCTATTAAGAGGGTTCAAAAGATGCGAGAGATTTACGCTAAGATAGCTAACAAACTAGTAAAAGCCTAGGCATATTAGAAGGCCTATTATAACAAACACTATATACCGATAACCTTTAAGCAAGGCGATATAGTTATACTTAGTATAAAGAACCTCCGCATCCGCAAACACCTATTACCTAATAGCAAAACACGCCCTAAACTAGTACTACGGTTTATTAGCCTATTCCGAATCCGAGAACCGAAGGGCAATAGCTAGGCCTATTAGCTATAGCTCCTACTATACTACACTATCTACGATACCTTCTATATCTCTCTCCTTAAACTATATTACTACCGTAGAGACCCTAATAAAGAAGCCTCTACTAAACATAAAGAGATACTAGCTAACGGCGAAGAGCTATAGTCTATAGAGCGTATACTAAAGCATCGGACTAGGAAGGGCAAGAAGGAGTACCTATTAAGATAGTAGGGCTATTTACCTAAATAGGACTTATAGGAAGATAAAGGCTCTTTTAAGGATATAACTAAGTTATTAAACGAATATTAGACTAGCGTAAAGAACAAGAAGAAGGCTAAGGGCCTATAGTGCCGCTAGAACTACTAGAGGGACCTAGAGCTAATACTACCCCTAGGGTGCTATTAGCTAACTAATTAGAGGCAAGCAATTGTTAGCAACAAAGGACAATAAGACTATACTAGGCGCGCTACGACGCATTAACTAATCGCCTACTCTTTTAAGGATTCTACCTCTTTACTAATACCGTAATACGCCCTATAGGCCCCCCTCTTATTCCTTCCTTCTATCGAGGCCTCGAGGCCTAGGCGATCGGCGAGGGTAGCGCGCGTACGCATAAATAGTAATAATAAGGATAACGACGCGCTATACGAAAGGGCGACATAGCCGACGCGGCTATGTTAGTAACGGTATTGCGGAGCGTATTACTAATCGAAGGAAGACGACGCGACTATATCGGTAACGGTATTGCTAATATTGTTGTTAGTTAAAGAAGGAAATTAGAAGTAAGGTAAAGTTAGCGCTAAGACGACTAGCGCCGCCGTTATTAATATTACCTACTTACTACTATTATTAACCTTACCTATACTACGAGTCTAAAGTACTATACTAACTAAGTTAAAAGATTAAACCTATTAAAGGTTTAATTAAAACTTTAAGGCTAAGTCAAAATATTAAGGCTTAAAAGACTAAGTTAATAGACTAACTTAGGGCAAAACTATAGAGCTAAGCTAGCTAGGGTCGATCTTGCGGACAATAGGTTACTCCTCGATCTTTCCGACCCTTTAAGCGAGGCGAACCTTAACTATTGCACTTATAATAGCCTTTACCTATAGAAACTAGAAGAACTAAGTTTTTTAAAAAGATATAATTAGTTAACACTTAAAGGCTACTAAATCTAACTAATTAGGGCTAGTAAAACTACAATAGTAAATAATAGTCCTCGTAATAATAAGAACAACCCTCGGAACGGACAAACCCTCGGAGCGGACATTTCTAGGTCTTTTAAGAGTAGACGTAAAGAACTCGGTACGATATTACTTAGAGCGGAGGCAGTGCTGCAATACCTCGTACGTCTACCTATTATAGTAGGGAAGACGCGCTCGTATTATAATTAGTCGATAGTCCTTAATTCTCGTAGTTATATATTACTTTATTATATACAAGGATAGCGCAGTTAGAGTTAGACATTGTGTTAGAAGGTAAGGTTTAATATAGTTATATAATCGGTAGTTACGTATTTAATTTAGCGCGGATCGAGTAGCTTATTAGACCTGCTAAGTTAGTAGCGATAGAGGTTAGAACAAGACCGGCTCCGAGAGCGTAGCCTTCAGAAGGGAAGCGTATATTAGGACTAAAGAGGTTATACGTAATTAGTATATAACTAGGCTCGAGTGAAGCTAGGGTCTTAGTGCCTTAGGTAGGGCTTAGCGCTTAGCGTTAGGCTAACTTGCCTACCTTCCTCCCTCTCCTCTTAGATCTCTATCGAATACTATACTAATTTACTACTACCCTATCTACCTACTAACATAACCCTTCTTACAACTCGCTAATAGACTCGCTAATTCCTAGATCTTAAAGCCTATCTGCCCGAGGCTACGCTTTCTTAGTATAAGACAGTATTGTAGATTTATAGCTTCTCGTATCTAGTAAGTAGTAGCGAGAATAGCGATAATATAGAGCGCCTTTACCGCTCTACCTACTTGCTTCTTCGAGGGTTAGCTAGGGAGTATATAGCTATAGAGTTAGAGCCGGAACTAATAGAGTTAGATAAGCTATTAGTAGCACGTAGTTAGTTAGCGGCGGCTCGGAATTAGGAAGCTAGGTTAATTAAGTTTGTAAATAATATATACTAATCTCCGATCTACGAGCCGGCCGCGAGTATATAGCGAGTCGCTTTTTCTAGTTCGATTTTATCTATAACCTTCTTAAACCTCTACTATTTCTATCTCTATTTATCTAATAATGCCTACTAATTAGGGTACCTATTATACTAAATTAGGCGTCGACTATATAAAGATATATAGTAAATACTGATTCTGTTTATAATACGGCCTTCTTAATCCCGATCTACTAAGCGAGCAATTTATTCGCGAGCAATTAGTAGCCGCCGCTACGAGTAGCTCCGCGAGTATAGTACGAGGCTTTAATACGTTCCCCTCTATACCTAAGGCGGCTAATGCTATACGTAATACTGCTAGTTAGTATAAGCTAGCAACTCGAATACTAAATACTAGATCTCGGAGCCTCTCGTAACGTCTACTAATACCTACTTTAGCTTTAGCTTTAGCTTTATTAGACCTAAAAGTATAGGGATAGTATTGCCGCTATCTAATCTATACTTAGTATATAGAAGTTAAGCTTACGAGTATAACTAAGATATAGTTCTATAGTAAACCTACCCTATACACTACTATTACGGATACCTAGACTAGCTAAGAATTCCTCGAAGCCGAGATAACATTTATAGACTAGATTGTCGACCGGATTAATGCCTACGAGCTACTAGATAGTAGTATTAATCGGACCTAGGACTATTTTAACTACTTCCTCTATATAGACTTTAATCCTATAACTAATTAACTAGAGAAGCTAGTAAGTAAGGCGCTTCGATTACTTAGATAGGCTTTAACGGTCTATAAACTAGTAATAAAGTTATTATTAGTCTACGAGATTAAGATCTATATCTAGACTAAGTAGGAGAAGCAGCAATAATAAAAGCGGAAACATCGGTTAAGTACTATTACTACGAGTACTAGTACGAGTAATATAGCGAGTTAGTAAAAGGTAGTTAATAGTATTAAGATTAAGAAAGAAAAGCTATAAACTAAGAAGGTTATTAATACGAATTAGCCGCCTAAGATAATTAACTTAAGCGGCAATACTACCGCGAGTATACTACGAGGTACGCCTATTTTGAAAGAGTCGAGCGAATCGAAGGATTAGTAACCTACTAATAGATAGGCTAATAGCGGCAGATAGGCTAATAGCAGCGGACAAGCTAATAGCGGCGGACAGGCTAATAGACAGGCTAATAGATAGGCTAATAGATAGGCTAATAGATAGGCTAAGAACACAAAGCGTAGTTAACGACTAAAGAAGAAGAGATAGAATAGTAGACTTAGAGTAGACTCGTAGTAGTCTAGTAGACTCGTACTTCTTCTTTTACTATCTCTAAAACCTCTAACTTAAACATCTTCTACTAGCGGCTCGCGAGTCGTATCTAGCTATAGCTCCTTCTAAATAGTATATATATCGCGAGACTTAATAATAGCCTTATTCTTAAGCTATTTAAACTACGAGAGGTAGTATCCTTCTAACTTATCGAACCTAGCTTCTAGTACCTTAATCTTTACCTCTAGTTTAGTATTCTTTACCTCTACGGCCTCGACTCGCGCCTATATCGCGGCTAGCTCGCTGTTTCTATCGTCTTCTTTAACCTCTAAACTAGTAGTATAGCTAGACTTGCTCTTATACTTATAATAAGCGTAGACTCGCTCGCCCTTAGTATTAAGTATACGATACTTAAAGTTATTAGAGCGTATATAGTAGTAGTATAGCGCTAGTATAAGCTTGCTAGAGTCCGTTTCTATAATAATTCTAGTAGCCTTATATTTCCGTAGTCTATTTAATACCGCTTTCTTCTTATCCGGTATCGCTATTTAATCGAGTAGCTCTTACTATATCTACGCGCTATAGTACTAGAAATCGTAGGTATTTATAGTCGTAGGGCGTCGAAGTCTAGAGCGAGTTAGTAGCGAGTCTATAGCGATATGCCTCGCGACTTATAATAAATATTCTCCTCCTTCTACTAGTAAGTACGCTACTAAAGCTAAAGCTAAAGCTAAAGCTAATGCTAATACTAAAGCTAATGCTACTAAAGCTACGCTAAGAATGAGGTCGTACGGAATACTAGTTATAGCGGCTACTACTATCGCTATCGCTATCGCTATCGGTATCGGTATTAATAGAAGAAGAATATTACGAGGTAAGGCGCGGAAGTATAGCGAGTCTAAGTAAGGTTTGTCGCGATAATAGGTATAGTAAGGTTAGTAAGGAAGGTATAGGAAGAATAGGAAGCGACAATAGGCTAAAGTGAAGCTATTGAGCCTCTGGTATGTATAGAGCTCCGTCCAAACAGGGGAGCAAGTGGTCCATTGCATTCCCGCGGAGCTAGCAGCGGGCCTCAGAAGTGCATGTCATGTTCCGTTCCTTGCGACGACACCTGCAATGAGCACGCCGTACGTGTGCTTGGGCTGTCGGAGTCGGAGCAGATTGCTGGCCAGAGTCTCACACGTGCGCCGACACGAGATACGCTCGTTCAGCAGCGGCGCCTCCAAGAAACAGCGCACGCCAGCGCACACGGGTTTTGGTGCGGACTTCGACGGCAGAGCCGCAGTCGACGGCAGCAGCGACAATGGCAGTGTCACGGGGCGGTACTCTCGTAGGCCGCTGGGTCCCGAGCAATTGCTAGAGGAGGTGGACAAGCCTGAGCAGAGGCGCCGTGATGGAAATGCCAGCAACACGCACAACAGTCCACCAGAAATGCGACATGCTCAACGATGGACTGGCTCTCACTCTCTTGATCCCGAGCTTCAGAAGCATCTCGATGCGTACCTTGATCAAAGATCGGCACGAGATGTCCCAGCGGCATGGTCTACATTGCGAGAGATCGGGAAGTGCTGCGCACAACGTCCTGTCCGGGACATACGTGCTCTCTACAATTCAGGTCGACCATTCATTTCAGCCGTAAGCTGGCTTCTCCTGCAGTCGATCCGCAAGTGGGTAGAAGACGTGCAGAAGGGCAATGCTCAAACGGATGTCGCCTCGCCCTACCAGGTCATGCAAGTCATGCATGGCTTGAACAATACCCTGGCCCAGCTTTACCAGCCTCCTTTGTGGTTTTTGGCACACCTAATTTCCACGGTGCGATTCTCCGACGGCGGCGAGGACAGTCTTGTCGTACGCCAGGGAAGAGAAGAGCTTGCCAAAATGTGGAGACTTTGTATGGGAGGCCATCTCACCCGCCAGGCCCTCGGAGGGCGCATAACTGAGGAAAACCGCATCCAATTCGCTTCGATCGCTGTGCGCGACGATGACTGGAGCTTCCTTCCACCTACAACTTTCTTTGCCTCCCACGCAGCAGACCAACGCTCTCCAGACATGTTTGGCAGTATGCTTGGCATGCTAGTGCCGCAACCGAGTCACGACATTTTAGTGAGTAACATGGGAAGGCATCGCTGTGACTATACAAGTGCTGCTATTGTGACTTGGGATCTCCTTCAGACACTGCCTCCCGTTCTATATGGAGGCTCGCCACTCTACGCGCCCCTTGCAACGCTGCTTGGTGCGATCGTCAAGCACGCACATGCACCCCGTGTACCGGTGCTCATGCTGGACATGATGAGAAAATCCAATGAGCCAGGACTTGTCGAAGGCTACCGCGCTATGCTTGCTCGCGTCCACTGCGAAGATCTGCCAGCCGTTATGCGAAACCTAAAGACGACAAAACGTACCAAGGATACACAGACGACGCCCACTTCCTCGAGCGGAATCAGTCAGGAGGTCCATGAACCAGTAGATTCTGACCACAATTCTACTGCTGATCCAACACTGACTTTGCGCCATGATGGCCGAAGCCCCGAGACGCTCAGCTATGCTTCTACTCAGATCAAGAGGCTGGGAAGAGCCCGGGAGCAACAGAATTTGCACGCTGTGGAGCAGCTCAAGAATGAAATTCTCAGCCACGCGAAGCAATTCGTGACGGTGAAAGACCGCCTTCCCATAGAGGTATACGAGCATCTCATGCTCGCTGCGCTATCATTGCGAAATCCCAAATTGGCCATCGAGATATGGAACGTTCTACCTCAGCTAGGTTACAAACCAGACCTCAAAACCTTTACCGTGATGCTGCAAGGCGCACAAAGTATGGGAGATGTCGTCGGTATGGAGGCATTCTGGCAGAACATGCGTAGCGCTGGATTCCAACCTGACGCCCATGCGTGGTCGATCCGAATCTTTGGCCTACTGAAAAATCGCAGTCGACTCAATCGTAGCCGACAGACAGGCCTCGATGCGCTTCATCAGATGGGACAGGAGTGGTTGGCGGCGGCACGGGCGAAAGAGGGCCAAGATCGGACGTTGGAAGGCCAGAAACAGCAGCCAAGCAAAGCCATCAGCTCAACTGAATTGCTTCGCAAGTACTCTGGACCTGTTGACGGGGTACCGCGACCTACCGTGGAAATTATGAATTCGGCAATAGCTGGCTTTGCGATCGTCAAACCAGATGAGATTCCCAATGTCTTTGCGTGGGGCCGCGCATTTGGCGTCGAGCCAGACCTCAGCACCTACAATTCATTGCTCTCCCTATCGATGCGCAGAATGCAAACAGAAGAGGCGCTGGGGATCCTCCGTCAAATGCAGAAGCGTGGAATTGCCGCTGACAGCACAACATGGTTTGTGCTCTTGGAATCGCTTTTCTACAGCGGGTTCTTCGACAGCATGGACCATGGAGAGCAAGAGGCAAAAGTCATTGCACTTATTGACGCGTTGGGAGACAAAGACTTGGGTCTGCCTGACATTGATGAGAAAGCGTATGCCCTGATCATTGACCGCCTCATCAAGAGATATCAAAACGCAGCCGGCGCGGACGCGGTATACTCCCATATGGTCAAATCTGGTCAGCAACCCACTCCTCACATCCACACGATTCTAATGATGTCTTACTTCGACCGACAACCCGAGCCTGACTTTGCATCCATCGAGAGCCTATGGCGAAAAATCCAGGATCCAGGAACGGGCTTCTCTGGCCTCGTGGACACCATCTTCTTCGACCGCATGATTGAAGGTTATGCCAAGAACCACCGTATCGTCGGCACAAAGCCTATGGAAGATTTCTTGAGCCATGCCAGGTCATCGGGGAAGCAGCCTGGCTGGCTGGCACTGGGAAGAGTTGCTCAAGCTTATGCCGCAAGGGAGCAATGGGATAAGCTGAGGAATCTCGTCGACCAGGTACAAATTGCGCAGAGAGAAAACAGTAGCCGATTTATGCGTAAAGGAGAGGATGACTTCTGGAAGTTTGTCGAATCGACGGGAATTTTGCAGGGCAATGGAGCGACGAGGTTTAGGGGAAATGAGCGTGACAGTTTGCTGGCGAGGGCGGCGCAGAATGACGCTCGCGATGCTTTCGCACCACCGTGGTTATGATCTCCCTCCCTCTCTCACACCCAGCGCATGATGAGAAAAACACAAGCGTTACTGAAATGCCAGATTACCTTATTTGCAAGAAGAATACATTATTACAAAGTGACTCCTCAAAGAGCCAATATATGAATACTTTTCACATCCTTTTACAATATGTCCCTGATCTTCTCATGCTCGACACCATGGTGTCCTTTTTCCGCTGAGCACCGAACACACACACAACTCCTCAACATCCTACCATTTCTTAATACATCCTCGCGACCGCTGTATTGATGGCCCGGAGATCGGCTAGTCACAGTCTCGCCTTGGCATCCATCGCAACACGAGACTCAGGCTGCGATCGCTCCTCATTCACAATCCCCCGAGCAATGCCTCTCGAAATTCCCATGCAAGTGATCATGGGATTGACACCAGAGGCGGATGGGAAGACGGAGGTATCAGCAATGTACAAATTCTGAGTTCCCCACACGCGTCCGCGATCGTCGACCACGCTGTTCGTAGGTGAGGTTCCCATTCGGCATGTACCCATTTGATGGGCTGAGAAGTATGGTGTTTGAGGGCTTGGCATACCATTCGCTCGGACTTTTTTGGTCCATTCTACGAAATCTGGGTCGGTGATTGATGGGGAGGAATTCGGTGAAAGGGAAACTTTGGCATCGGTGTCTGCGGAGGGTCGGATGAAGGCATCGACGCCGGGGATGGCCGTGTAGATTTCTCGGGCTCCCTCGACGTACAGCAGTTCTGCAAGGCGTACGATACCTTCGAGGATGTGGTTCTTGTCGTATGTGCTCGGTGAATAGTCGATGGTGAGCCGTCCATCTTTTGGATTTAGGTAGACTCTGCCTCCGTAGCGATCGCGGGCTAGACTGATGTAGCCTGTCATGCGGCGCATTTTCAAGGTGAATTCTTTGAAGGCCAGGCCTCCTTTCCATTCGTAAAGAGGTAGGAAAGAAGATGGAAGCATGGTTGTGCACTCGAGCTTGGCTCCGTATCCATCTCCGTCCAGATTCTCGAATTCGTTCACGACAGACGTTAGAATCGGACCTTCCCATGGCCGAACGTCTTCGTCCCAGACTGCGGCGACCATGTTGACTGGATGAAGATGGAGGTGGCGTCCGATGTGCTTGTTCTTGAGGCCTGACTTCAGGAGCAGAATGGGTGTGTACAGCGAGCCACCAGACACAATTGTTCGCTTTGCTTTGATGACGACTTCGCGTGTAGCTCGATGGTTGCCTGCAACGCCGCCGGCTTGGTCGCGCGAAACCCACGTTCCCTTGACACCTGTCGTCTTCGTCGCATCTGCTTCGTCGAACGTAATGACCTTAACCTCCAAGCCCTCAATAAATCGGGCACCCGCCTCGGCAGCATCTGGTAAGAAGGTAACGGTAGTACCTTTCTTACCGCAACTCCGACAACCTCGGGTGCAGAAGCCATCATCATGAACCTCGCCTCCAGTATTTTGAGGAACTGCTTTTGCGCTCCAACCCAGCTTTCTCGCGCCTTCGAGGAGTACAGTATTGCCTTTGTTGTGATTGATGTGATTGGCGCTTACACCCATGCGCGCACACACAGCATCCAGATCTGCTTGGAATGCAGAGCCATTGAAATGAGGAAGTCCGAACTTCTGTGCCCATTCTCTCCTGACATAGCCCTGTGGTTGGAGGGAGGCACTCCAGTTGATCACGCCTCCACCTCCCCAAGTAGCCCCGGCCACCACACTGATACTGCCATCGGTCGATGTTACGATGCCCCCGTTTCCGAACAAGTGGGCACCAGCTTGGCTCTCAGCCATTGGGAAATGCTCGGGCGACCAGTAATACGACTGGTCGACGACGACGACCTTGAGTCCGGCCTCGGCGAGATACTTGGCTGCGACTGCACCGCCGCAGCCGCTTCCTACGATCACTACATCTGTTTCGATGACCTCGGGCTCTGGCAAGCTGGACTGCGGTATCTGCACGAATGTGAAGGGATAGCCAGCTGGCGCAGCCCGGTCAAATATGGGAGCACGCGTGTAGCCGAGGAGCGTTCCTACTGTCGGAGATGTTCTGAGCCACAGCGCTCGTGCGAGCTGCGTGAGCGATCTACCGAGCCCTCGAAGAAGAGGAAGGCGGGCACGATTCCAGCCAAGGATGACCTGCTCTCGTTCTTTGAGGGACAGAGCGTCTAGTGGAGTTGCGTATCCAGTGAGCAGGAGTGAGCCGGCTCGTGTGCTAGCAACGGCAGATTTTGGTCAGCACGTGACGCGCTTCGTGTTGTGGGGACGGACGAAGCTCGGACGAGTCGGATTTCTGTCGCATGAAAAGTGGAAATGCTTACCTCAATGCACTCAAGATCAACGAAAGTCCATTTCGGGCAGTGTCGCTCATATGGAAAGCAAGCATTCGCGAGATGAGCTCCTTGAACTCTGGACGGGATGTGGCACCTTCCGCGAGATACGCGGTGACAGTGGCATCATCTGCATCCTGGATCTTGCAGAGTCGCTGAATCCGGCTAAGGGCCGAATGGTAGACGTCGCTTGGCAATGGGTGCGCGAGCAGACGGTCTGTCTTTGAAGCATCACTTCGGGTCAAGGGCGGTACGATGGCTTCGGCAATGGCAACGAAGGTGTTCCATTGCTGCGTATTCAATGGATCCTGGTCAGGGAGAGGCGGCAGTGGTGTGTCGGTCACCGCGTAGGATGCCGTGTCGTCTGCGGACATGTTCTGATCGGTTCACAAGTTTGTTGGCTGCCGCGAAGCTGGTCGGTCCGGATTGCAGTGCCAGCCAGGTACGGACTGCGGACTGCGGACGTGCTGTCAGGGTGCAGGTGAGGTGTACTGTCAACAGTCACATGCGGAGTGGCATTGGTGGCGTCTGCGGTGAGGGTCGTCTTATTGAGAGCGAAGCGCTGTTCATCAGCCTCAGCATCGACTGATGTTACACAAATGACAACGAGCCGGGAGGCGTTTCAATCACATATGCCCTCCTGAAACAACACGCGCTCGCCTCGCATCGGAGGGATTATTACAGTCATGTGCTCGCGAAGCATGGCGAGCGGTGCTGCCGAGGCTGGTTCTCGGAGCCGGAGCCAGATGCATCGACAATCAAGCTACTGGAAATGCAATCTATCCGGGGTTGCGTCAGCCCACTTCACCCCTCGCCCGCGCTCGGGGATTTAAACCATACGTAAAATCGCACTTTCTTAGTAGGCCACACGTAAATCTCGACGACAGCAATGTTGTAGAGCACATATAATGGGAAACTGAATATAAGTACGATAAGAGATAAGAGACAGTAGATTTCCGGCATATTAGTGACCAAATTGCGACCGTAGGACCTCAATCCGGCTGTATAGGTGGCTTGCCTTCTCGGCATTGCAGAGTGCGCGAATACTGACCTTCTTAGCCGAGCCTTAGAATGAGGTGGACGCGCTTGCCAAGGATTACATAAGAAACCGGCGGCAGTGAGGTCTACAGCCACTATACACTCGGACAAGGCTATATATATGATATTTGGACTCGCGGTTCCTTACTGCACCTACTTGGATATCCGAATGGGACTGGAATGTACGACTATATCGAGATTTACGTGTGGCCTACTAACAAAGTGCGATTTTACGTATGGTTGAAATCCCCGCGACCGCGGGGTGAAGTGTGACTGACGAAACCCCGGATACTCCCAGAGGCGCGGAACGGGGAATCATCCTAAGTTTCAAGACGACAAAGCACAAGGCGCTGGGCTGGCCTGGCGCCGCTGGCCTGGCCTGGGCCCCCGGCATTCATCGGCATAGCACTGCCTGTCGCCGTTGAAGCTAGTCAGATTTCCTGCATATGATATGAGGCCCAAAGAGGCATGGTCTTATCTGTGCAAAGCGCGACACCCAATCATCAGCGCGCCACAGCCGCTTGGTTGCTTGTCAGCGGCCGAGGCGCCAATAATAATGAGAGGTGTGACGATGCGTCCTGTGTTGGGACGTGGTTCGCATTCCGCATTATTGTTGTGGCAGACGTATTGGATTACATACAGCAGCCTGGCTATTCGTCTGCCAAGCACCGCTGAGAAGTGTCGCAGTGCAGCGTGGCGCGGCGCGTGTACAGCTTCTTCATCGGGCATTGCCCGCTTGCGCCCGAACTTACCCACGGCTGCCGTACCGTAGCTTTGCAGGGAAGGCAACGCAGCGCGAGATAGTAGTCTGCATTACATGTATTACTACTGCTCGCCTCGCCTCGCCGCGCCTGCCTTTCCTTGTGCATGCCTTGCAGCGTCCATTCCTTTGTCGACTCGCTAGCCATGAGCACTGCCGGCAGATAGGCAGAGCCCCAACCTCAAACTTCCACCTTGACCGCCTCTAGCGACACCTATCTCGACCTCGACTCAACACCATGGCAACGACACAGCTTGGCGCGAACAGCAACGCCTCGAAATCCTTCCTCTATCCACACGCAGGACCGTCACCGCCAGAACAATTCTTGTATGCGCAGACCAATCCAATGGCATCGCAAGCAACCACTCCACCCTCGAATAACATCTCGCCTACCAATTACCATACCAATGCGAACCCTCCTCAGCTAAGACGAGCCCGTGGACCGATGTATGTACCGGCTGCGCTGCGCCCACACGATCGCACACGTCCCACCGATATCCCTGGCCGACCGCGCGCCCCAGATACGCCTCCTGCAAGCAATGAAAGTAGCTACGACATAGCAAAAGCAGGCTCGCCAGCCGGTATTGAGTATACCGGCTTCCAATTTGGCCAGCGCGAGGACGTAGAGTCCATGCGACTGGGCTGGAGTCGCGCTGCAAGCGAGACGCTTTCGCTAGAAGAAATGGGTGAAGTCACAGGCACACCCACCACTGCGCACTGGAAACCAGATGAGTCGGCAACATCATGCTTCGTCTGCAAGCAGTCCTTCACCTGGTTCTTCCGGAGACATCACTGCCGGCGTTGTGGAAACCTCGTCTGTGATTATCACATCAAATACAACATCCCTCTCGACCAGAATGCTCGCATTCACCCCAACGGCTTCTTGAGCAAGTCGTGCAATACCTGCTTTGATGATTGGAAGATCATCAAGAAGCTGCACCACTCTCGCGCGAGCTCCATTGCTGATTCCTCGGGCAGCTCCCACGGTACAGCCATGCCTATTCCAAGAACCCAGCAGCCACAAGAAGACATGCGCATCGGCAGCATGGCACGTTCTGAGGGCGGCATGGTGTGGTCCACCTTCTGAGATCTCTTTTTTCCTCGACGGCACATCTGGAATCCTCAACCGTCGAGAGAAATTCCTTTTTCACGCGACATGACACCAGCACGGAGTTTACGGCCGATATAATTCATTACCTTGTAACGAATATGGGAGGCCAACAACTGCGTTCAAGCGATCTGCTTCTACACCAATAACCTTTGAACTTTTTGGCTTGTTTAGCGTTTGAGCGGTCTTTGTGATACCCAGGGCATGCACAATAGATCGCAGGCTTATATGGAATACCCGGCGTTGATGAATTTTGGTTTTGACGGCAGATCAACGTTGGGAAGCATTGACTGCTTGTATTTGTACGAATAGACTGGTGGAAGAGTCTGGTCAGATACTGTGACTACCACTACTGAAGATACATAATATTTCGCAGACACAACTGGCATGTCGTACCAACACCCCTATCCTGCTTTGCTCCCGCTCTCCGCCTGCGAGACGGCTCTACTGCTAGCTCACGGCTCATCCAAACGGAATGAAGCTCGTGGAGCTGAGTGTCCGGGAAGAAGCTAGTGCTATTGGCACGACCTATGGTTGGAGAGCTGTATACGAACGACGCCCCACCTTTGGAACGCTTCAAAAGGCAAGTGAATCCCGAAGTTTTAGAACAGAACGGGGACTACCGACCACACGATGCAATGGCAACCTGTGCACGACTCGCTTCACAGACACAAGATCTTGAAAGAAAAATCTAATGACAAGGTTCAAATCACCAATGGCTGTATAAAGTACTCTTGACTTGTCAACTCTTCGGCCTGCTCTTGATGAAGAGACTGACCTGGCATCCAAAAGCCAACAAGAGAAGCTACCATGCACGCCGAAGATATAGCGGATCCACCGCCTACATAATACACAAATCTACTGCTGCTCATTGGCCTGTCTACACAAATGTCACGCGACTGAATGGTCAGATATCTTATTACCAAGAGAAATTCTCGGAAATATGTGATGCACTTGTGCGTAAGTGTGAAGGATCGGACCGGGAATCCTGCAAGGCGATATATGTAGTCGCGACTCGCTAGAGCCCAGCTAGTCGCTGTGATCTAGATGAAGAGTGAGCCGGGGAATAGCCGTAGGCACAGCTATCATCAACTTCATCTTCGTGCAAATAGATTCTGCAAACCTCCAAGTCCTTTTCGCCGGCCTTGCGGATGGATGAAGTCTATATCCAAAAGCTCCGGTTCTTCTAATCCAGGACGTCGCAGCCTTGTTGCAGCTGACAGCGTGCTTTGACAACACGTCATGATCTCCAGAGTCATGTCTCCGATGCCTCGAGGCTCTGGATACATTTCGTGGCCCGTTTGCGAGGCTAGAGACGAGGAGTTATTATGGAGCATGGAAAGTCCTCAATTCGAGCTTAATCTTCTGCCAGTGTGAGGATAGATGTATGTATGTAGATGGAAGTCGCCTCCAGACCCGGCTCCCGACCGAGTGCCGACTTTCTGCCGAGGCAGAGCGTCATGACGACTGCACTTGCGGTGCCAATGTATACAGTTCTCTCTGAACGATCACCGACGACAATGTCGGAAAATACTGCTTGGCCGCCTGCAAATGGACTCTGCTCGCCAACAGTCCCACGCAAAGACGCCGTCTTCAGCTTCTCCCACTCCTTGGCCATTGCCGCGCCTGCGTCTGAGGTCTTTGAGCACGTACTACACATAGCAGACTACGAGAAATGGAATACCTGGGTGCCTGTGGTGAAGATAGTCCAGCAGCCCAGTCCTGAGGACGACTTCAGTCATATGCGAAAAGGCACCATCATGGAGTTTCACGTAATCATGGACGCGGGAAAGCCTTCCAAAACAACGACAACCGGCTTGTTGGTCACCGACATCTCGACTCCTGAGCAGCCCACCGAGTATATTGATCAAGAGACACGAGAAAAGGATGGATCGTATTCTGCAGATCTAAACAAGGTCTACAGGGTATCGTGGAAGACTCATGGCGGTTTTGCTTCGAGAGGTCTCAGATCAGAGAGATTTCATGAGATCATTGCAAGAGGAGAAAATCAATGCGAACTCAGGACTTGGGAAGTTATGGGTGGCTTCCTCGCATATACCGTCAAGTGGATGTTCCAGAAGACTCTCGATGACAAGTTCGAGCTGTGGTGCGAGGACTTGAAGAAGTACAGCGAGGCAAAGGCAGGAGCTACGGTGTGATATCCATCGCCTTGACGGCCTTCACCTCGGCGAAATCTCTAAGCTCGTGTGAATTATGACTAGAACCGTCTCGGCTTTGCCAGGCTTGGCTTGCTTGCTTCGCGGCGGAGAGTCATGTACGGGAGTGATCACTGCGATGTTTGTGAAACTCCACCAGCAGAACACGCTCCATCTGTCGTGGGACAAACTGACAGGATTGTGAACGATCCTTCGAGCCACGATCAGGGGATCACCAGTAATCGCATGCTGCTTCCGCAGCCCACGCCGATCTAGATCAGCGTGGGTCTTCTCCAGCATGCTTGGTCCATTGCAATCGCTTGGGCTCTTTATGAAAGTGAGAATTGGAATACATCCACTTCAGATATTCATCTCCACTCTTGAATCTTGCATATTGTTCATCGACCTAGCACTCTTCGGCTTGGGCCCGATCACGATCCTGGGCGTGTGGCGTGTGTGTTCGGAGGTCAGACATCACTGCTACATTGCTTCCAAGCCTCTACAAGGTACAGCAACACCCACGTTGGACGCCAAGAGCCTGAAGAAAGTACCTACAGCGAAAGAAAAGAGGAAGTGAGAGCTTGCGAGAGGCCACCTGGAGATGATCTCGCCGCATAAGTCCGCAAACACTTATTCCCGCTACACTACCCCTAGTCCCGCAGTGCTGACTGAGCCGGGTTGCGTTGGTGAGCATTGCGCTTCTTCACCTTAGGTCATTTCATGACATGTAACGGCAACATATCGACCTGAAATTTCCGTAAGAATCACGAACCCGTCAATCGCAAGGAAGTGAATTTTTATATCCTGCATGACAAAGTCAAGTCACTGGGATCAGACTGAAGAATTCAGTAACGAAATGCAATTTGGGTATATTCAATGTAGGCGCCCCTTCTGAAAGCAAACCAGAAATCAACGCCATTCCTCCCCGAAACCCGAATACAAGAATCCGATTCTCCCTCCAACGCTTCTCGCCTGCCTGCTGTTTCTCGGCTACGTTCAGCATCTTCTGGTACATGAAGGCAGCTCTTTGTGCGACCTTGTTACGTCGTCAGTTAAAGCACATTATTGTTGAGCCGAGTGAGGGCATTCTGATCCCATGTGGCAGTATTCTGTGCCTCGTTGGTCGGTTGGATACTCAGAGCCCCGGCGATTGCTGGGACTTCATCGATGCGATGCGCGCGATGCCAGTCGGCATCGTAGTTTGCAAAGACCAACTGCACAGTACGCGTGAATACGCCAGCATCCTCGCCTGTCGGCTCTCGAGTCACGTCGACGCCCTGCCTGATTTGCTCGAAGGTAGGGTATCCTCCTGTTGCGGTCTGGCCTCGACGAGGCGTCCAGGTCGTTACGTCGTAGAGGTCTAGGAAGTTGCCATTAGCAGGAGCGGTGCTAAATGGCAGGGAGTCGGCGTGGCTGGCTTGTAGCCATCTCGTGGTTGTCCAATTCTCGTCGTTGTAGTGATCGCGGCCCGCGACGAGAACTTGGTGACGGAGAGCATCGTGTCGCCTGGTCAGATTGGTGGCATTCAGCTCACCACGGTGGAAGAGTTGCGCTTTCGCGATATCCTTGACCTTCCACCCGTTGCGCAGAAGCCGAATCAGGTAGTCAGCCCACTGGGACTGGTGCGGAAAGTAACAGCATAGTTCGCGAGCGCCGAGTGCCATGTCTGGGAGATCGAACTTCACGTTCACGGGTGTTCGGAGCACCTTTCCAAGCGTTGGTGGATCCCCACTACGTCGACCATTGCCTTCTCCGCCATCTTGGCCCTTGCCATCTCCCTTCTTAGAGCACGGCGGAGGGGCCTTGCCAGCTTTGGCGTCGGAGCGTGAGCCACCGGAAGAACTCTTGCTGCCTCCCTTGCTGTCTACGTCGGACGGCTCAGTGGGCTTCGCAAAGATGACTGTGGAGTTTTTCATCTTGTCGGCGAATACAATCTCAGCGCCATTGAAGCAGACCGTCAGCATGCCGTCCTCGTAACCGTCGGCTATTTCAGCGCACTCCAAAAGCGCGCAAAGGCTACGGTATGCAGGCGGGGAGAGCTGGGTGTGCTCAATGGCTGCTGCCATAGTTAGCATCACGAACCAAACGATCAAGCTGGTCGAGGCAAGACTCACCTTCTTCGGAGCATTGCTTGCCGGACGACATCGTGGCGTTGGGACTGGATATTTGCGCTCGCGGTGTGTCGGTAGGGCGTGAAAAGTGCTTGGGATGGGCGAGTGTAGTCGTGAAGAGGTGGTTGTCTGAGAAGGAGTGTTGCTGGTCGAAGTTTGTATGTTTGAGGTTGAAAGGAGGTTGAAGATTGCCTTTTATAATCGAACGTGAAGCAGCAAACGATGGCAAAGCACGGACGCTTTGCAATTCGCACGTGCTGCAACTCTCCTTCACTCCCTCTCACATGTAACAATAGGGCCTCCAGTCAGACTCTTCGCCTTCACAAGCAGGACCAGTAACAAAAGCATGTGAGACTTCCTAATGTTCCAAGCTCGTGATTCCGTTGATTCACTCACTCATGCGGGTCCAGTGTCGGGTTAGCGAATTCAGTGATGTAGGCCACTAGAGGTGGAATTTTTCTTCGCAACTATACCCTGTGCGAATAAGAAGCACTAAGGGGGCGTATATAATCCTCTTAACGAGCAATTTGTCCTATTGGCTAGTATAGTGCAAAGATTTAGTCTTATACCTGAACGGCATGAGGACGAAAGCAACGCAGCTGTTACACAGCATTCTTAAATTCTCGGGCGACTTTGTTCCAGGAGCCTTTCAGCGACTCTATGCCCGTTTGCTCAACACAGAGAGCTCTCGACACGACTAGCTAAGCCGGACCAAAGCAATTCGCAGGACGCAGAAATCTCGGGAGACATTGCTTGACATGTGACATTGCAATTTATTGCTTGGCCACAGTTCTTTCGGATCGCTTTCCCAGGAGCGACAGTAGCTCTACAATGAGTTGATCTGGCGCGTCAGAAAGGAACTTGTGAGTCGGCGATTGTTTATAACGCACGTTTCTAGAGAATAGCTACCTCCGTTCCCACACAAGGAGATTTTGTCAGGGCACAATAGGATCGAACGCAGCAAAGTCGATTGATCATCTATAGTTTCTATGGCAATCATAAATCCTTTTGAAGCATAACCACCGTCTTAAAAGCCCATTCTCGTGGCGCACTCGATATCCAGATTAGCATGAGGCTGAGCAGCGACTAGGCTCACAGCCTGATTGTCAAGCTGCTGGACGATCCAGTCCCAGTCTCTCGTAGTCAGGTTCGGATACGCAGAGCGATGCCGCAACCTCTCGCAGAGCGAAGACATAAGCACGGTCAGGCTTACACTAAGTGGCAGCAATGTCTTGATCCCTTGGAGACACACGTGTGAGGAATACGGTGAGGGATACAGTTCACCTATTGCTTAATTTCATGCTGGAACAAACCCATTACCACTGAATAGCACAAGGCCTCTAGTTAATCACAAAGGTATCTCTGTATCGCTCCAAATCATAAAAGAATCCGACTTGGTAAGCAGCTGATTGCATCAGCTTTGTCATAAGGAGTGTCTCTCGACGCAATCGTCTTTCGAACTCCAAAACGCCCTTTTCTTCCGAAACCATCCATCCAGCGCAGAAAAGCCGAAACAATCATCCGCCTCCTGGCCCAAGTCATGCAAAGGACATTATAATGGCGCTCATGGATTCATAGCTGCTTTCTTCTCGAGATCCAGGTTGGCGTGTGGCGCGACAGCGACTGGGCCCACAGCCTGGTTGCCCAATTGCTTAACGATCCAGTTCCAATCGCGAGTCGTACGGCCAGGATATGTCGCATGGTGCTGCCTAGCCCAGTCCAGGCACATGGTCATGATTCCGCGATCCTGTCCTGTAGGCCAATTTGCAAGAGCAGTGGGTGCGTAGACGTCGGAGAGTTTGGCGTGTTGAAAGACAACTTGGCCATCGTCCCAAGAGTCCGCCTTGAGATCATTCTGCGGACCAGCTCTCAGCGCATAATTGACGTCCCAACTGCCCCCAACGTTGTAAATCTCCTTGCCGAATCGGCTACGCTGCTTCTTGAGACGATCGCCGACTTTCTTCGGGTTTTTCTTGTTCACCGCAAGCCCATAAGCTTGAAGTTGCATAGTGGATAGCTCCTCCGTCACAAAGCCGTTCCGCATCGTGCGATCCGTCACCTTGCCCACGAGCGTCCAATCTGGATTCCAGGTAGAAATTTCACTCAAATTGATTGAGTATTCGAATGGGGGCCGCAGACACTCGTTGAAGAGGGCGAAGACCAGATTCTTGGAGTTCACGCGGCTGAGATCTCGTGTTCTCATAAGTTGGTCGTTGTGAGTAGCCGAAGGAGGTCCGGAAAGGGTGTTAGTAAGGCTGGTAGCTGGTAGCAAGGCGGTTGCAGAAGGTATAACGACACCCGAGTCTGCTCGACCACTAGGAGCGGTGTTAGATGTGGTGCTTGTCGAGCCAGCGCCTAGGGGGTCAGTGAACCCTGGCAGCAGGCTGGCCTGCATCTGTATTGAATAGCTCAGGCCTCTGCTGAGTGGCGAAAGTCCCTTTGGTGCTCGAGAAGTGAATGAAGCAGATGGCCTGCCCTCCTGTGGCCTGCTACTTCTAAGAAAGCCTGTGATAGTGTCAGTACCGTGGCTGGCCTCGGTTCGATCATGTTCTTACCAGTCGGGAAACTGTAATTCTGCTGGCCAAATGGAGATGATATATCACGTTGAAGTGAGTGGAGTTGAGTGCTATAATGCTCGGCTGTCGCTGCTGCTGCACAAGGTTGAGCAAGATTTTGTACGATACGAGTTAGAAATACCTTCTTACTTGGCAAAGGATCTAGTCGTGGACGCTTGTCAGCAGGTGCATCGTTGAATCCGTCGCCGTTTGCAGAGGTTAGATTCTCGGCAGGCTGCTGCTGGCGCCGGGAGTTTGTGTATGGGTTGAAGCGACTGGCTTGGTTTTGCTCTTGGGCCGGCCAGACTGGACCTGTGTATGATGGATTGAATGAATGACTTGGGCCTGTGACCTTTTGCTGAGGATAGTTGATCCCGTCTTGAAAGCGTGCAATCATCTCATCATGGTATGTACGTAGATTGGAGGTTGAGTCCGTCAGTCGCGTCTGACTATGCTCTACATCGGCAGGAACACTCTCTGCCGCGTTGGTAGATACTGGATCGCGATACTGCCCATCAAAGAACCGCCGGGAGACTGGATTAGAGAAGTCCGTTTCCATAAAGGCGCGCTCCTCGATTGGATCGTCGAAGATGAGCCCCATGTTCTCTGCTGTGCTGATATGACCTCTATGTGCCAGTTATGGTCGTCCTCTTTGTCGAGGACTTGACTGTTTGATGTTGCACTTGTAGGAAGTTGAAAAACAAATACTCTGGGCAAGTCAAAGTGAGGTTTTGAAATCGAAGCACACATCGACGCGCATGTGCTGATGGTGAAGTGCCTCACTGCGCATTCACGTGTTGGTTGCGGAGGGCAACAGAGTCGTGAAAGAGTGTTGCTGCTTCACTCGTACTTTGACGCGTCGCAGATTCATTTCCACGGGCAGAGAGTGTCTAAGCCTTTGAAGGAGAGTTCGTAATGAGGTAGATGTATAGATGCTCCAAAGCCAGGCGTTATAGCTTGCTGTAGCGAATGGGTATACGTTGCACTGTCGAACACCTTCGATCTGGTCAAAGGTCTCCATGTCCGGCGCGAAAGAATATGGTTTAGAAGCCATCCTCTTTCTTCGGCCCCAGCAGGTGTGCCTCGACCCACAACTTCCGATCACCCTCCTCTACCATAGCAGGATCAAGAAAAGCCGCAAGATTCTTTCCTGCGCCGCCCTTCTTCGCCAGCCTTCTATATGTACCCAGACCCTTTGACTGCGGCATTACCCAAATATCAATCCACCATTGCCGCTCCGACTCAGAATCGAACAAACGAGCCATTGATATCGGGCTATCAGCTCTCCAATCATACCCTTTTGGCTTCTTGGCGACCAGGTCGCGCAGTCGGTCTGTAATCAGCGATCTAAGAAGCAAAGCGTCTGTAGAACCCTTTGCGTCGATAAGTACATTGGCCGGCACCTTGACGTAGCGGAGGTCATAAGCTTCAAGATGGTTGACGAGACGCACTGCCAAATGCAACCTTTCCTCGCATCTTTGGGTTGTCGGCTGTTCCATAAGCGGCTGATATGTCAGGTTAGGAAGAATTGGGAGCCACTTTTCAGGAGAAGTGTCGTGCTGAGACTCTGCTAGGTACTGTTTCACCCTGTTTCGCGCCGTCATATCGTCTGCTTGGTATGGAGGACTTCTGTTCCCAAAAGATAGTGACGTGACTTGGACATCTGTGTTTTCGCCCTGGCACCGATCTCCGATTATGATGAGAGGACTCTTCGAGAAAATCCGCTCAGGTATCAAGATATTGTGATGGGTACTCGCATTGCCATCCGCGAATTCGAGAATCAAGCCGCTGTTCATATTTTTGTGTGTACCGTCCTCTCCAAAGTTCCGGTTCCCAATTCCTTCGCACCATCCTAGACGATGCTGCTTCCAGATGTCAATGGAGGCTGGCGACGGAAGTGGCTCTAATTTATTGACCACTGAAACCTTGATCTTGATAGGAATTTCAAAGTCCCTCGATGAATCGATTGATATTGGGAAAAGATCAGCAATGCATCGCCATCGGAATCGCCCAAGTTGATCCTTGTTGATAAAGTCGTCTCTGCCGTCACCGAATGAGATGAAAGCATTCATATCCAAGTCAAGTCCAATCCGAAGCAGTTCTCCGAGCAGGTCGGCATACTGATCTTGACAGACACGAGTACAAGCCGCTTGCAGAACGGCGACAAGTGACTCAGGGGAGGCATTGAAAGCAATTTGGTGCACCTCGTCTTCTCTGAGACATGAATAGGCTGTATTCTTTTCGAACCTGAACATGAGGTTGACCTTTGCGCGATGCGGAAGCGGAGGTGGAACCATCCTTCCGTGCTTGCAAGTATCCACAAGGACATCGTCGTCTTCCGAATCGATGTACGCAGGCGGCTTGGCAGAAATTCCGAGTCTCAATGTTTGGGCGAATCGCTGCTGAAGACTTTCAAGGTGAAAGCCATCCGGGTGAGTGCTGGCGGCTCCCTGCTCGTCGTTTCTGAGGTGCGTTCGTTCGCTGCTTTGCTGCAAGCCGTCACCACTAGGTGCATAAGCCAGATCAATAACTTGTCGTGGTTGATCCAGTGCCCTGGACACCGGTTTGCGAGAGTGCTCATTGCTGCTCATGAACGAGGTATCAGAAGCATACCCCGTCCCGAACGACTCTTCATTCATTGTGCTGGACTTTGAAACCCCAGTGGAGGATCTCAGTCTTCCTAAAGAAGCGTCACTGGCATTTTCAGGATCTGTGCGCGCATCATTTGTCCCACGCTCGAATCTGTTCTTCCTGATCGGAGATTTCATCTTCGCAAGCCACTGCTTGATATTCTTTTTGCTGAAGGTCGGATCACGCATGAGACCGATCGATGAGTCGAAGCAGGTGAAGTGGAATGGTGCTCCAAGTGAGTAGAGGACTTTACCTTCAACTGTTCTGAGAGCAAACTGCTTCAGATGTATGTCTCAGACTCGGTGAAAGACAATGCGAAATGGTTTGCTGGTCAGCTCGGAGCTCCAGCTGTGTTGGGCACAAGCTGCGGGTATGCATCTTATACCGATGTTTTCCATTGGCCCTGATGTTGTATTCGTCTGGTCAAAGCGGCGTGCAGTGGCATGAAGATGCCCGTACATGGCTTGACAATTTTGTCAATACTTCGCGTCACGTACATACCTAAGTAAACAGCGCGCATTTGCGCATGGTATCATCCCATTAAACTCCCAACTCCGGCGCTGTCTCTGCGCATTTCCCGATCAATCATTTTCATATGCTGTCCCAGAACATGCCCGCATAATAAGCCTTAGGCAACGTTCCATCTACATTCACCACATTCACATCTCCTCTTTCCGAATTTCTGATCACTGCTCTTGTGTACTCTCCAGTCTTCTCGTCTTTCCTCGCATCAATTCCGAGACTGCGATAGAACTGCAACTTCAGCACAGTCTCATCCTCGCTATGCCTCTCACTATTCCTCCCGCCTTCTACGCCTTCTTTCTCAAGCGTGTCTAGTTGCTGCTTCAGAGCCGCAAGCTCTCCGCTCAATCTTTCGCTCTCGATTTCTGCATCACTGACACCCTTGGCGATGCGAAATTTCTCAGTATCCATTTTAAGCATGTCTTGCGCGTGCTTGCCGGCATCGTGTCGTTCTTCCTCATAGTCATAGGCGCCCTTGAGATTATTCAGCCGCCGCGAAAGGGACTTCAGTGCAGTGTGTTGCGCATTGAGTCGTTGTTGGCGGGACGATTCGAGAGTGGCCAAAGTGTCGGAGACGCGCGAGAGTGCATCTTTGTCGGGCGCAATATGAAATTGGCTGGTCGCCTGGGACATCAACTATCCGGCATGGTCAGTACGCGCAGGTTTCCTGTTCTGACCCTACTTAGACATACCTCTACGGGATCTTCGTCAAAAAGGACCATGTTTGCGGTATGTTGATGGCGGTACGATGTGTGTCGATTCCCGCCTTTGGACTTTCGGCCTGAAACTACTATAATACTGTCTTCGTCTTCGATACGGGGGGTTTCTTCCCACCCCAGGCTGTTCGATTGATGATTTGTTCGCGAGTCGCGATTGTTGACGCGACATCAACAAATCCCGCTGTTGCTCGTTTCCACAGCGCCGGAAGCTAGCCGCGTACCAAAAGCTACGCACGGACTGGCCTGCAGATGACGTTTCGCACATGATGGCAAGGCAAGCACGACCCTCAGCAAGCTCTCTGGCAGGCGACACTTTGCGCGACTATCAAACGTACCACAAACACTTGTCTGAGTCGATCTGTCAAAATGGTCAGCGGGCATCTGCCATGTGAGTAAAGCAGCATCTTCGTTATGGATCTCGCAAGCGGCGCATGGCGAACAACAGCTAACAAAACCCGCGTTCCAGACGCCGCCGATGCAGAAAGGTAATGTCTCACATCGACACAACCATAACTTCACCAACTGACAAGTTGATAATATAGCCCTCTCAAACCCGCCGAACTCGCCGTTCTCCGCTCCCAGTACGAAAAAGAAGGCGAATACGTGTCCCTCCAAACCAAATTTAACTATGCCTGGGGTCTCATAAAATCCACCCAACGTACCGAACAACAGGAAGGCGTACGACTCCTCTCAGACATCTTCAGACAATCTCCCGACCGAAGACGAGAATGTCTCTACTATCTGGCGCTGGGAAACTTTAAGCTTGGAAACTATGCTGAGGCGAAGAGATATAATGATAGTTTGCTGGAGTTGGAGCCGAACAATCTGCAGAGTCAGAGTTTGAGTCAGTTGATTGAAGATAGGGTGCAGAAAGAGGGACTTGTGGGAGTGGCGATTGTTGGAGGACTGGCTGCTGCGGCCGCTGTTGTTGGTGGGTTGTTGATAAGGGGAGCGCAGAGGAAGAGATAAGACGAAGGAAGTGGCACGAATGTGAGATCTTGAGGCTGGCAAAGTGGCATATGCGATACGGGCGCAGAAAAGGCGTTTCGGGAATCACGAGGGTACTTCTTGCTTATTAATATTTACAGCATGTCTCGAGCGTGGAACGAGCATTTCCGACCCCTCACACGTTTGGCACATCCCCTTCATGAAAAAAGCGTCAGTCCAGCTGATCATGACTTCTGGCCATTCTAATCTGTTAGATTTCAGATATCATTGATCTCGAAGGTACGCAGATTTTGAGACGGGAGCTGAGCTGGCATCGACACGCTGGGTGGGATGCAATTTCATGAGGTTTTCGAGGTATAAGAGTCAACTCATTCATACAAATTTCCTCTGCTCCCATTCGGCTCAAGTCGGAAGGGCCAATTCAATAAAGCCACAGTCCAACAGCTTTATCCCTGGAGATAATCAAGCATGACTCTTGACCGCCTCTGAGAGATCCTCCATCTTTGCTGCAAAGTCCTGCCAGTCTCTGTTGACGTCGCTCCGGACCACATTTCTTGCTGCCTCGAAAACTTCCTCGTACTTCTCAGCCTTGCCCTCGCTCTTCTCAGCCATAGCTCGAAATCCTTCAATCTCCTTGTTTGCCTTCTCAATGGCCTTCTGTGCATCCTTCTCGGACTTCTTTCCAGCTTTCTTGACGTCCTTCCTTAGCTTTGTGATCTGGCAATCTTGATACTTGATCTCCGAAGCCTGCTCGGAATTCTCATCCTGCAGAAGACTTTCTCTTAGCTGAGATGCGTTCAACTCTTCCTGCAACTCGTTGGTCTCTTCCTTCTGCTTCGTCTCAAGTTTGCGGACGGTCTCCTCATGCTTCTTGCGAAGCTTCTGGGCCGTGTCCGCGTGTGCCTTCGGCGTGTCATTGATTTTCTTTCCGGTATCTTGAGTCTTCTTTGGTGTCTTGGCCCGCTTCAGCACTGCGATCTCCTTCGTCAGAGAAGTGACAGACTCGGTGATGGTGGCATTTTTGGCCCTCTCCTCGGCGAGATCCCTCATGAGCATAGATCTGTTCTGTCCAGTCTCGCGCTGACCTGTCTTTTCTCGTTCATAGGCTCTCTTCCACTCATCCGTCTGGCGTTGAAGGTTTTTAATCTCCCACTCCTTTGCATTCAGCTCGGTCGTACTGCTCTCAAGCTTGCGCTGCTCAATGTCAAGCTGACTCGCGGTCTGCTCGCATTGGAGTCGTGCTGATTCTTCCCGCAAACTTGAAGTCTTCCACAGATCATGGAGTTTCTCGATCTGAGCGTCTTTGGCGGAGAGGTCTACCGCTTGAGCAGCTACCTTCGCTTTCTCTGTTTCGAATTGGCCATTGAGTCCCTCCACGAGCGTCTTGAAAGATGTCGCTAGGTCGAGAGCCTGTGTCATTGATGGTCCGTTTGGCGTGGGATTTGTGGCACTTCCTACAGCAAATTAGCCATCACCGTCCTGGAAAAATAAGCAGGCGTACCGTGGTCATAGGCATAGGAGCCGATCTGTGGAGAGACCGGCCCATCCGATACCTGTGTCTTTTGCTTCTTGAGTGGTGGCTCCATCGTCATCGTATCACAGGGTATGATTGATTTGATGACTGATCTTATTGTTATACTAGAAGATGAATGCTGGTTGTAGGCCGTTTGTTAAAATAATTTGCAAGGCAAAGAGACTGTGATTTCAAATGAAGACCACATCTGAGGAGAAGCATGCGAAGGCGTAGTGAGTAAGGAGCGCTCCCAAAAGGCATTGTCGGCAGGTGTTAAGTGAAGCTGAAACCCGTCACGATGCGGTTGACTTCACGACCGTTGCCAAGGCCCTGTTTCAGCATCACATATGCAGGGAAAGGAAAGAGAGAGATGCCGCCATCAACTGAGTCCGGCTGGGCAGCTCTATACAGGAATCGGGAACATTCTTTCGGGCTCGGAAAGTGCCATCTGCGCTTCTTCATCGGGCGACGATTCCTCAGCGAGATCATCTTGCCTTGCCCCCAAGACGATGTGGGAGACGATATGGCAAGTGTAGTCCAGGGGATGCCGGAGTAGTGACAATCTATTCTGTGCCTCTTGGCAGGCGGCTCCATGGCGATATGAATCACTACTCATCGCAGTGGTGTACAGTACATGTATATCATATCCTGCACGTTAGCATGATGGCAAGGGGAGTTGAAGATTCACTGCTTGAGACACTTAATTGACAATGTCGATGCCTCGATGCCTCTATGGCTCGCCGGAGCGGGGCCTCAGCTGTTTCCATCAGAATTATGAGCCACATCATGGCCAGCAGATGGTGAATGTTCGTGATTGGGACTGTGATGAAGAATCGCAGGGCTGAGGAGCCGCGCAAAGAAAGTTGCGGTTGCTCCGGCAACACCCAGGCTGAAGCGCGCTTGCCCTGGACTTCTTCAAACACACAAGCGCTCCCAGTGACCGAGTGCATGTCACAGTAACGATGATCGCGGCGCAGTGACAATAAATACATACACAGCAAAATGGATGCGTTCCCGTTTCCACCGCGAGAGTCATTACAGCCTCTCTCGCCTGAACGCGTCAATGGCAGCACCAGGCCTCTCAGTGGCATGTCGTCCAAAACAACATCCACACCGGACTACCCCGAAAACCCGTCACCGCACTCTTCCCCCAGACGAAAGGCGGCCAACTTGTTCGCCGACTACGACCCCAAGCGGAATTCACCGGTGAAAGAATATGGCTTTGCATTACCAATGAGCCCATCCCTACCCGAGATTCACGCGTTTCGATCCCACGCGCGCACAAACAGCGACGTCCAAGGCCTAGTCAAGCGCTTTGAGCATTTGGATGTTCGCGATCGCGATGCAGAGTGGGAAGGAAGAAAGAAACGACACGAGGCAGAACTTAGACGGGCGCAGATCGCAAGGGAGGAGGCCGAGAACGATGTCAAGAGATTACGTGAAGAAGTTCGGCGGCTAAAGAGGGAGGGCGATGAAGGTCGCGATCGCGAGAGGAAATTAGGAAAGAGACTAGAGGTCGTGACGGTGAGAGCGAACCAGGCCGACGAATGCTTAAGAAATGTCACTAACATCTACATAGGAGGAATTTGCTAACTTCAAAGAATCGCAGACCTCGCAGCATTCAGTATACGAGAAGGAAGTCCGAAAGGCGCGGAAAGAAGCATTCAAGACGAGCTCAGCCGTGCTCAAGTTGCAAGAAGAACTAAAATCTACGCGCAACACTCTCCGCATAACACAGTCCGGCTTGGACATGGAGAAGCGCAAGGTGGCCCAACGAGAACAACAGACCTTCGATGCACAGTACCAATTGGTCGCCGTCCAAGAAGAGCTCGACAAGATGAGAACTCAACTGAAGACCGTTGAAGAGGAGAAGAATGCACTCAAGACAAGCTTGAAGGAAGAAGAGGTGGCTCGAATTGCAGCCGAAGGCATGATCGCTCTACCCCTGGGCAATCATGACGATGACGATCTCATGAGCCCACAACTGAGAAGAAGGTCTCCACAGAAGCGTCCGCAGTCCCCATTGTCAGATGATAAAGAGAATGTTGGCGTGGTCACGAAGAAGATGGTTGAGGCTAGGCAGCTCAGCGAGGAACTCGGTCGAGAAAGGATGAGACGAGAGGAGGCCGAAGAGCTCGTGGATTTCTTGCGACTAGAGTGCAAGTTTCAATGCTGTGGCTGCAGAGTGCGTGGAGACTCAGCCCACGATCTTCGTGAAACAAACCCATTCGCGGCAGCACTCGAAAACATTCGCGACACCATGCGGGCAGTCCTGACGACTCCTGCAAGCGAGACCGAGCATACCGAACCAAGCGTCGTCATTAAGCGTGAGTCTTCTCCTGAGGTGCACACTCAAAAGAGGGAAAGTGTGGACGTGGAAATGGAGGAACTTGCGCCACAAGACTCTCCAATGGAAGGCTTAGATCGCAGTATGACAATGGACCATCAGCCTGAGCCTGAAGATCAAGTGGGGGAAGAAGCTGTAATTGACGAGGAAGAGCCTATTGCGCCACGGCCGACTCCATTGGAACCAGAAGCACAGCCGGACGAGAATGGTGAGCCTACGCCCACCCCTGCAACCATGAAGGTGCCTTTGCTGCTTTCTAGCCCACAATCACCAGCCCACTCACAAGCTCAGACAACGCCGTACCGGCCAGGCTATGTGCGAACCATCACTACCACCACAACAATCCCAATGCATTTCACACCTCAGAAGCCAAAATTTGACGCCATGCAGGATGCTGAAAATATCCCACCTACGACAATGTCGCCGCGAGATAGATCCGGATCTGCGCCGACTTTTGACCGGGAGGCAGCACTGGCGGCCATCGCTTACAGAAGAGGTCGTGCCAAGTCTATTGCGGATGGCCATATGACGCCGCGGAAGCAGATGATGGAAGGTGTCAACATCAAAGAGAGGCGAGACATCTCAGCTCCAGCGTTGGGACAAAAGTCGCACGCAGCGAAAGTGAAGCTGGGCAAAGGGGTCGGTAGCGCAAGCCGGACGAGATGAATATTGAACCGAGGGAATGTCCTGCATCTTATCTTGTACATGACCGTCGAGTGGAAAGGTATGGGAAGGGTTCAGGTCTGGATTTTGAAACAGCGATGGCGAAACGGTTTGCTTTTGGATACCTTACTGCTAGGCATTGTCTTGTTCGGCTTCGATAGTTCCTTGTGTACGCTTCATGAGTAACTCCTATCCCTTCGGTCTTTGGTTCTACAATACCGACTGTTCAGCTCACTCACGTCACTAGCACAATCTTGCCCCTTTCCATTGCCATTCGATCTCCAGCTTTGGCAGTATTGCTGTCTGCAAGCTCATATGCGGCTCTCGCTTCTCCAAAAAGTTCCAAGGTCTTGGCCACAAACGTCTTCAGACCAGACTCCTTCACAGATTTCGCGATACGATCCAAGCTCTCTCTCGAAGGTTCCAGGATGAAGAACTTGCATTTCGGAAACGCAGTCTCTCGGGGCTCATTCGAAATGTCGTAGCTAGCCGAGTCGATCGTGACGAGTACCGCGTCAGAATTCCGTTTGAACAGTTTTGGCGAAAGCTTGAGAGTCTCGAGGACCTGTCCGCCAACCGTGTCGATCACAACGTCGAAAGAAGCTTCTTCGAATTTTGGGTTGTTGCGATTGTACTCTAGCATACCATCGGCCCCGAGCTCTTGGAGAAAGGCGCGGTCTCGCGAAAGAGAGCTTGTAGCTGCGATGACTTTATGCCCGGCGAATCGTGCAAGCTGGACGACATACATTCCCACTCCTCCTGCTGCGCCAGTGACGAGGACAGTTTTCGTGATTCCTGAGCGCTTGAGGCCTGCGTGCACGAACAAGGCTTGGTCGGCAGTCATGGCACTCATCGGGAGACAGGCAGCTTGTTCCCAGGAAAGGTCTTCGGGCATTCTTGCGAATTCGTCTTTCTCTGCAAGCACGTATTCAGCCCACGCGCCACCTCGGTGTGCGGAAGTCATGCCATGGACTTTGTCTCCAATGTTGAATTCTGTTTCGTCATCATGGACTGCTGAAATGATTCCGGAGAAGTCATTACCAGGCTGAGCCGAATTTTCTGCTTCGTACAGCTCTGGCCAAGTCAGAGCATCTCTTGTCACAGTTGTGGCCTTGACTTGGACCACGACATCTCCTGTTCTGCGAAGCTTTGGAATAGGTCTGTCGATGTTGACAATCGCTGAAGATGGCGCTGGATTCGCAGCCGAGTATGGCGTCGTGCCAGGTGTTGCAGCTTTGATACCGATTGCCTTCATCTTCAGCGAGGCGTGCATTCCAGACATCTGCAGAGTCCGTCCAATCTTGCTTCCGTGTTACACGACCGGTCGCAAGGCTATATAGCTTCTCTTGGTAGCTTCGCCAAGTTCTTTTGAGCTGGATGTACGATGGTGTACGAGCTGATGGATTCGTAAGCTAGACGATCTTGGGCTTTTCAAGAAATTGATTCTGCTTCAGACACCATAAAAAGGCATTTCCGGACCTTCGGACGACTGATCCTCCAAGGTCGTACCTGAAACCGAGTCAGTTGCCTAAAAGGGAAGGAAGGCTCGAGGCGAGCGAGGTTGGCTGATATAAGAGCGTGGTTTTGGTCAATCGTAGAGCATGCATCGCACTCCCACATCGTTCTCGTCGAACAAAACAGCCAACATGACTTCCGCCAAAGTGGTCAAGACCAACGGTGTCTACCATCTCAAAGGGTAAGTCGGGTCGCTTTGGAGAGTCGCCTACCTCTGACAGCAATGCAGGCGTCCACGAGAGACATTCAAGATCTTAGCACACCACCGACCTTCCAACATACTTGGCAAGTCATTGATAGTCGCAATGGTGGATATGGAGCCAAATGCAGCGTCCCCACCTCATACTCATGGTGGTTCTGCTGTCGTGGCATGCTCGATCGAGGGCACTGTGCTCAACCAGATGAACTCAAGTGCGCCTTTTGAGGTCAAAAAGGGCGGGATGTGGTACGAGGCTCCCGGGTGCCATCATGTTCGCGGAGAGAATGCCAGCAAAACAGAAAAGGCCAGTTTCTTTGCCGTATTCGTTGTCGATGACGAGGTCGTCAAGAATGGCTATGAAGGCCTGTTGGTGATTGATCAAGCCATCATAGATTCGGATGCTGCATGAACATGATAGTCGATAGTCAATAGACGCGCTATCGCGGTGACATCTCTGCTTCAAGCACAGCGGCGAGCGGGCTGAGTGAACCATCCTGAACAGATGTATCATAGTCGAGACGCGAGCAGAAGGCATGGTGGTGAGCTCCAGACAATGCGAGGAGCAGCCAACCATACCGAGATGTCGATGATAGACCTACGTGTGGCCTGTGAACAACGACTTGTGCGACGTTGCAAGAAGTCTCGCCAAGACGGCTCGTCGCGCAATTCTTCACGACAGAATACGAATCGCGTGCTCAAAATGGCGTGCTTTCGCCCGTGTGCTCATTCTTCAGAGTCTGATCACTACTTTCATTCCTCCGCCAATTTAATCCTATTCTATGCCTCGTTGGTTACAACTGTGCATTCTGTGCGGTTCGAATAGCAAAATCCAGCACGCCGTTCCTCGCGCCCATACCCGCTACTCCTGAGTGAACATCGTTACGGGGTTCAAAATTGAATCGCCCAGTCCTCAAGTAGTCAATCTTGACGTTTTTGAGGGATGGCGAACTGCTTCAAGTATTCATAATCCGCAACATTCTCGGCGACGGTCTTCTTGATCATGTCAGCTGCCTCCCGGCCGTATTTCTCAACCCATTCGGAGTATAACTGCTCATCAGACTTGGGGCTCTTCTTCTACGCGAAAGGTCAGCGTGTGTGTGCTTACCGTGGCTAATTCATTAAGCATAGATTCCGACTTACGTGCTGTCTCGGCTTCAGATCAGTCGAGTTGATGGCATCGTCGTGGAAACCATTCCACTTCTCGAACTGCTCTTTGGCGAACGCATGAGCCTCCTCGGAGTCCCATTGCAGCATGGCATCGCTGAAGTCAACGCCAATCGACTCGCAATACTGCTGCAGGATACCCTCTGGATCATCGAGCATGTCATCGGCATCAATGACGCAAATTTCGACCTGGCCAGGCTTTAATGTCTTGCCATCGTTTGCGCCGCAGACCTTTGGTCCGACAATACCTGTGTCCTTCAGGTAGTCGAAGAGACGACGCAGCTCATCGTATCCGGCTTCTTCGGGCATAAATGGCGTGAAACCGGTCCTCTCCACCAGAGGCGGAATGCAGCAACGGTAATAACTTGGGATCGCATTCTTTGGATGCCGAATCAAGAAGGTGAAATGGAACTTCTCCAGGATCTCACGAGGGACTACCGTTGGATTGTCGGCCTCGGCCTCAGACTGCTCGTATGGAAACGGAGGAGACTTTGACGGAGAACCGGGGCTTCTGGGCGGACTGGCCGCCGGAGTGACAACGACGCCCGAATCGTGGTCACTGGCGACGACTTCTGCATCTTTGCCGTCGCGGTCTGCACTCGATGAACGATCGTCTGTGCCAACGCCCCGCTTCAACCTCTGAAGAGAAGGAGCCAGTCGAGCTGGTGCTTGATTTGGAGGCAAGAGGTAGTGCGTGATGTCTTTGATAAAGACACGCTTGCCCTGTACACCTTGTTAGAAGAGGCCTTGCCGCTTGCTGGACAACACTTGAATGACTTTGGTTGGACGAGTCGAGTCGAATCGAATCGAATCGATGTATTACACCGTCACCATGTCATCACAGTGACATGTCCGAACATTCGCGGACAAATCCTTGAAAACTGGCAGTGCGTTCGAAGGCCTGTCAAAAGGACAATGGCCGAAGGAGGGAATGCGGTGTTGCAAAGGGTCAATCATGCGCCCGGGACGAAAATACCTCAGCTGCTTCTCGCTCGATGCGATCCATAATCGTTTTGAAAGTCGACCCAGCGAATCCGCTCTTCTCCCGAGCTTCTTCGTCATTCTCGAATCGGGTGCCCAATCTCTCCGGCCCATAGTAGAAGGCATCTCCGAACGGTTCATGGATGGTTTGGATGCTGTTGCGTCGGGTCATGAAGACCTGCAGAGCATATCAGTCTGAGCCTCCGAGGATCATTTCATGTCATCACTTGCCCTTTCAAATGCTGTTGAGCATGCCCTAGGGTGCGTTGCTACGAACACTGGTTTGTTCGACATTGTATCTAGACTTCAACCAATAACTTAAGCCCGAATCTATGTTTCAAGGCTTCGGCAGGATTGGCGTCGTCGAGCTGTAATGTTGCTTGATACGGTAATGTAAGTTTGTGGAGTGCTGAAATGTTTGGGCAACTGTGATGCCGTGGAATGTGAATTGTTCACAGAGACTTCTGTTTGCAGCACAATAATATTAATAGGCCCGCAAGTGAGGCAGAAGAGGCCGGAATAGAAGCAGAACAGAACTATTGGCGAGAACGGACTGGCGCAGCGCTACAAGGCAAGAGCAGCGCCACCGGATCTCCCTCAACCCACACTCGTGCCTCAACCCACGGGCTGAGATCACCGACCAAGGTTTGTGCGTTTGTGCAGGAACAGACGGAAGGAAACAGCCAGTGAGAGCGGACAAAGAGCGGCAGCGTGCGTCAGACCTGGTGAACTTTACGGTGGCGGACATTATTTTTGATGATGAGGGCCTCGCTCGGGGCCAACACGCGAGATGGCATGGCGGACAAATGCCCATGAACGAAGCTCCAATTGAAGATGCACATGTAGTGGGGCCTGTCCCCGCTGACGTCCAGCGTACTGTAAATCGGCAGCCGAGTCCCTGTGAAAGAGCGAGCTGAAGGCAAATCGTACCGTACTTGCCGCGCTCTGGCAGAAGTGACGACGCACGCATGTATCCGACTGTGGGATGGTATAGTTTGAGCTGCTTGACGCAGTTCAATGTGAGTGTAGTTCAGATAAGGATGTACAGTCGGGCTCGCCCGTATGATTTGCTCGCTGAGCCACTGAAACATGTGGGAAACGCATGTTCTTTGAGCACGCCATCGTCGTCCATTGAGATGTCGGGGGTCAGCGTCATGCGGTGCGCACTTCGCTACATTACACCACTTCTGCTCGTGCACTCGAGATCGATTCAGTGCGCAATCAAGCCTCACGAATGCCAATGGAGCGCTCATAGTACTGCGCCAGTCGCGCTTATGTTGTCATCCACAAGACATTGCTACCATTCTCGTGCCAATAAATCACTCGATTCACGGCCGATGCTGCGCTGAGCTGCATTTCCTAGGCAAAATTGAGAGACGTGCGAAGAATTGCAAGATGCAGCGTGGGCTCCTGTGCCGTAAGACCTCGGCTGAGATAGCTGAAGCAGGTTTGGTGCGATCAATAGTTCGCATGCACCTGATGGTGTCGTGATCATCAGAGTCCCACTGTTATCAGGTCCTTCAGGCCCAAGACATTACTTGAGATTTGTGCCCGGAAAATACGGCCATGGCACCGAGTGTGCCACTGGTCTCGGTCCGTGAGACTGTTCCCGCAGCATTCCCTCGACGGCGATCCCGCGCAGAGGTGCCCACGCCAATGCCACCGATGCAGCATGCTGCACTGCACGTACGCGGCGTGGGTGGGGTCAGCAAGCGGCCGCGAGCGTTCCATAGGCCCAATATCCAGACGAAATCGTCTGCTGTCGATCACGGTCGAGAAGGCTGGGTCGTGGCTGGCAGATCTACTTTGACAGCTTCCACTTTGTGTCCTCGGGGATCTTCCAATTGTTTACGTCCCACCTATTGTACATAATTAGCATTGACACAGTAGAAGGCCGACGTTTCAGCGGAGCAAGGCGAAGAGGAAGGGTGCGGTAATGGCAATTGCTCGTAGGCTGAAGTGTAAGAGAGCATAGCCGTGAACTCACCACCAACGGCGAATCTTGGCACCGATTGTCTGACCAGAGAATTTCACGGCCGTGTTGGAATGCCGCCACCTGCGCGAATTAGATATTCGATTGTATAGCCAGAGCATCACGGAAAGCTTACCACGCGATGAGAAGTGCATAGGCGGCACCCTGTACCATGGGCATCAAGACCTACACCGATCAGCCGTGAATTGAGCAAGTATTCAGAAAACGCATACCTGGTCCTTGATGGTGATGTACGCGATCACTCTCCAATCATTCGTCTGACTTATACTCTTGAGATAGCTTTGTTCAAATCGCAAGTCGGGCAATTGCAGATGTTTGGGAGCTCGAGGCTCTTCAGGCAGCGGCCTGAGTACTGATATCGGTATCTCATCCTCTCCAACATCTTCTGCTTCGGACATGACATCTGCAGCATCGTCGAATTGAACCGGGACCTTCTTGTCAACCGAAGTCTCTGGGGCCAAGTCGCGATTCGGGTCAGGATTTCGGTTGATCGATGCGGTCTGTACAGTCTCCGCGAATTGGATGGCCGCGTCTTCCATTTGACCTGCCATTCCGATGATTGTCGCGCGATCGAAGCGCGGATCGACGTGATTTGAATTCTGCTGGAGGAGGAGGTGGTGGTGGTGGTGCTTTGGGCTTTGGAGAAGATCCCTGTTTGACCTGAGCTTTGAGTTTTGACGCGGTTGCTAGAATAGCGGCTCAAGATCTGAATGAAATGTGTCCCGCACCTGCAACTGCGATCTCGAGCGGACTAGAAGTCACCTTTTGCTCATCCTAATAAGTTTCTGTTCTCCCGAATAGAGAACTGCACCTGGACCTTTTGGACCTGGAAGAAGCGGGTATCACGTGAAGATAAGATAGTCCAAACTCCGTATTCCATTTGAGGAGGGTCCGAGGGTCTTGCCGTCTTGGTTCTGTCCTCCTATACACTACAACACACACCTCCTAAGGAGAGACAGGCGCCAAGATGGGTAACGCAAATTCCGCCATGTTGGAAAACATCGTCCAGGGATCAAATTGTATGTTCGCGAACTTGACGCGCGAGATTCGCCTCCTGTATCAACCTTCAGCTGGAAACATGACCACGTGCTGACCACTACTGCGCATACAGTCGATCGAGACGAAGTGGACAGGCTTCGCAAGCGCTTCATGAAACTAGATAAGGTGCGCGCTCTGCTCGATATGTTGCAAACTATTCCTGATGCTGGCGCAGGACAACTCCGGCACAATCGAACGAGACGAGTTCCTTTCGCTACCTCAAGTATCTTCGAACCCGCTAGCCACTCGAATGATTGCAATTTTCGATGAAGACGGAGGTGGCGATGTCGACTTCCAGGAGTTCGTGACAGGGCTCAGCGCATTCAGCTCAAAAGGAAATAAGGAGGAGAAATTGCGATTTGCATTTAAGGTATACGACATCGACAGGGACGGCTACATCAGCAATGGCGAGCTGTTCATCGTCCTCAAGATGATGGTCGGCAGCAATCTGAAGGACCAGCAGCTACAGCAGATTGTTGACAAGACCATCATGGAGGCAGATCTCGACCATGATGGCAAGATAAGCTTCGAGGAGTTCACGAAGATGGTTGAGAACACTGACGTTTCTATGAGCATGACCCTAGGTATGCCATTGACTGTTTTGACCACATTTGATTCCCTCGCTAATTTCTTGCAGACCAATTCTAAACGAAAATGATACCCATACATTACGAGGCACGTCGAGAAGCGAGATCGCATGGTAAGGGATGGCATTGGCTGGTCCACATCTTTTCCTGCACTTCAGAGTTTCGCTCGAGGCTTGTTCTGCTTCAGTCTCTCGCCAGCTCTTTCCTCCCAGGCATGTATCACTTGGGTGTGGTCCGCTCCTGCACCCGCCACACGATCCGCAAACGAAATCTCGTCCACGATCAGATCAGCAAGTCGAGACCTCAATCCAGTACTGCGAAGCACTTCTCGAGCGATTTTCATGTCTTTCAGGAGAAGCGAAAGCTGATATCCAGACTGGAAGCGACGAGTAAGGGCCTGGTCGAATTATGTTCTGTAAGCATGATTACCAGAAAAGAGACTCCAATCGCAAAACGATACGACTCACATCGGTCTTGAAACTCTCTTTTGTGCTAAAATTCACTCCAGTACCTACGTTCATCACATCTACCATCTGTGCCGGATCCAGCCCAAACTTCTGACCTGCCAACAGTGCGTCACATAAGCCGAGAATGCTTGCCCCAGATGTAAAATTGTTGAGCGTCTTCATCGCATGTCCGGATCCTAGTTCACCCATTACAAAGACGTGCTTTCCCATTATCTTCAAGAATGGCATGGCCAACTGAAGCGCCGCCGTATCGGAGCAGCCGACCATCAGAGTTGCGTCTCCTTTCGCCAAAGCAAATGCGTATTCTTGAGTTATTGGGCTGTCGATCAAAGTCAGGGCTGGATTGGTCGATGCTAACAGCTTCCCAGTCTCTTGAGTGTGGTAAGGCGATGAAGAAGATGTATCGACAATGATTGCACCATTCTTCATGTGCTTAGCTATTCCTGCTGGGCCCAGAAGCACATCTCGCACGATTTCGCCATTTGGAAGCATCGTGATCAAAATGTCGACATCTCGGAATGCGTACCCTGAAAGACTGGCGGCCCTGGATGTTTTGTGCTCCTGTACAAACTTCGAGACACGACCTGCATCGGCATCCTGGACTACAAGTTCGTATCCTGCCCGAGCAAGCAACGAAGCCAGAGGATATCCTGCATTTCCCAGACCGATATAGCCAATTTTACAGACTTGGTTCGCCATGGCGGTCGAGTTGGCGACGAAGAGAGGATCTCAGGATGACATGACTTGAATTCCAAGTCAGTCCAACAGTCTTGCTTCCGAACCCGGTGTTTGATTTGTCTTCAGGTGCTCCAGCTCCTGGCTAATCAGAACCAATGCGTACCTGCAGTTGCTGCGGAGAAGGTACAGCGTGGCTCGGCAGTTACTCCATCTTTCTCTGATGGCTCAGTCTACTATTTCAGACCGAGATTACTGTCAGTGAACGTGACTCGGGTGAAGGAAGTTTTTGAAATGTATGTCGCATGTCCAAGACGAGGTTGGGTGCAAATGAAACCGCGCAGGGAGGGCTGGCGATGCATGCCACACGCCAAGATCATCCAGCCTCGAAGCTTCCGTCCGTTCAAACAACGTTGATCGCGCTCTTCATCCCGACAGTAATGCTTATGACGTTCTTTCCGAGATCACAAAGGCTCATACCCGGTAGCAAAGGGATTGTCGTGGGGGAGACATTGCTGCTATCCACATGCATTCTATCTAGACACTGTGTCAAAAGTCAATACCAAATCCGAGTTTTGCCCATTACAATGACGCTCAAGCTTCAAGGATGAGACGTCATCTACAACAAGCAGATTCGAATGACATTAATAATGTCTTCTAGAAAGACGTGATCGATACTCATATTTGTAAGACACAGCAGTATCAAAGTGCTTCATATTCGCCATCCTCAACCCCACAAGCGACAACACTGATCCCACTCATCCACTCACTCTACATACACTGCACATCTAGACAAAACAAACCACCACCACAATGCCAACCACTTTAATCTTCGGCGGCTCAGGCAAAGTCGCCCGACACCTAACCCGCCTCCTCGTCTCCGAAGGCCAAACAGTCCACTCCATAATCCGCAACGCCGCCCAAACCCCCGAAATCGAATCTCTGGGAGGGAAACCCATCGTACAATCCATCGAAGCCTCCTCAATCGAAGACATGATCCAAACCATAAAATCCACAAACCCCTCCACCATCATCTGGGCCGCAGGCGCCGGCGGCGGCTCCCCGGAACGCACCCAGAAAGTCGACAACGAAGGCGCGAGGAAATCCATGGACGCCACTGCCAAAGCCGGAGTCACGAAACGTTATATCATAATTTCGGCTATAGATGTCAGGGATCGGGAGAGCAGGCCTGAACCGGAGTGGTATAATGATTCGGATCGTGAGCGGTCGGGAAGAGTTTGGGGGGCGATTGGACCGTATATGCAGGCGAAGTTTGCGGCGGATAGGGATCTTGTGATGAATAATGAGAAAAGGGGACTGGAGTATACGATTGTGAGGCCTGGGGGGTTGTCGCAGGAGGCTGGGAAGGGGAGGATTAGTGCTGGGAAAGTGCATTTGGATGCGATGATTTCGAGGGAAGATGTTGCGAGGGCTGTTGTGGAGATTATGAAGAATGATGGCACGATAGGGTTGGCGATTGATATGGTTGGGGGTGATACGCCCATCAAGGATGCAATTGCGGAGGTTGCGAAGAATAAAATTGATAGTTTTGCTGGGAGGTACTAGGGCATGACGTGAAGAATTTCGTTGGCATTAATAGGATGGGGTATATAGCTGTATAAAACCATTTCTATAATGCTGAGAAACTGTCGACTTCGGTTCCTCGTTCCCAGGTGACAAAAAGAGAGGAAGAAAGCATCACCCCAACGCCTTGCTAAATGTCGTCGAATGCTTGAAGCAGACGCTGTGCTCGATGCTTCTGTACAAGATTAATAACGCAGCTTGCCAACCAACCCGAAAGTGTATGCAGCCTCGCGCTCCTAGAAACTTGTCAGCAGTGGCTTCGAAAGTCAGATCATGTCTCGCACTTACCGATTTCAGCTGTATCATGTACACCGTCGTCTGATGCGGAAGCACACTGCCAATGGCACCCACGTGAGGACTTTCCTCGTATACGCTGACGGCAATGCCCGTCCTGGCGACACGTTCGAACGCGCTCTCTCCAAGCGTGACATCGAGCATCGTTTCGCCTTTGCTCTTCCCGGAGACGATCACTCGCTTTTCCAGTCCCGTCACCCTTGGATTTGCAGCAATTGTGGGATCTTGTCGTGGTGGCAGCAGGACAGTCAGTCGAGCAGCACCCATGTCGCGCCACCTCCCTGCAGATTCGCGCATGTACATACGAACTTTTGCATTGTTGATTCCAAGCGGCGTACCTACAGAAGGGTCAAATTGGATCGGAGTTGCAGTGCCAGATGATAACGACCCGCTGTTGGTGCTCCTTGTGCCATCCCGAGAGGTGATAGTACTGTTGCCGATGTTGAAGATCTTGCTGCCGCTGCTGAATCTCCGGAGTGCTGAGAATGCTGTTCCGACTGTGCCGACCGAGGATTCAGTCGCTGCAGTAGACTGTGCCCTGCTACCTTGAGATCGATACGTGCTGCTCTTCCGTGAACCAAGATTCCACCATGACCTGCGCTTGTCCATGGGGTTCGGTCGCTGGTCCATTATCTCGCCCCAGTTGCTTTGTTGCACCGGTCCGCGAGCGTTCTGTAGAGCTATGTACGTAGGGTTATCGATACGTGCTCTGTTGATCAAAGCATATAGCCTCTCGCAGTCTTCTGGACTTCGTGAACGGAACAAGATGTTGCTACTAGATTTGAGCAGAGAGTTGGAAGAGGGCGGAGACCTGATTGAGATGTCCACAGCGGTCCCGCGGCGCAGTGGAACAAGCGGCGTGAGCTCAAGTGCTACTAGTGGTTTGATTCCTTTGGCAGACGGGGTTGTATGTTGATCGTCCAATTGTACGGAGTTGGCTTGTACTAGGTCGAAAGCTTCGATGAGGCCCGGTGTGATGAAAATCTGACACTCCTCGGGATGCAGACTGTCCCAGCTTCCACGCTCCGACCATGCGCAGATGGACGCTACAGTCTTTCCAGCTTCAACGACAGTTGGAGGTACCGTGCGATACGGTGCTTGTGACGCAGATTCAGATGGGGCAAGACTTGTACCTGGAATGCTGTAGGGCGAGCTTGGTTCTGTAGCAGGCGGGGGCGACTGTCGCAGTCCCTTGCTGGCATAATCTTGGAATCCTCTGAGGTCGCCGACAGTGGAGATGCCGTCCTCAGTCATCGGCGCTGGAGGATTGACAGCATCGTGCACAGTATCGTACACTGTAGATTCAGATGTTTCAGAACCCTCGTCCGAGAAGTCATCCGAGAAATCACTATCTGAAAGGGATTCCGATGCCGTAGATGGCTCGTACTCATGCTTCAGTGGCGAAGAAGGACGTCTGGTCTTCTTCAGGAATGCAGGCGTGAGCGAAGGGATCTTGCTCGCCAGGTTCTGGCCAAGAGACAGCGGACGTGGCTTTTTTCCATGGGCCGGCGGAGCTGGTGGCCTTTCGTTAGGCTCTCTTCGTCCTAGCGAGGTTCGTTTCTGTAGCTCAGACGATGTAGAGGCAGGGTCAGGTGGGAGTCGTTTCTCTGCTTCTGCCGCGGCTCTCTTTTGTGACGGCAGACCGTCGCGGTCTGATGAAGGACTCTCAGGTCGAGTTGGCTGCCGAACTTTAGGTATTGTCGGCATGTCCATAGACGGTACCGAAGAGGTGCGTCGATGCATTCCTGGACGTGCTGTCGAATATCGAGGTGGGTCATTTTCGTCGATCGTCTCTTCATCAGAGTACCGTGAAGTAGCACGGTCTGAAGAAGGCATCCATACGCTGTACTCGCTGCTTCGCTCGGTCGACACCGTTGCGCCTGTCCAGTCCGAATGCGTTCTTATATGAGTAGACTTTGGTCGTCGGTCATTCTGGTGCGCCGATACATTTTCTCGTGCCTGCTCGTAGAAATATGTAGGCTGAGCGGCATGATCCCTGGAAATTTGATGATAAACCTCCGGTATTGACTGCGACGTGGCCATGCTGCGGTAGCGTTTTGCCTTGGCTCTCTGAGCATTGGTCGATGTGATGGCATCATCGTTGCAAACACTGTTCACCTCGCTGCCGTCCCATATGCGTGAGGAAGATTTGACCTGCTCACCAATGGGTACTTCGATTTCCCTCGGCGAGGGATCCCTGCTCTTGTCAGGAGTGTCACGGTTATCAACTGTTACAGCTTTCGGCTCCTCCAACGCCGGTGCAGGAACACTGTGCTGCTTGAACATATTGAAGCTTGACCTTCTGTTCAGCCTGGGAGGCATCGGTGCCGATCCCAACATTTTCAACCAGTCCGAGCTTGTGTCTTCGGTCTCAGCTCTGAGCGACATGACTTCCCGCCATTGCCGGGCATTTGATAAAAAGCCACGAATCATGACCACAAGCTCGCCAGGTCTTTCGCCTGCGCGTGCGGAGACCAAACTCCAGGGAATTGGCGGGAAAAGAAGCCATCTCCCTGAGACCGAAATCTCGCAGAACAGAACATCTCCAGCCTTACCGCGATTCGGAGCATCATCTCGGAATATGATTTCAATCTTGCATCCTAGTTGCTGCCCACTAGAGTGCACGAGGTCCATATCAAAATAGTCCCGTGCTCGGACAGACCTGGTTGGATCGATGCTGACTCCAGTAATCGGCGCCAAACTGCGAGGATCTCGAGCTCTGGTAGCATCAATGCTCGCAGCGGCCTCATCCTCCAGACGAGCTTGTTCATCATTGACTCGCTTCTTGGCGTCGGCGATAAGGTCGTGGTATTTGGCTGTCATGTCTTCAGCATTCGCAGATGGCTTCAGACTGTTGATATTCTTGAACGTCCTTGCTAGGTACTTCAAGCGTACCAAAGGACGCTTCAGCAGATGCGCAACGTCCACACGCTCGCCCGCACCATCTACCAGATCGCCATCTGTATTTCGAGGCAAATCATGGTCCCAGCTCCGTGAGTCTTTTGATTTGGAGGCTTCAGCAGGCGCTAGGTTCACAACGATGTCCTGGAAGCCAAGGCGCCAGACTCTGAGATAATCCGCGTAGACTTTTGCAGCATTGTCTGCCCAAAGCAGGAGTTCACCTGGCTCATGCAGAGGGATCTTCCTGTGCATGGTCTTCAGTTTTTCAAGCGCCACTCCCATCTCCACAATTGGCCGCATCACTTCATCGCTCGATGGTCGGCTGGAAACACGAGATTTGGACGTTGAGCCCGTATCGGAAAGAGAATGTTGCAGCAGCACAGGTATAACACCGTCAACGAGTGTGCGTAGCTCACGCTGATACTTGAGCTCCTCCGCAGATAGCTCGTTCATGACATCTCCAATTTTCGCTGCTCCTGGTCTTCGCTGACTGTGACGAACACTTCGTCGGCTGTTTCTCGTCCGTCTCTCCGTAGACAGGACCGACATAAGATCGTCATGTTTCGTTGTTCTTCGCTTTAGACCAGAGGGACCTCGTCGTGGACTGTCGCCGTCACTAGCGCGCGATAGCACACTGCCCTCGAAAGTTGTAGTAGCATCATCTGAGTAAGCTCGACCATGTCTGCGAGCCTGCAGTGTCTCGTCAGATGCGATCGTAGAGAGCCGTTGGCCACTTGGGATCCTGAACCTGTCATTCTTCTTGGCTGATGCCGTCCTTGGTCGTTCATCCTGTGTATCTGGTAATGCACCACTCATTACAGCATCGAATGACGTTGGGAGGTCTGCGACGATTTCTCGAGACATTTTGTTCTTGATCGAAGAGTCGTTGTTTCGTCTGGCTCCTCGGCGCTTCAGGGTCGTTGGGCTCGATGCCGATACCTCTGTCTCCGGTGTTGCACTTCTGCGAGCGCGAGTGTCGATGATGATATCGTCGTCTTTGCGGGAGCTCCTCCTTCTCGCACTACTTTTGCTACTGTTACCAATATCTTCGTCTTCATATTCGACCTCTATCTGTGGCTTCGACCGCTTCTTCTTAGAAATGTCAAGTGGTTCTGGAGTAAGTGATGATCGTCTCGACTCTGTGAAAGGATCTGGCATTGCCGCAAGCCATCCTTCGATCCGAGTGCCGTGCTGCTTCGGCGCTGGTGGTGCGGGCGTGGTGGGCTTTTTGCTCGTCTGCGTGATGCGCTTCGCGAATGCCTCCGCTGTCACAGACGGTTGCCGCGCCACGCCAGTGTCATCCAGAGCAGGCTTGCTCCTTCTTCGCGTATCTTTCATCTCATCTGTGTTTGGCGACTGCTTCGCGGATTTACTTCTCGGCTGATCGTCCCTGCTCCGTGATTTTCTCAGCCGTTCTCGAGGCTCAGATTTCGGTCTGGGAGGGGAGGAGCTCGGAGTGGTGATATCGGTCTCCGCCGTGCTTGGCTTGTCCACTGAAGATGGAGCTGTCAGGCTGGTCTCAGACTTTCGCAAGTCGCCAGCCGTTCTCGATCGCGTCCGTCGCTTGATATACACCTTAGTGCCAATGCTCTCAAACTCCGGTGTCGCTCCACGGCCCACAGGCGATCTGGATCTAGAGCTGGATGGTGGGTATCTCAACGGCCGTACTCTTACCGGCTCTGGCTCAGGATCGGAGGCAGAGAAGTCCTGGAATGACGGAGGAACCTTCATTCCCATGCTCAAAGCACCGCTTCTTCTCACGATGACCGGCTTTGGGATTGTCTCCTTCACCTCTTCTTTCTCTGGGCTCGCCTTCTCTTCAACCTTTTGTCTGTCACGCCTCCAATGGCCATCACTAACGACGCGCTTCTTCGGCGCTCCAGCATGCTTTACATCTGTCGCAGCCTCCGCCTGAGGCTTGCTCTTTCTACGAACCCATGCGCCGCGGCCCAAATCGACATCTCGACCTGCCTTTTTGGTTCCGCTCAAGGTGTTTGATGCTCTCGGGGTCGTTCGCGCTGGCGTGAGTGGAGATGTTATCGTGACATCTGGTACGATTTCGTCGACGATGGCGACCACTTCGTCTAGTGCCGGAGCACTCGATTCAGTTTCGACTACAATGTGTAATGCATCGTTGCCTCTCTTGCCTAAGCTGACGTCGGAAGCCTGCTCGATGACCACTATTTCATCTTGCTGTTGAGCGACGCCTCCTCCAGCCTGATTCCAACCAGCAATCTTGGATGCAAAATCCTGCGAACGTTTCCGTGCCAGCTTCTGCGTGGTCAAGTCTGCTTTCTTCTCGGGCGTTTTCTTGGCGGACGCTTTGCGGGCGGCATTGTTTGGTGAGGGCATGGACGAGGGATGCTGCAAGTCCGACAAGGCGGACAGCCAGTTAGACATGGAATCAACAGCATATTGCGCGTCTGCGGTGTTGACATCGAACATTGGGGAGTGCAGCAGCGGGGGCGGGAGCGGGAAAACATTGGGGAATGCTCTTCTCTGGTGTTTTGGTGGTATTGATGTGCGCATGGTTTGGAGCATTGGCTGGGATGGCATCATGGAGGCATTCCATGTGGGTCTTGGGAGAGCCTGTACTAACCTGGCCAGTCGGTAGACGAGAATTGATAACAGCAGGTGTAATGCTTATCGCTGCTGAAGGCGACGTTGCGGTGACTGGTATCGCAAGGCCAGCGACATGTCCGTCATGCGCAGCGCCGTGCACAGTGATGCCGTGGTGTTGGCGACTCGGTTGCTATGCGTGTCTCAGCAGTGTCGGTCTCAGCTGCGGTGCATCGACAGTCGGTGTTCGTGAAGCGGGAAGTCGGTGTTGCTCCGTCCTCACATGATTGTAACACGGAAAATTTGGGCGATGCTGGCGTGCACTGTGCAGTGGGTCAAGTTGGCCATTTGTTTTCCTGCCCAGCTGCAGTTGTTTTGGCTCGTTGCGCACTGTCGATCCTTCGAAAGCCTCGCCCGCCAGCGCCGGCGGGACATCCTGGTCCGAGGGTCACGGAGCACAGCCAACGCCCAACGCCGCCCATTCTTCCATTCGCAACACCGAACTGCATAGCAACGCACCTTGGAAATCTTCATAATCACGCTCAAACAACGCATGGCGTCTTGGACTCTTCTCGCGTATAGAAGACACACGATATCTATACTGTCTGCTCCCTCGACCATTCATCATCTGCAACACGCGCCATCTTACTGGCCCTCTTGATGGCAGGCCGGACCAGAGAGTCTTGCTGCGCCTTGCATACTTGATGTACTGAGGATATTTCTCTACTCAACTCCTAGGTATTGTCAACATCGCTTGGCACTATCTCAGCTGTACAAAGTGGCGAGACCTGCCCGCTGCCTACATTTATGATGCCAGTTGACTTGCAATGACATACTACACCACCACCATAGGAGCCAACAAAATCGATGACCACAATGCCAGCCACGCCCATGTCCATGGAGAAATCCCGTCTTCCAACGTCCGCTTCAAGAGTCGACTGCTGCTTGACGCACCACTGCTACTGCCGCTTTTGCTTGCAAGAATGTTGGTACTCCGGCCCCCAGGACAAAAGACCACCTCAAACTCTCCTCCCTTCGCTTGGGTGAAGGTACTTTTCTGATCGTCGTGCGCGTACGAGTATGCATCGGGACAGATACTTTTGGCCGCCTTCGAGTAGTAATTTGGCGGACAATTGGGATGCGTATCGTATTTGCCTTTACAACAGTACTTATCCTTGTTGTATTTGGCACATGCCGAGTTGCAAGGATTGAATGCAGGTCGCTTGACATTTCCATCCGGGTAAGGGTAGACTCCATCGCCAGGAGCTGCCGGCGCGTTGACCTGCAAATCCCAAGGACACCAACTTGTCACAGTCTGGGCAGTATTTTTGGTGTCGAACGGTAGCTCATCGGCCGACGTTGTTCCAAGAAATTGCTGATTGTTTGCGTAGGGATCGAAGCCGGGAGGTGCCAAGTCATTCACGCTTCCCACGCACGACGGATTGCTTTCACTTCCTTTGACCGTTTCCAGCTCGCCGACCCCATTTGCCATGAACACGATGGCCATAGGTAAATTGTATCCATCCACCAAGCTCAAATCGTAAAAAGTCTGATCAGCTCCGCCATCCATGGTGAACTCAGCGAGTGTCGCAGGAGGATTTCCAGCTTGTTTACATTTCAGTGCGCCGCATTCGCCTGTCAAACAATGTCCATTTGCATTATCGCCATCGGGGAATGTACAGTTTGTGCGACCCCATATCCGTCCCTCCCAGTTTGAGGCAACATTGATGGTGCGCTTGCTTCCTGCATTCAACGCAAAGCCGTCAGAGGCTCCGTCGCCGTTCTGCGTAGTAATCCCAGGCCAAATCCGGTCCGGGCAGGAATTCGTGATCACAATCTGGAGTTGGGTACTGTTGTTGCCCTGACGCCTCTCGACTCCTGTACTCGGGGATTCCAGGCCAGTAGTCGTCTGGATGAGCGTAGCACATGACAGTATGGCTGAGAGCAGTAGGAACGATGTTTTCGACATTTACAGGTAGAGGAGGAGGGCTGGGTGGGCCGGTGTAGGTCTCCACGCCGATCGAATTGGTAGAAGTACGCTGTCCGGGCTGTCCGCAAATCTCTCTCAATCTTTCGCTGGTGGCCAGAGGCACGTCGGCTGCCAGGCTATCAAAGACTGCGGGCAACCTTCTGCAGAACTTTTGCCGATTTACCTTTCACGATGGCCTTTCGTTTGCTTAGTCCAGCACGGCCGCGCAGACTTTGAAGCTTGACAAACGTCTTGAACTCCTAGTACTTGGCTTTTGTCGATGCCTTGAAGCGCTGGACACGGGCGCTGGAAAGGCTCTGACGCGACATCCGTAGGTGTGTTGCAGACCAGCTGCTGTTAAGGCGGCGTGAACAGTGCTGCCGTCATAAGACAATATCGGCGTGGCGGCGTGGTGGAGAGAAGCAAGGGAGAAACAGGGTATAGTGATGCGAGCGGCTACTGGCAATGCAATGAGAGACGCCATCGGAGGCTATCGACCTACCGTAGAAGGGGAGCGGCGTGGGAGCGCGGATTGCCTTGCCTCGCTTCGTCGCTTCCTACTTGCCATGGCGGCTGGCTTCGTTTCGTCGACGAAGGCGCAGGCGCGCTGAAGATGCACCTGAAACGCGGGAAGCAGCAACTGGGAAGCAAGCGAGCAAGAGCTGCGTGATGACGTTTAGAGCTGCGGTCCGGCCCAGTCCAGTGCCGCTCCCGCGCCGGAGGAATTGCCGTTGCCGTTGCCGTTGCCGTTGCCGAGATTCCCTCCAGCCAGGAACGCGTTGGCCTCCTGATCGTCCACATGCTGATCGACAACATGCTGAACATCTCCCTCCAAGGCCAAGGCTTTGACAAGTATCCCGCCAAGTCTCATGCCAGGCGTGTGGCCGAGAGATTGCACGCCAAAGATGGCCTCATTGTGCTTGCTGCCACCAAGGCGGCCAACTGGCCCAACTCTGATATGCCGGCCCCCTTCCGCCAGGACAGATACTTCTACTACATGACCGGCTGCAACGAGCCGGATTGTCTAGTCTCTTATCATATCAAGACCGACATCCTAGCACTATGGCTTCCCCCAATTGACAAAGCCCGAGTCGTGTGGTACGGTCGCGGGTCGACAACTGAAGAGGCATTGGAGAAATACGATATTGACGAAGCCCATTATATTGAAGCAAGTAAAGCACCGTCCAGCGACTTGTGGACGGACTTCTGGCGAACCGTGGCGAACTCAGCACTGGCTCGCGTCAGAGAGTGGCATCAAATTTGGAACCAGGAACTCTCTCCAACGTGTCGAAATGTTGTTCAGAAGCATGCCCTGTATACAACACGCGTCCCATCACCCGATGCCCTATACCACGCAATAGATGCTTGTCGCGTCATCAAGGACGAGCATGAGATTGATCTGATACGCCGCGCAAACGTCATTACCGCGGAAGCCCACATCAGTGTAATGAAAAGTATACATTCATTCACGAGCGAAGCTGAGGTCGACGCTGCATATATGCAAGTCTGCATTGCACGGAAGGCCAAGGAACAGGCGTACGACGTGATCGCTGGCTCCGGTCCAAATGCAGCTGAACTTCACTACTCGGACAACGTTGCCGACTTTGGAGACGGTCAGACTGTGGTATTGGATGCAGGCTGCGAAGTCGATAGATACGCTTCGGACGTGACTAGAACACTGCCGATCAATGCCAAGTCACCAGGCTGTTGGCCATCGACGGAGGCTGCGCAAATCTATGCACTAGTTGAGAAGATCCAGGAATCTTGCATAGGTCGCATGATGCCAGGCAATCAATTTATAGAAAACTACTGGCATGCGCACGAGATGGTCGTGGAAGGGCTTCTGGAGCTTGGCATCTTCACAGGAGGAACTGTGGAGGAGATCTTCAAAGCTGGTACCTCACGAGCTTTCCTACCCCATGGACTCGGACATCATGTTGGTCTGGAGGTACATGATGTTTCGCCGGTTCCACACCCGCCTTTTGTCACATTCAATTCCTCGAGCGGGCCCACGCGAAGGCGGACCGAGCTTGTGATGCAGGAGAAATTCGCAGAGTGGAAGCCCGAATGGTCTGAAAGCAGGCTGAGCTCCAATTGGCTTGCGCCTATCACGCAGAGCCAGAATTCTCGACATAGCATGCCATACCTGGAGGCGGCAGGGCTGGAGCCTGGTATGGTAGTCACCGTGGAACCTGGGATATACTTCAATCGATATTTGCTGGACAATTTCTTCCTGAACAAGAAGGAACATCAGAGATACATTAACAAAGATGTGCTCGATCAATACATGCAAGTCGGTGGCGTACGCATTGAAGATGACATTCTGATCACGAGGGACGGCTACGAGAATTTGACGACGGCACCGAAAGGGAAGCGCATGCTGGATTTAATTCGAAAAAGCGCCGAGGGACCAAGGGCTTGAACTTCCTTTCACCACGATCGCTCCGAGGCTGGTAAAGCTGCAGTCTGCAGTCACCCGCGACGACGGAGTCAACAATCTTCCAAGTTGATATTTCAGGAGCAAATCACGACCGGATTGCCCCTTACATCTGTACCATCAGCCTCCATTGCGAGATGAACCTGAGAAGTATTTCATACATGGCGTTGAGAAGACTTGGACTTTTCCATGATGCCTCAAATACCACTGCACCTTCAGATATTACGAAACACTTCGCAAGGGAACATTCTAGCAAGGCATACCCGAGTCTCAAACTCATGTATCAGGAACAGGTTCGACGTAGTGTGAAGCCAACGGACCAGAAACCCCGCTTTTGTTCCTGTGGCAGCAGTTAAGAGCTTAAGCATAGAAACATGAACACTGGAGAGAATCAAGCGATAATGCATTGCAATCAGGTCATCATGCTCCGCTTTGCTTGGCTTTTGATGATAGCCACTAGTGGTCGGGCCAATGAAGGTAGTCGAGAGCGATTGAACAATCCACCATGCCGCTTTGGACCGACTTACAAGGAAGGGGATATCATTCGCATTCCTTCCCCATTGATACAAGACGTTTTGTTCTGGGATGGGCAATTCGTTCGGCCTGGAATCGGCTACAATCACGCCAACGGCATGAGCTATGACGGGACTCTTCTCAACCAAACAACGGGAATAGCACCCGCTCATGGCTTTGGACGACACAACTTTTCTGCCGCTAGTAAGGAGAGCCTGCATGTAATGCTACTTGCGCAAGTCCTCGCAGGTAGTAAGGAAGCGGCACGTGTGGTGTCGCCAATTAGTCAGAAGATGGCACAGAAAAAAGCATACGAGATCATGGATCAGAAGTTGACAACATATCTCGCGTTCAACGAAACATATCCAGGCTTCGGAGGACTGTTGCCCTGGTACAACAACACTTTCGCCCGTTTGACTCCAACAACTGACTAGGTGAATCGTCTACCTGGTCTTGACAATGGAAGACAAGAGATGGCGACTGAAATGTGGAATTGGACGTTTTTTAGACCAGAAGACACCAAAACAATTTGCATTCAATCTGTTTCAACTCCCTTCGCTAGTAGCTTTCATGAATGAGTGAGTGTTGTGAAGACAAGCTGTTTCCGCAAGTCGTTTCCAAGTCAATGAGATTGACTTCCGAAAGGAGTGACAATTGAACGCAGCATTATCGAACTGTGAAGTATGCAAATCATCCCCATTCCCCCAAATTCCATCGATACCCTGCAGGCATACTTCCGTCTCGAGGGGTGTCAAGTCGAGCAAACGATAACGAAGTGTTTTTCTGCATGAATGTGCTTCGCTGCCGATCCTAGTCACGAGCTAGACCTCAGCTCCCATGAACGCGCTCGGACTTTTGCAAGGCATGTGTGCAAGGAAGCATTCTGCCGCTTCGAGTGCTCGGGAGTCTGGAACGATCAAGTGAGCCGTATCATGCTGCTTTTGTGGGTGATGTTGGTAGCTATGTCACGGTGTCCCGCGAACTTTGCACTGCCGATCAACCACCTTGGCCATATGATGGGCTTCCATTTCGGAACCCTCGTCCCGTGCTCCAAAGACCTCCGCCGCCTCCGAAGAGGAGTGGACTAGCCATGCCAGACTGATCCATGCTCGAGGAATTGTTGGTTCCATAGACAGTGTTGGCGACAACAGTATCGGGTAAAGTGCGTGGCGCTGAAGAGTCCGTGGTAGATCCCCATGAGTCGACCATGTTCAGCGAGTTCCGACTGCGAATACTAGACGCAGAGTTGACTCGCGAATGACCGGGAACAAGAGCATTGAGGGCGACAGGAGAGCCGAGAGTTCCTGTTGGCAATCCAGACGGGAAACCAGGTGAGACGGAGCCTTGCCAAAGTTTGGACACAGATTGGAGCCGGTCACGCTGTGCTCGCTCAGAGCCAACAGGGCCTTGTAGGGTACGTCCAACGGACGGTGGTGTTATGGCGATGTTCTGCTGTGGGACAAAGCCCTGTGCGGACGGCCGCGGAATATATTTCGGTGGCTTCGTATGCACAGCAGGAAGATCATGCACACTGTCCTGAAGTGCGAGAGGCACATCTCCGTTGGCTACAATACCAGGATTAGGAGCGGCTGGTTGGGGTGGCGTGAGCGGTTTGTTAGCCTCGCGTCCTTCATCGACACCGTCGTCTTCCACAAGGTCATCCACCATACGGCTCAGCTGCACATCCCTAGTCTGAGTCTTGCTTCCGCTCGGCTTCCGAGTAGCCTGACCTGGTCTCGCGGATCTAGCATGGCCATTGGCAGCAGCTCTAGCGTAACTAACAGGCTTCGCCTTGCTCGGAGGGGCGATTGGCGCTGGCGTATAGTCCTTTTCTGGAACGGTGAGTGGCTCAATCCTGCTCTCGTCACCCGAAAAGATCCTCGTTCCACGGATGTGAATTGGTGCAGTATTGTCAGAAGATGCCAGGTTAACGCCGATTTCAAGGAAAGCCCGGACTCGCCACAGCATCTCCTCATCAACAGAAACGCGAACGGTGTCTCGAGCCGAGAAACGAGGTCTGAGTGTGTTGTTCGGCTTCAAATACCAGGTTTTCATCGTCTCTTCTGACAACACTGGCTGGAACTCGAGGGTATCAACATCCTCCTCGAGCATGTATGCTACGGTCGATATATCGTCGAGATCCCAGATTGGGAATGCTTGAGCCATTAGGTCGAGTGTCTTCGCGTACATGGGCCAGAAGTGAGCGACAGCATCACCGACAAAATCATCATCAGCGAGACCGATGACCATTCTGATAGTGGTGAGAAGCCAATTATTGTAGACGCGGAGGCAGGGCAAGAGACGGCGACCGTTGTCCGTGAGCTTCTTCTCCAGTTCCACGTCGTGATCATCCATGTTGAGGAGCAAAGCACGAAGATCGTCGTAGAATGTGCGAAGCAATGCCGTGAAGGACTTGAGGTTGAATCTGAAGAAATAGTAGAAAGACTGCTGAAAAGCGGGTGTCTGGTAAGCTGGAATGGGTTTGTCAGCTCGTCAATATTCTCACGGAAGTGTGATCGGACTCACTCTGAAATCCTTCTCCTGCGATGAATTGAGCTGCGATATTGACCAATACCATACGCATGAGGGTACCATCAAGTGCGCGCTGCTTGAGAACATTAGAGAGCTGACTGAGCACCTCACGCTCGAGCTCTTCGTGCGCACGGAATGGCTCTCCACGGAAGCACATGCCGTGGTGCCGAACAAACCAGCCGACCAAGGCGTGCTTGGAGGCATCAGGATCGTTCGGCATGCCCTTCTGAATGAGTTCGCCCTTATCCCAAGCCGAGTTCGTCTTCTCGAACTCCAAGCGGAGATTCTTGGCAGCATTCGGGTGAGGGTCGTCAACAGCGAGGGAACGATATAGGTGATAGATTGCAGTTAGATGACGGCTCTGGCCAAGAGCAACTACTGCGAGCTGGTGTTGCCCCAGGCCTGAGCGAGGTTTCAACGAGGCTGCCAAGCCATAGTATCCGATTGCAGGACCAAAGTCGGGCTCCTTGTCGAGCTTTTCGGCAGCGCGATACCGAGAGAGGTCTCCCAAGTACACCAAGGTGCGATGACAAGTTTCAAGCACGGCCTCCCGAAGGGCAGAAGGAATATCGACTGGTTGGCTTTCGCCGGTGTCGCCATTGCTCTTCTCGTGCTGCGCGATTGCCTCCAACTCGGGAATGCCTCCAATGGAAGTGCTGAGCTGCAGGATGACTGCTCGGTAGAATCTCTCGCCTTGCTTGATCCATGACAGGAAAAACTTAATCAGCATGCGTGTCTCCACGACTCTGTCCGGCATGTTCTTGCGGAAACCGCTCAGCGCTCGGTGGAAGAAGGCTCTGCCGGCACCATGCGCCGCCCACAGGCGCGCTTCATGAGGATGTGCATTTTCGGGGTCGGCGAGTACGACGGCCTGGCATGCGTGTCGGTAGCTCTCAAAGGCTTCGAGAATGACGGGGAGCGGCGTGTCGCGGTTTTCTAGCAGTTTGTGTACATTTTGTTCGAGGAATGTCTCTCGTTCGAGCAGACCTTCCATGCTTTTGTGGTGGGCAGCGCGCGACTCATAGCAGGCGCTGGAACAGGAGCGACGCTGGTGGTCGATGGCCTGCGCGCCGGTCGTGGTTAGGTGAAAGCAGGCGGAGGGCAAGCGGAAGTGGTGGCGCGGTCCATCTGGCGCAGTGTCAGTGTCGGCGGAGTGGTGAAGAATCGGGGGCGGCGACAGCACTCCGGCAGTGTTGTCGCTGTCGCAGTGTGTTGTCAGAGAGTCGGCGCGGCGTCGCGTAGCATGAGCATGTGGTGTGGCAGGAATATTGGGGTGCTCTGCTGAGCCGCACTTCGAAGTCGAGTCCGAGTCTGCTTCCACCCGGCCAGACATGCTTTCGCTCTCGGATGTTGGAGTGGAGCCCAGTCGTTGTCCAAGAGATGTCTTGCGCAGAACTAATAAACTAGCACGATTTATCGTCCTCACATCCACGACTCACGCACATGCAAATGCACATGCAGTGATGACACCGCCTCAGAGCCATCACAAGCGCAGCGCATAGACTGTCGTCCTCACATGTACTTTTTCACTTCACTCACTTCGAGCATGTGATCCTAGTCGCTACGTGTGGACTGCATCGTCGGACTCCCGTCTTCGCTTCGCATGCAGGTACCTTGGAGACAGCCATAACGCATCAACCTCGTGCGCCATTGCTCTGGAAGTATGGCAAAGCGCGAGAGGGCAGGCTCGATGTCTGATGGAGCACGTTCTCCGGATCTACCAGAAGAGGAGGAAGCCCATACACCCAAGTATGTCGAGCTTGCAGAGCCAGAGCAGGCCCCTGCAAAAGCAATGCAATGTCTACTGCCGCCTCACAAGCCGCTGAGTTTTGCAGCTTACAACGACTATGAAGCCCACTACTATCAGTCGCATACCAACAGATGCCGGGAATGTCAGAAGAATCTGCCCACGCCGCACTTTCTGGAATTGCACTTGTCGGAGAATCACGACCCCATAGTAGCGGCGAAGCGTGACAGGGGCGAAAAGACATTCGCGTGCTTTGTCGAGGGCTGCGAGAAGGTCTGCTCGGAATGGCAGAAGCGCAGGTCGCACCTAGTCGACAGACATGGATTCCCGAGGAACTACGACTTCTTCATTGTCAACAACGGCATAGATGGGAGACGGAGTATGCTGCGGCCTGGCGTCGATGCCCAAGGTCACCGCAAGAGCAGCCGCGAGCGTCGAGGTAGCTCGACGACAGAAAGCACTATGACAAATGAGGGCACGACTGTCAGCCCAGAAACGCCGAGGATGGAGTCCGATGGAGGCGGGAGGGAGAGGCACATTTCTGCTCGTGGCCACCAGCATGCTAAACAGGCTGCTTCAAGCGTCGACACCCTAACCAAGTCCATGTCTTCGCTGCAATTCGTCCCCCGGAGCGTGACATTCGGCAAGAGAAAAGGGAAGGCCGGGTTTGCGAAAAGCTGAAAACAGACAGAATGGGCTTCTCTTGTTGTGGATCCCCTGTAAAAACTCGTTGCCTCGGAGCGTTCGTCGGCAAAACTAGGATTCTGGTGGAGTTCTTATACAAAATACGTCTGTGCCAACTTATGCAAAGCGGATTCGACCAACCAGATCCCCTAGATCTTATACAGCAGTTCTACGGACTTAACCACGGACTTCGTTTAGGGGATCAATACTTCGAGTCCCGCACGCATACTTGAGGCCTCACCAAGACGAACACCACAAGAGACGCTAAGATGGCGAAATATTTGCGTTTACTATGGAATACGAGAACCGTTCTCGGTCTTGCCGTGCAATAATTCGTGCAGGATTCATGCAACCAATGGAGTTCAGGCAAACGTCTCGCTTGACGACATCCTTGTGCTACCACTCAACCATTTGCTGGCTCAATCCGGCACGCTGGTTCCACAACGCAACCACAAGAGCTTGATTTAGAAGATCGTACCTGACAGATACTTCCGACACCACGCTACATTCCCTTCGCCACCACGACGGAATCTTTCCTGGCAGACTTGCTATAAAGCATGCCCAGAATGGCTTTCCTCAGAGCGCCAGCATCACGGAGCTGTTCAACATTTCAGAGTGGTGATTGGAATTTGCGAAAATGAAGACCGCTACCTCCGTCATCTTTGCCTTGGCACCTGTTGTCGCAGCACTATCTCCGTTTCGTGTCACAGGATTGACATCGCATCAACCTAATGGCAATCCAGGTGGGCAGGTCAACTACTATCGCATCGCCTTCTCGGTCAACAGCACGAATTCCGGCAAAGCACAGTCCGGTTTCTGCGCCAAATTCTGGGGCGACAACTCGTGGCTCCAAGAAGACGCGTACAGCGTAAACGTGCCGACTGGCCAGTGGATCTCGTGTGATACGTCTGAGGGGGCATATGATGGCGGTGCCCCATTCCAATTCCAATTGTTCCCGTATTTCTCGATTGGCAACTTCAGCCTCGCAATCAAGGAGGATCATGGCGATGGCGAGAGGTGAGGCTACCTGGGCCAGAATGGATGACAATGCCGCTCACATTCATTCTAGCGCATACTCTATGGACCACATCACGAACAAAACATCAGACTATACCTGTCAAGTCAATCCGCAACAGCTTCCGTACAACAAGGTCCATGCCAGCGGCGATTGTAGCCAGCCGAGCGGCTCGGAGCCCTTCCAGTTCCGGGCAAGCTCTGAAGATCCAACTATCTGAGCTGGACGTGGCATAGCATATTCAAGAGGGTGGGCTTGCGGCCTTTCCGGAGCGGTCGAACGTTTTCGCAAGTGCATGCGACGGCCTGGCTGCACACATCCAGGATGCCCTTCTGGCTGGTAAACAGACTCATTGATCAGGCGCAACATGTGTGGAAATCTGAGCTCGGTAGATGAGGAGAGGTGCATATGAAGTAGCGAGTACCTTTCTGTTGCGGACAATTGCGACACCTATTCTGTCTCGCCGTTCATTCAGTGGCCATCAATCTGCGATCCTCGCCACAGAGATCACCAGCACTACACATGCCCACCAAAGCTCATTTCGTGACGACTTGCGCTTTATTTCAAATCATCTCCATAAGACAGAAGCTGCTGATTACAAAATGCTGCAATCGTAAATGGAATGAATGAAAGGGTCCAGGCTCTTGCGAAGGAGCAGGAGCAGGAGCGCCGGCGGCATGCAGCAGTATAGGTATGAAATGATCCTGAGCTTGCCGGGTGTGCTGCGCTTTCCTGACGACGTAACGCGGCTTCCATCCCGGCGTCACCGACAAACAGGAAGCAGGAGCGGAAGGTGCATGAGATGCGACGTGCTCCTGAAAGCACCCGACGTCCGGACAGTTGCATTTGCTTTCCAACGTGGCTGGAGCACCTTTGACCTTACCTTCGTACAACCGTCATCGATATCCCGTCTCTCGTTTTTGGATGCATACATCTATATGCCCATGTACCTGAGTGGAGCTAGCCGTCCGCGTCCGCGCCCGCAACGCCGTTCAAGCAGCTTGCCGCCCTCCCGATATCCCTCCGCCACCTCAGACCGCCGCCCTGAGCTACCCCGTCCCACACAATCATCACCCGGCGGACCTTTCCGAGCACCTCCATATTCATCTCATGAATGCGCGTCTCATCGGCATGCTTCCTCCTGTCCATCTTGTTCTGAGAAGGGCTCCTTCCAATCACGGAGGTCGCTTCCCATCACGAGCGACATACGGGGACCATTCACCGACGAAAGCAGTGGCTACGTGGAGCCCGAGAATATCGGCGAGATTCGAGCTCGAGAACTTTTCCAATACTACCGACCGCCGGGTGACGCGAAAGCTGAATCAGTGTACCTGCCATATGCAGACCCAGTGTTACAAGCACATGCGCAGCTTGCAGCATACCGACTTGACGTGCAGCGCGCCATGATCTGCCTAATGGACAAAGACTGCTCATATTTCGTAGCAGAAGCCACGAAAACGCTCGACCTTGGGGATACCAGCCAATCGGAACACGCGAATGATGGTCTGTGGTACGGCAGCATATCTACCCCAAAATGCGGTGGCCTTGTGGAATGGACCTTAGCACAAAATCCCCAAATCGTGGATGGTCAAGAAGTGCCCGCGCACTACGAAGTCCTCGACATGTCCAAAGACCCGCGATGGATGAAACACGGTTTCGTCGACTCGGAGCCTCACTTTCGGTACTATTGCGGCCTGCCACTGCGCACTGAGAACGACATAAACATTGGTGCCTTGTGCCTCCTAGACGATCGACCAAGAGACTCTACGAGTCTTATTCGCCTCAGAGGTGCGCCCTTCTCTTTACTTCCGTGTATCCCCCATTGACTAAGATTGATAGTCCTCTTGACGTTGGCCCACAACATCATGTCCCACATGCGAACCGTGAAGGAGGCGCACGAAAAGCAGCGAGCTACTTTCATGAACCTGTGCATGGCAGATTTCATCAGTCCAGACTATCGCTTTCGCAGCCGGCATGTCAACCCGCGACGGAGCTCAGACTCGCCACAAAGAAGGACAGGCAAGGGTAAGCAGGCGCAGTCACAACTTGAGGTGAGAGCCGATGAATCGACCTTTGGTGTCACACCTTATGGCACACCCGCGGCCTCTCCTGCCGTCACTCCAGCTCCAGCCACACCTGAAGTCACGCCCATGTGTACCCCAATAAGAAGTGCGACCAGCTCTCGCAAACAAGCGCTTCCAGATTGGATTCTAAGGCCCATGAACTCGTCGCCTGAAGATCTACAGCAAACCAACTCGAACAATGTAGGCCTCAGTGATTTCGCAGGATCTGCGGGTTTGCGTGCTGAAGAGGCAGACGCAGATGGGGATCATCCCCGAGATTCTGGCCAGCCAGTTGAAGAATCCACTATCAGACCCAGTGAGGACAAATACCCTCTAGAGGATCCTCTCCAGCAGACTGTGGACTTTTCTACGCCGTCCAATCCAGAAAAGCAGAGACCATTGATTCTCTCATTGCCACCTGTCTCGCAACGTGATCAAAGCTCTTCCAGACCGTCCACGAAAGGTTCAACCATATCATCGCCGAGTCCGCCGCCACGCAATATCACCGAGGCAGATCATCAGCGTACCTTCGACAGGGCTACACATTTGATCAGGCAATCCCTGAATTTCTCGCAATTCGGCGGCGGTGGCGTCGTTCTCTTAGACACTAACTCCAATGCCAACAGTGCGGATCCAGTGTTGCGCCGGCACGAAGATGATTATGAAAAGCTCAAGGAGGACGGCCTCCCAGCCAGTCATCCCGGAGCTCAAGCAAGACAAGGGTCCGCCTATAGTGGTGCCATGAGGGAAAGAGTCGTATTGGCGGCGGCGTCTGTCACTGATGGCCGTACACCAAGGAACTTCGGAAGAGCAGACCCATCATGGCGAGTCACTCTGGCTCCACCAGAGCTCCAGCGCATGTGCAAGCGTCATCCACGAGGCAAACTGTACGACCTGCCTGACTGCATAGGGACAAGTCTTTTTGACTGGGAGGGACGTCCTGTCACTGCACACCTTTCTTACAAGCTCTACGAACTCGTCCTGCTTCGTCGACAATTTCCACATGCTAAGCAGGTCATATTCGTGCCAATGTTCCATGCGTGAGTGTCACTTTCCGTATCTTACTGAGATATGTTGATTGACGCACATGGCAGAAACCTCAATCGCTGGACATCTTGTTTCGCTTGGACAAATTCTCGTTACCGCATTTTCTCCTACGAGATGGACTATCTTCCTCTTCTATCTTTTTGCAACGCCATCCGGGCTGAGAGTAATTGCCACACGTACGAAGTCCAACAGAAGATCTTGCGCTGACGAGAGCCATACAGTTGTCCGTCTTGCAACAGTCTTCGCTGATCAGCAGAAAGGCAACTTCATCGGTTCCGTATCGCACGAGCTGAGAAGTCCACTCCACGGTATCCTGGCAAGCTTGGAATTCCTGCAGGAAACCGACTGTGATGCATTTCAGAAATCGTGCCTGGACACCCTGGACGCCTGCGCTCACACCCTCCTTGATACTGGTAAGCATTTCAGCAGCACTGCTCAGAAGGAAAAAGACAAACGATGCTAATATCTATCTTGTGCAGTGGCAATGGTCCTTGACTACAGCAAAGTAAACACGCTGAAGCACGAACCTTCCACCCAGTCTGCAGAATCTTCTCAAGACTTTTCCGGGAGGAACGAGCCGAAAACTCGGAATGCGTTAAGCCTCCGTGCTGACCAATTATTTGCTGTTGAGCAAGAATGCAACGTCGCGCTTGTGACAGAAGAGGTTGTTGATGGTACGCGGTATAGTGAGGCGCACTGGTATCTATCTGCTAATCGACTGCAGGTATCGCAATGGGACACATGGCCAAGACCAGGATGAATGTCGGATTTGATGAAGCTGCGATGGACTGCCATTCAGCACTCCGCGAAGCTGGCGCCAGGCCAGAACTAAGGAGAATCGTGAGATCCACTCGGCCAGAGGTCGAGCTAATTCTGGACATAAAGCCGCCGACAGATTGGGTCTTCTCAACACAGCCTGGAGCCATCCGGCGACTTGTGATGAACCTCTTTGGTAAGTTTGAAATGGAGCAATATTTTGTGAAAAAGAGCTAACTACCATGGTCTGCCTAGGCAATTCGCTCAAGTACACCAAGCACGGGTACATCAATATATGCCTTCGAAGTATTCCACAGGAGAGTGCGCCCAAAAATGCCGTTCAATTTGCAGAAGACAAGCGTGGAATAATCAAGCTTACAGTCACCGACACTGGAAAGGGAATTTCTCCCGAATACCTAAGAACGAACATTTTCACACCTTTCTCTCAAGAAAACGCTCGATCGGCCGGCACAGGTCTCGGGCTCAGCATTGTTAGATCGATTGTCAATATGTTATCGGGAGAGATAGACATCAAGTCCATCGTCAACGTCGGGACCATGGTGACCATTACATTGCGTAAGTCGCACTCGCTCTGATCCCGTAGTGCTACACTGACGTGCCGGGCATAGCAATGCGGAAAGCAAATCTCTTGCAAGCGGAACGTCCCAATACGACTGGTGTGCCGTCCAGGACCACGATTCTACCAGATGAATCTCGAGTGACAGACCAGAATGTGACGTTCCTCCGAAACTTACGAAAGCCACCTCAGATCGCTATTTACGAGCCCGCTCTAAAGTACAAGAGCTTTGGCCAGACAAAGAGCGCATCCGCTGTCCACTCAGCACTCGTACAGTACCTGACCGGTTGGTTTGGATTCCCGGTGTTGCAGACTTGGGATTTCGATCTGCCTGCTCAGATTCTCATCGTCGAAGAAATCCACTTGCCCACGCTGCTCGCGCAGCGTCCCGATTTTCTGGACAATTTATCGCTCCAGTCCATCATCATACTCTGCACAGACCATGGCAGGCAAGCTATACTTGCAAAGGACATACAGAGCGGCCAGGTCGAGCTACTGTGCAAACCTTTCGGACCGTACAAACTCGCACGCGCAGTGAGAAGCGCTGTGGAGAAGGTATCACAGGAGAAAAGTACATCGAAGATTGGTGATGCAACTTGTGGAATGCGCGGAAAGGCATCGCCCGCCAACAGCACAAAGTCTGCGAAGTCCCAAGACTCAGGTCGCTCATCACAATTAGACTCTCAATCATCGACAGGGCATGCATCACTGGGCGTTACTCATGTCAAAGAAGTAAGCGGAAGTGCGGATGGAGGATTTCCATTTCCAAACGATGCTGAGTCTTCCGGGCATGATACAAATGCAAGGGTGGGAGATCCTGCGGCCGGTGCAGCACAACCAGCCTTTCTTACACCTCCTGGGTCATCCGAGAATACTGCGAAGGGTGTTGCACAGAACAGACATTCTCCAAACCCGGCCTCCTCAGTCCCAGATACCGATGAGAAATTTACTTCGGTCTGGGAAACTTCCAGCACGATACAAAGTCGCAAGCCACGCTTGTTGTTGGTGGATGACAACAAGATCAACTTGCAATTGTTGCAGACTTTCGTCCAGAAGCGCGGATATGACGACTCGATTTGCAAGACTGCTGAGGACGGACAACAAGCTGTGGAGGCCTATGGCCTGGACGCGCCCGATATCATTTTCATGGACATTTCAATGCCGGTGATGGATGGCATTGAGGCCACGCGCATCATTCGGAGGATGGAGTCGGAGAAGCGAGTGCAAGATGCCCAGCGAAGGAGCACCAGAAGTGATCCTGGTCCATTGCGCAACAAGTCAGCCCTGGTCGTTGCGCTGACTGGCAACGCGGAGGGCAGCGATCAATCTGCGGCATTTGAGGCTGGCGTTGATGTTTACATGACTAAGCCTGTGAGCTTCAAACAAGTCGGGACATTACTGCAGAACTGGAGGGACGGCGAGTGAAAGCAAAGATAAAAGTCCTAAGTTGAGTATCTCTAGTAGATTGAACAGTGACCTAGCAAAGTAATGAGTCCGGTGACTCCTGACAGCATCGAAGGCTGAAGGCAGCACTGTCATATACATCTTGATTCAGTATCCCGTCGCCTGCCTATCCAGGGCCTCGATGATGTCCGTGCTCTTAGCCAGGAATCCATTCGCATCGGCATTGTACCTTGCCATTTCCTCGGCATACCAAGGACTTGTCGTTCCCGTGCAGTCCTGTACGTAGACGACATCGAAGCCTTTGAAGAAGGCATCAATCAGCGTGCTCCAAACACACTGGTCACTGTTGACGCCACCAATGAACAAACTCGTAATACCCGACTCTTGCAAATACAGACCAAGCGGTGTCTGCGCGCCCCAAAGTCCAGAGAATCTGTCTATTCAGAACGTCAGTTCCCGAATCACACCAAAATGCCCCAAGATATTAGAAAATAAAAATTGAAACTCACTCTTGTGGAACAACAAATCCGTCCCAACCTTGATCCCCTCCTCATAAAGCGGCCACAAATCCCCCCAAAACCCTGGAATTCCAAGCTCCCCGACACAATTTCTTTCCCATATCAATCTCCGTCCCATCATCATCCTCTTCCAACTTCCCCATCTCACTACTACAAAAACTCGTCCCCTGCGTCCTCGAATCACTGCTGAAATTACTCAGAAAAGCTGGAGGCATCGTGATCAAATCATGAAAAAATCTATTCCCCAATTCACCCATAAAAAATCTTCTTGCCGTTTTTCCGGAAGGATTTTTACTAGATTTATCGTGGGAGGGACGGCTTCTCTGCCCCCTTGTAGCGTTGGGTTGTAGAAATGGATGGAGGAAGAAGTTCTGCATGTCTACGATTACGAACGCGGTGCGGTTGGGTTTCGATGATGGCTTTTTTTTGGCGGAATCCGAGCATGGGGATTGTTTTGGGGGATGTTGTTGGGTATAATGGGGAGGAAGAACGGGTCAGGTCCCATGTTGTGTTGTCCGGGGATATGGTCCAGAAGTTGTAGTGGTTTCCTAACCGGTTCGGGATTGTGGAGGTATTGTCTACGGTGGCGGTGATTTGGGCCATAGAGTTGGATGTGTCGTAGATCTGGGCGTAGATTGGGGTAAGGAGGGAGATGGAGGCGTTGAGGATGTATTGGCGGAATTTCATTTTGGAGGGGTTGCGGTTGCAACGAGAGCTTCCAGGTGTTGACAGTGTTTATCAGAGATGATGTCTATGTATACTCGCGCCCCTGTGAGCTGCCACGAGGCTGATGCGTGTTCTCCGCACGCATGAGCGATGTAGTCCGATAGGCATTTGGACTTGATCCAATCGCTGATAGTGTTGCTTGAGAGGGAGCTCAAATACCTTTGGCTCTAAATGCATGTCCGGGTTTAAGGTCTTGTTGACAAACATGTTGTGCAGATAGGCCAGTATTATCCCCGCATCCACGCGCCGAAGGCGAGATTGGCATTATTATGCTGAATGACGACTATGATTGCATTCTTCTCGTCGCTGAGTGCAGAAGGCAAAATTGAGCTGTGGTTACTCTAGTCAGGCCTCGGAAAGATGTCTTCTGGAATTAGTCAGCTGTCAATCATATACCCTGGCCTTCTATTGTTTCTTGGGCAAGGTAGTCGCATGAGTCTCGCTTTAGAGGTCGAACTGGCCGTGAATTAGTTAAGCAAGTGTGTAACGGTCTTCGGCTGTACAATGATGGCCTCCGATATGTATACAATATAACACAGGCTATCGCTTCACCCAAGCAGGCATCTTTCTGGCCTTGAGCTTTCCAGGCTTCTTTCTTTCCACACGTCTGGGATCGCGAGTAATAACGCCACCTGTTTGAGATTAGCATTGAATGTATCTATGGCAAGCCACAAGTTGCACTTACCTTGTCGTAGTGCTGGCTTTAGAGCAGGTTCATGCGCAAGCAATGCCTTCGCAACACCCAATGCGATGGCATCTGCTTGGCCTGTGGTTCCACCTCCTTTCGCCAACGCCCATACGTTGTATTTGTCTATTCTCTGGGTCACTTTCAACCCCCAAATCGCCGTTTCTCGGTCGTGTAATCGTCCAAAGTAATCTGTCAAGGATCGTCCGTTGACCATGACCTGGCCGTCCCCTTCCACCACAAATACAACAGCCATGCTAGACTTCCTCTTCCCAACTGCTTTCGCTCGTCCCCATTTATCGATAAGAATAGGCTTCGCTGCGTTGTGGTGTGGCTGGACAAGCTTCTTGAATTTCTCCAATGCCTGCGACACTTCGTCAGGTATCAGGGAAGGATGAATGTAGTTCAATCTCTTTAGTAGTTCCAGTAGCATCTTGTAGCTTTTCGCTCTGATAGGCTCAGCAACTTCAGCTTTGTACTGATCGATCGTTTTCCATGCGACTCTCGGCGCCTCTCCCGGAGGTAGCATGGGAAGCGTTGTATGTCTTCGCAACAACGCCGTCAGCTCTAACAAGTCGTCGGTATATCGCGGCGTGGCTGTAAAGTATGATGGCGATGCTGGTACGATGCGTATCCGTCCCAAGATGGGATGCTGTCGTTGATCCGACCGGTCATTTCCTCCTCTTGCACCTCCTCCGAATCTTCTCTGATTGCCGTCCCCCCTCTCATGACGCGGTCTGCTTTCTGTCACATGCGCTCGCGGCGACCCTCTTGTACTTTGTTGCCTGCTTCCGGACGCGAATTGATCTGGATCGTCGCTGAATTGTATTTGACGTGCTGCTTGGATGTCTCCTTGTGGTTCCACTGTCGCCAGCTGTTTCCTGGTCGAATGAAAATGGCGTCTTTGGCAGGCGCCAATGGCTCGCCGGCAGCCATTGCGCAGTATGTGGCACTCCATAGGTACCTTAGCGATGGAGAGTGCTGCGTGCGTGACAGTCGCTGCACATGTTCAAAGTCCTCTGCAGCGGAAGCAGCGGCAGCTCCCGAGGAAGTTGCAGGGATTTGGCGGGAAATTCTGCGAAGTCTTCTTGGGCTCCAAAGCTGGCGAAAGGACTCATTCTGCTTCTCCCACAACCACCAACAACACCTTCTGCCTCTGCATACAGCCAACGAAGGCGCCTTTGAGAACACAGAATCAGCATACAAATCGACAACATGCCGTTCGGAAAGCTTTACTCCTACGAGGTATGTTACTCCACACTCGAGAAATATTCAGGAGCACACACCTGCCCTGCCCTGCCCTCCCACCAACCAGCTTCCAAGTTGCAATTAGTAGCAGCACAATGTCTGACACCATCTTCTTCAGGGCAACCCGCGCACCACCGCTCTCCTCGCCGTCGCCAAGGCCAACGGTCTCGATCTCGAGTTAGTTCACACTGAGCCAGCAAAGGGTGTCAGCGACGACTACAAGAAGCTCAACAAGCTGGGCAAGATCCCAACTTTCCAGGGCTCTGATGGCTATGTCCTGACGGAGGCCATGGCTATTGCCATCTACCGTGAGTCCCTCGTCTTCTCGCGACATTCATATCCCAAAATCTACCCCACTGCAATGATGATAGATCAATATTTTTCAGTTATCCCTGTCTGAAGACTACTGTTGAGAACGTATTCACACTCTGATTGCAACAACGAATACACTCTGTCCAGCCTGCGAAAAGTTTCAGGGAACAGCAGCTGACAGTCTCGCCGCAGTCACCTCCCAGAACGAGAAGACCACTCTTCTCGGCAAGACCAAGCAGGACTATGCCTCCATCCTCCGATGGATGTCCTTTGCCAACACCGAGCTCCTCCCAAGACTCGCTGCCTGGTTCCGCCCACTCATCGGCCGCGACCCATACAACAAGAAGAGCGTCGACGACGCCCAAAAGGCCACCGCTGCCAACGTCAAGGCCCTTGAAGAGCACCTCACCGTGAACACATACCTCGTCAGCGAGCGCCTCACCCTCGCTGACCTTTTCACCGCCTCCATCGCTTCCCGCGGTTTCGAGTTCTTCTTCGACAAGCAGTGGCGATCGCAGCACCCAGCCGTCACTCGATGGTTCGAGACTGTTGCCAATCAGGACATTTTCAAGGCTGTCGCTGGTGAGCCAAAGTTCATCGAGACCGCCATTCCAAACACCCCACCAAAGAAGGAGAAGGAGGAGAAGCCAAAGGCTGAGAAGCCAAAGCAGGAGCCAAAGAAGAAGGAGGTCGCTGCTGCCGCCGCTGATGAGGAGGAGGATGAGCCAGCACCAGCGCCAAAGCCAAAGCACCCACTTGAGGCGCTTGGCAAGTCGACATTCGTCCTCGATGACTGGTATGTCTTGTGTGACGCATGTTTCCACTCATACTAACAAGCTTTTAGGAAGCGCAAGTACTCCAACGAGGAGACCCGAGAAGTCGCCCTTCCATGGTTCTGGGAGAACTGCAACTTCGAGGAGTACTCCATCTGGCAAGTCGACTACAAGTACAATGACGAGCTTACCATGACCTTCATGACCTCTAACTTGATTGGTGGTTTCTTCACTCGTCTGGAGGCCAGCCGCAAGTACATCTTCGGAGCTGCTTCCGTATATGGCCAGACCAATGACAGCATCGTCAAGGGTGCTTTCGTCATCCGTGGTAACGAGGCCCTCCCAGCTTTCGATGTCGCTCCAGACTACGAGAGCTACGAGTTCACCAAGCTCGACCCAAAGAAGGCCGAGGACCGCGAGTTTGTCGACGACATGTGGGCATGGGACAAGCCAATCACTGTCAGCGGCAAGACCTACGAGTGGGCTGACGGAAAGGTCTTCAAGTAAGCGATACAGAAGCGTGTGCGAGTATCTTTTCTGTTCACCTAGTCGAGCTCCGTCTACGATGGTAGACAGGATGGCGTCTTTAGATAGACGTGATGAGGGATGTTTGCATGACGGAAAAAGTTTCATTGTGCTGTTGGCGGCACGAATTAGCATGACCTGACGACTCATTCAATATTGTCGGCTGTGCTGGAAGTTGCTGATGCATAGCGATACTAATTCAATACAAGATACCACCGTCCATGGGACTATATTCTCGGAGTGATGAGCAATTCCTGTCTTCACCTTTCTCGTACTTTTTGCATATAGTTTTCGACTTGGCTGATTTAATCCAGGCAGTTCCTTCTGCACGATATGGATACGACCGTTCACGCCAACCCACGGAACGTCGCCCATCCACTTACGCCCGCTGCAATCCCTCCAAGCACCCATCGAAAATTATTTACAAATCTCCAATACAGGATCAAATCCTTCATATCCGTCTTCTCAGCCCATTCCCGACTTCTCAGCGTCCCACCATGTTTATGCGCACTTGGCCACCAGATATGCGTATTTTGCATGGGTTTGAAGTCCTTTTCGCTTCTGAGCAGCGTCTCGACCTTCCATTTACATGCTCCATTGATTCCCGGTTCCATGTATAGGAAAGTTATGGGAAGGATGCTGAAAATAAGAGTTGCTGCGAGCAAGTAGAGAGGGTTTGACGTTGAGGTGTAGAGGAAGATGTTGCTGAGGGTTCCCGGGGCTATGAGGGGTGGGACCCAGAGAGGGCCGTATTGATATCCGTGAAGCCACTGTCGGGCCATGGTCTTTTGGTTTGGGGCGTGGGACACGATGGGTTGGACGAAGGTGAAGCTGTCTGAGATTGTGAAGCCTGGAGGTAAGTGTGAGTTCTTCGGTGTTCTTTTGTTTCATTGGGGCTTACATTGTGCTGTCACACCTGCGTAGAGGGTTGGGAAGACTATGCCTATGAAGCGAGCTATTGGAAGGAGAGGGGAGGTCATGTTGGTAAATTGTCTGAATGAAGAGAAGTGAGGATTTGTGGTTTCTGCTTCTGGTCGGTCGTTCGTTTGGAGTGGTGATTGCAGTTTGGTGGAATGTGATTCGGATTGATTGATATGGTTGACAAGCGAGAATCTGCTCCGGTGACGATCAATCAAAGTGTCGTGGGTGGAAGAATGGTCACTTCTTTGATCGGTCAAATGGAGAGTGTGTTGTAGCACAACAAAATCGTAGGGTTCGGGCTGTCAACAAGAAATGTTGCTCGGCTCTGCTATATTTCGACTAAGAAACCTTACAGAGAGATTCAGCTTTGACTTTCAGGTGATGAAATGTATATATGCAGAGCCCGAGTCAGCTCGCGAGAGGCGTTCCGTGGCTGCAGCAGCTGAACTCTGTACCTGCATATGGTCACAGGGTGCCTTCTGTCTAACGGTCTCACATCGTTCCACGTTTATGTGTAATCTTGTGCCTGTGCAAAAGTGCGGTGAGCGGGAGCTTGATGCGATGTCATCCAGTCTCTTCGCAGTCTTGGGTCAGGCTGAATCCCTCGATTGTTTCATATCAACATTTCATTTTGCTAGAATCAATCCCTATTCCTATATGCAGTGAGGGACAGTAGGACACCGCCGGTAGTAATGAAGGTCACTGGCTTTTCCATAGTGTTGTCAAGTCGGTGAAAATTATCGTTCTGCGATAGAAGGTCAATTTATCGTGGAGTATGACTATGGTCTTGTCTTGGGATCGATCAAGGCGTCGTAAATGATCGGATCTTTCGTTGAATGTCTCTGTGATACGTCTCATCTGAAGGGCATGTATGGAATGCTCGCAAGAGATTGATTCTTTGCCGAACGAAAAGATGGCCTGTACTGCATCTGACTCGACTGCTAGTTGTGTACATGCTTTCACAGTTCAACTATGATGTGAAATCAAAAGAAAATTTGACTCTTAAGGTATATCCTATCGTCTGTACGACCTCCTGGACTGCAAAAGAAGCGCGACAACGGCAGGACTCGAACCTACGCCTCCGAAGAGATTTGATATCGAAGAGTATTCGAGTCAAACGCAGTAACCACTTTGCTACGTTGCCGTTGAGTGCAAAGTGAAAATAAAAGAAGTTTATGTAGATGCCAAAACCTAGCTCCGAACACTAACGACGACAAGCAGCCTGGGAGGCCAATTACTTGAGTCGAATTGGCACTGTTCTCAACCCCTTGTCTGGCCATTGATCATCTCTCAGTGTCCTCACTTGAAAATTTGGCCTTTGTGGGAATCAAGCCGAGGTTGGGTTTTGAGCGAAATCAAAGCCATAACGCTGCTCAATCAGCGATATTTCTTGATGACTTCATTGTCCAGATCAACTTGAGCAGCACAGGTCTTTCTATCTGGGTACAAAATGGTTTATGCAGATAAGATCATGATTTGGACCTGACTCAGTGGCATCGAAGCCAAGACTCAGTCCTTTAGGTGGGATGAGCGCCGTAACAGAAATCATTGATCAGTTTCTTCCAATCATCTGCTTCTGTAAATCAGCCAGAACTTCATATGCTTGTTATGTTTTGCATGCAGTGTGTTGCAGAGTTGAGATCATGATGCGAATTCATCGTGGTATACAACGGGAACTTGCCGTTTTGGGAAATGCCGTCCGCCCAAAGCTTCGACCTCCAAAAAGAATAATGATGCATTGAGATTTGCGAAAAGCACCCAAGAGACGGGTAGCTTGCTGCAGAACAGCGACACACACAGTTATGTCGCATCCGCAGCCTCCCCAGCGGCAGCCGTCAGCAATCGAGACAGAACGATACGCAAAGACGCTCCACAATGCCGCGATCGCAACATTAGTTGTTTGCCCAATCCTCGCCCTGCTGCCACCCCGAAAGCTCGACATGTACACGATCGGCCTTGTTGGCTTGACCGGGTACTCTGCCAATTACCTTATTCGCGAATCCAGCGGAAGGTCGATATGGCAACAAATTACCAGACCACAGAGACAGCCTCTTCCCAAAGAAAGCACACCCAGTGCCAGTGTCATCGGAGAACTCCAGAAAGAAGGCAGAAATGATATCGGTTCGGCATACTATGAGCAAGGTAGTTGGAAGGCTCAGCGGCAACGGGAGATCAAAGATGACGTGGAAGAGGGAAAGAGCTTTAGCGATATGATTGTCGATCAGGTGTGGTCGGTATGGAATCAGGGCAAGAAAAATGAAGAGGATGAGGAGACGTGAGAGGAGGTCAGTGGTTCGGCAAGATTTGGAAAACAGCTTCAGCACAATCGATTTCACGAAGTGAGGTTGCTTTCTTCCTCTTTTCGCCATGGAAAAATGCAGTCTTGGACCTGTGGCTTGAAAGAAATCTGCCTGCCAACGATGGAATGTCGCAATCGGATACTATGCCCAGTCGCGCGCATAGCGGAGCCCGCTGAGTAGTCTTCCAAATGCTTTTTGGTCCGTGACCTGCTTTGCCGTAAGGACGCATCGCCTGGCGGTCCTCCAAGACTGTGGTATAACTTTCGCGCTTGCGGAAGTTTTGGATGGGCGTTTTCCGGGGATCAAAGAATAGCACAACCCTTATGGCACACACAACAGCAGAATCAGATGCCGCATTAAGATCACCGGATCGTGCGATCCTGAAAAAGGACTACTCTGAGGATCGAGTCTTTTCTGAAGACCTTTTGACGACTGCCCTATGCCTATCGTGTGCCTCATATCTTACAGCCTGTCCAACGCGCTGAAGTTGCCGCTTGGGAATTTCATGCTCATGGTGTTGTCCAGCGATGCGGGATTTTGGGTCAGGAATCGAGGCATATAGCAAAAAGCCTTTGGGTGTTACAATTGTCGCAAACTTGATTTGCATAGGTAATAAACCTGCCTAAACACATCATCCACGGAGGCAAATCATTCAGGGAGGAAAGACATCTCGCCGAAGTTTCGAGATCGTTATTGGTTGCAAGTGCAGTCTATATCCATCTAATGCTTCCACGCCCCACTTCCAACCCATAGCCTGACAGGCACCGACAGGCTCAGTGCAAATGATCAAGCAGCTCTACCGGTACTACCACCATCACACAGTCTTCATCACACCAGCATCTTCATCCTCAATCTCCTCCATCTGGACGTGTCTCTGCTGCCTCGGACTGACCCCTTCAGACATCTCATCCTCCTTATTCGAACTTTGCGCCTTCCCTTCGCCAATAGCCTGCTGAACCGCATCAAAGATCATCTTCCTCAGCTCTTCCAATGAGACAGGGATCGACACCGTCTGTGGTCTCTTATCAACTCTACTCGGCGTGCTAGCTTGGCTGAGAGCCGGGTCGATCATCGGAGGACTAGCCATGACTGCCTCTGGAACGGGCGTGCACACGCGGGTAGTGGTTGCTGGCGTATACTGCTGCTCGTGCATCATGTTTGCCAGCGGAGGCTGCTGCATGAATGTACGGCAAGGTGGAGAGATGGCGTGAGGGTAATGATTCATGGGTGAGCTTGTTGGAGCATACTGCTGGGCGTGAACCGGTTGTGTTTGGCTACGCTGGACTCCAGGACGGAATCCCGGCTGTGAATGTAGCGCTTGCGGGTGAGGGTGATTTCTGGTCGGCTGACGTGGCGGATACGGTTGACTTCGCTGGCTCTTGCTTCTTGGAAGGCTCTTGAGTGTTCGCGGCTTTGGCTGACCTATTGGCTCACCAAGGTAGTGATCCGAACGCGTAAAGAACACATTCTGGCCCATATCTGCTGGTGGTTCGGAGACTGAGCGCCGATGCATGAAGTGCTGTTCATGCCGGAGTGGAGATGGCTGGTAAGCTGGTGCAGTTGTCTCGATGGAATTGAAGTACGGCGTGCTGGATGCGTCGATGTTCATGGAAGAATAGTTTTCGTAGACATTTGGCGATGGGCTCAGAGTGTCGTTCAGGTTTGAATTCACGGCAGAAGGGTCCTGTGCGAATCCGCCATTGTTCGTTGGTGGAGTAGATGGGTTGCTGAACGTGAGCTGAGGGTCAACAGTATCTCCAGGCAGTGGATTGGAAGCGGCGTTGAATTCTGCGATTGCACCCAACCCGAAATCTGAGTTGTCGTCCTTCGCCCAGCTGCCATCGAGAAACGCATCGGTGAAGGCCGTGTCTACTGTATCGCAGGCCATGATATCCGGATCTGTTGCAGAAAGTCGCTGTACTGCAGTCCGAGATAGCTGCCGTGGTACCAGCTGGCAGGAGGAATGAGGCAGAAAGATATCCACCGGGAGAACAGCAGTTCGCAGCAGCGATGGCAGACTGCCCTTGACCGCCCATTCTTTGTTCCTCCAGAGCCCAGCCAGGTCCAAGCGGTCCTAGTCGGTTTTGACTTGAGACATTGGCCGTCAGATGCATCAGAAGTGCACACTTGCACGCAGGCACCCGTCGGAAGTTGCGCCGGCGGCTTGCATGAACGTGTTTGCTTCGTGAACATCGGGTTCATGGCCATGATGAAGTGAGCCGCTCCAGCCATCACTGGAGGCGCAGGCCTATCATGAGCCCAGCTCTTGTGCATGAACTACTGTTCGCTCTGATACATGCAGATGTTCGCAGGCAAGCGCGACATGCATTACACGCTGCACACTGCACACTGCAACACGCATGCCTTGAGAATCGGCTACCGCCATTCCAGCGCCTCAGGATCCTTGCCACTCCAGCATGATTTTCGAGCCTTTCACTGTTGTTGAGGCCGCGCATCGGTGGCTGGCAGCTCACTTCATACCTAGCACCAAGTGATATCGGCAGCCTCAAGCATAGCAAGGATGAAATCGACAACTCGAGAATGCTGAGAGTGTTCGGCACAAATCAGTTGCACTTTCGAGGAGTCATCTGATTCTGATCGACTTGATGTCGTCTCTATACTCTTTCTCCCGGAGGCTTTGGAATTGCTTGAGCGCTACGCAGCCACCGCGGCTACAGGCTCGGGTGATGCATGAACAGGCTCTTATGATAAGCCCAAAGAGCTGAGCTGTCTGTCTCTAAAGCGACTATAAGCGCAAGGAAGGAAAGAGAAGCACAACAAGACGTGCTTCGATGAAGGGCAGAGAATAGCAGGAATGGAGGAAATGCCGCTCGTCGCGCTCGAGAAGTCTGAGTCGTTTACTTCGGCATAGTCCTCGCTCTGTACTCAGCCCATGAGATTTGCAGAACCTTCCATTCCATTTGACTGCCCGTTCTCGTGTTGCCCAGGTGCTGTGAACATATCACCGCCCCTCTTCCAGTTCTCCAAGAGCACCAAGGTCTCCACTCTCAAATCTTCCGCAATGGCGTCTAATTTTATATCGGCCCTGTCATAGCCGAAAGGATCCTCGAGCTGGGCGCCAATGGCCTCAATGCCATACAGTGTAAATGCGATGAACGACACCATGAGGATAGACCACCACCCCATCTCCTTCACCAACGCAAAAGGCAGCACACAGCAAAATAAAGCACACACTTGCCGCATATGTATGAGGTAAGCAACTGGCAGAGGCGTGAGGTGTATCGTCTCCATGCTGCCATATGCAGCGACCAAAGTGTTGAGCTGCACAGTCATCTGACTGGCCTGCGGTGAATGAAACCAGCCTAGATCGTGGGCGCGCTTGATGTATCCTTCTATTTGGACAGACAACTGAAGCACCAGACCAAGTCCTTGTTCTTCATGTCCTCTGGTCCCAGGCGGCAAAAGCTGGTCGTATTCTGCTTTATAGACACTGACACTTTCCCGGCGAACGCGCTCGACTTCTGTCCTCGGCAAGAGCAGAGGAATGGTCTGTCCCCACTCGGCACGCAGATGGTTTTTGGCTGCGAAGATGAGTGCTAGCAAAAGCCTCACGGTACGCTCCGTGTCGGCACGCTGTGCTGGAGTAGGAGGCGGTCCTCCAGTCTTGTAACTGCAGGCCAAGAAACTTCTCGTCAGATTGCGGATGTTCGTTTCCAGCGTTGTGAAAAGCTGGTTGCCTTGCCAGAACCGGTCGTAGCTGGTGCTATTCCTGAACACAAGCATCAGACCGACAACGATACTGAGGCTCGGTATGGTGGCGGATGGAATGCCAAGATGGCCCTGTAAGCTATAATCGAGATAGCAGATGAGGGCGGTGAAGGCGGCATGGAGCATGACTGGAAGAGCAATATCGGCGTGTATTGCGCCCTTGACAAAGCGGATGACCAGCGGCCATCTTCTGGGTTTCTTCCTCATGCTGTGATAGCTTGGAAACGTTGGAGTGCGGTGATGATGTGGTCTTCGCGGCACACCCAGTCTGGCCTTGCCATTGGTAGGCATATTCTTCGCGATTGGTATCATGCTTGGAGAAAGATTCCCAGTCCAATATTTTCTTTGTCTTTGGTCATCCAATGGCCGAGACGCAGTTTCCCAATGGCGCTGCCTGGACTCGAAGCGTGAAGGAAAGAGCAATCGCGATCGAAACGATAATTGAGACTGTGCGTTCATGGGATCCCAGACCTGCGAACTTCCTGGACCGCCAGGCTGAGCGCCAGCGCATCATATGTATTATCACGTGTGTCCGCGGGTCAAGAAGATACAGCATGGTATATGGATATCGATAAGACTATCGATGGTCGAGGCTATGAGCGTCCCCGATGCGGTCGAGTGGAAATTTATGCAGCCGAGAACTGCCGACAATCATGATCTCGCCCGAAAAAGATTACAGCGGCTCCCATCTCCTCAAGCGAGCGGCTGCTCAGCGGCATGTCTTAGAATAATATCTTCCCTATGAATGGCTGGACGACTGTCTTCATGATCCAGTTCGCTGTCGACATGGCTCCAGTCCTGTTGACGATCCCGCTTTACTCATTGCTTTATCGATCGCAGATGGCCAAGCTGAAAAGTTATTAGATGGTCTTTTTGCTGACCATGTAACTTGGTAGGAAAAGCTCCGTACGACGAACAAGGCATCCAAGGAAAGAAATAGGCAGCAAGGTCGAGCATGACACATACTCTCTTACATCGGTAGCACATGCCCGCTGGCATGTGATGCATCGCTCAAGAAGGCAACATGTTCACTCATTTACATCATGCTTTCGTGATGGACTAGTTTCTGCTCGTGGCAAGCTTCGTCAAACCCATATTACTTCTTTGCACTGAGCTTCGCAATCGTTCCGATATTCCAGCGTACTCAAACCAGAACTTGCAAACAAACACACTATATATACATTGCAAAAATTTGCTGACTAAGCGCCTCTATGGCTCAGTGGTAGAGCATTGCACTTGTATGTTGTAGACAAGATTATGCAAAGGTCCCTCGTTCGATCCGGTATGTTCGGTTTTCAAACGTTTGACGTATAAACTGTTCTAATGAAATCTCTGTAGGGGTGGAGGCAGTCATCGCTCTTCTTTTTTGCATTATCTATGTATGGGCTTGGTCCTCCACCTGCGATCATTGATAGAAGCAAACAAAATAGTCTATTCTGACTGGAACATCTCCTCTTGCTCACTGCTTTGTCGTCGTTACCGACCGGCATTTCATAATTTCATATCAGCATCAACATTATACTTATTATGCTCACAGGTGACTAGTGCGGCCCCATCCTTTTCACGCTTCATCACTGCCCGAAGCATGGCGATCCTCTTTCCAACATGGACAGTCTTTATCAACAGTCAGCCGGACGAATGATCGAAAACGTGGACTCTCAGGCCACTTGCCTCGCACTCCATTAGCAATACCTCGCCAGGCATAGCTGGACGCATAAAAGTGAAGTTGATGGTTCGACAAATGCCCAGCGACTTCCAGAAACCCGGCTTGGCGATAGGATACAGTGCCCAAGTGGTAGCACATTCGAAGAACGCCGTCGTTGCTCCTGCATGGAGAGTGCCCATCGGGTTCAAGAATTCAGGTTGTACTGATGTAGTCAGAATGATTTGGGACTTTCGGTCAAGACTTCTCTATCGTTTACCAGGAAATCGAAATGTCGCCTTTGACAATGTGTCTGAGATCTTCTCCGCTTCGACGATTTCAACGATGTCCAGCCAAGGGAGCAAGAAGTTGCTGCCCTCCATCTTGTCATACTATAGAGTCCGAAGGTAAGCCATTGCCGTTGTATTTCAGCTGATAATGAAAGTGTACCTTTGCTCGAGCCTCGCCTTGCAGTAGCACTCTGGTCATTTCATCTTTTAGCGCCATGGCGAGAACTGTCTCATTGACGAGTCTTAGCAATGGAGTTGAGCATCTTTCGACGTTGTCCGCATTGATGTTCAAGGCGCTGCAGAAATGGGTCCGGCAACGGCAGCCGAGGTCCAAAAGTAGCCGTTGCCGAATATGAATGGCATGTTCTATGCATTCCGCAACCACGGCCATTTAATCGTACATCATTATCAAAGGAAGGAGATGCCAAAAAAGGAAACATGATGAAAATGTTGTCAACGCCGAGCATCCCGGCACCGGGACCTGAGGAAGAGCCAACAGACCTTCACTTCATTACCTGGCAAACTCGTTGGTAAATATGTCCTGCTCTCTGATCTCTTCGGGCCTAGTCAAAAGATTATGATACTTCAACCACTTCAACCACGCCGTCCACTTGGTCGAGTCCATGAAGCCTGGCTTCAGTCCAAGATCGGTGTAGTAATAATTGATGCTCGTCTGGCTCATGAGCAAGAAGTCTTTCGATCGTTGTGGCGTCGTGATATGGTGGAGAATGTCTGCTGTCTCGTGAGGATGCTTCATTGCATGCTCGTATCCCTCTCTAGTGGCCGCAATAAAAGCAGATAAGACCTCGCCGGGCGGACTCTTTGCAGCATTACGAGCGATGACGGGTGAGTAGCCGTAGGGAATGCCATAGTCCTCGAGCAGGAAGTGCTTGGTATCGACATGCTCCATCTGCGCCTCAACACCTTCCCAAGGCACGAATATCCAAGTAGCATCGACACTACCATTTTTGACAGCGTCGAAGAGGCTCAGCTTGCCGTGGTTGCGCTCAACTTGGACTTTCTCGGAGTCTCCTCCATCCTTCTGGATCATCGCTGTGACAATGGCATCTTCGTACTTCGCGTTGTAGCTTCCATATTTCTTTCCATTTCCTAATTCTTTCATGCTGTTCAGCTTCGTGCTTACAATGGCCGACGCGTCCTTTTGCAGAATCGCATAAATGGCTTGTAACTTCATCTTGCCATTTTCGTTGTACGCAATGCAAGACTCAGATGGGCAGATTGCCAGGTCTACCTCTCCGGCTTCCACCCTTTTAGCTGGCGTCTTGGTATACTCAGCATCTGGCGGGAGAAGCTCCACCTCCAGACCATGTTTGTGGCATGGTCCTTTGTCTTTCGCAAGGTACAGACCGCTATGGATAGTGTTCGGCGTCCAGTCAAGAGCGATACGTATCTTCGTTGGCGCCATATTGTCTATAGTCTGTCTTCGATAGTACACAGTCAGCGAGTAAACAGTCTTCTTACCTTTGCCTATACCGTAGAAACTGATTAGCCTGCCCATGGGCTTATTGCTGTATTGTATTAGACACCCTTATATTATTAGGTGGGCCTAGTTGCCAAGGTAGGCTTAGTAACTAGTGAAAACCTTGTTGCGGCACGTATTCGCGTATATAGACCTCGTTGTTAATAGACTACTATATAGCACTATATTCTAGGCTCTTGAAGTGTTGTTGTTATTATCTTAATAGCTCCTACTAATCTATAGGCGGCGGCGAAAGCAGGACCGGCTCTAAGGCTTAATTCTACGCGTATTTCTACTCTAATAGCAAGCTCTTTAAAAAGGCTAAAGAAGCCATTTATACTACGCCTTAAGCAGCAGAATATCTTCGGTTATAATTTAGAAGGCGCGCCGCTAAGCGAGGAGTCGATATCGAAGAAGCCGGTAGTAGATTTCGAAGTGCTCTCGAAGCAGGTCGTAGGTAGCGAGAACGTCGCATTTCCTAGTAGAACAGCGATTAGAACTAGACCTAAAATAAAGGCGTACGCTCACCGCTATACTGCCGCTAAGAAGCGCAGGTTAAGGTGTCGCGACTAGAAGCGTAAGGCGCGCGCGCGTACGGCGGACGACCTTACTAGCAATCTCTAGCAGATAACCTTAGAAGATACAGTCGTAAAGGAAATAATAAAGCGAGTCGCGGCTAGCGAGGTTAATAGAAGTAACGAGTCTATAGACGACGAGGCGCCGCTTCTTAAGGCGCCGATTGATATATATAACGAGTTAACCGAGGAAAGTAATATTAATAGAAGAGAGGTTGCCGCTAAGACTAAAATAGGTATACGGCGGAAGTCCTATATTCGCGAGTTTAAGCTATACGTTGTCAATTATAGGAAGTCTAAGAAAGCGAGGTATCGCATTAAAGGAGGCAAATATAAGGTCGCTCCGGTGTCTATTGCTAAGACTGCAAAGAAGTTCAAATTAGACTGCAAGCAGGTTAGAGAGTAGTATACAAACGAGGACAAGATCCGCGCCTCGAAGTCGAAGAGTCGTTAAACTAGCAATAGCAAGAGATTAGCCCTTTATCCTCAACTCGAGGCAGCGCTCTATAAGGGCATAATATAGGCTCGAGAAGGTGGAATTAGAGTTAATAGAGCATAGATCCTAAGGGCCGCTTAGAAGATATATGCTACGCTATATCCTAAGAAGGTCTACAAGCTCTTCGGTCGTCTACAATATAAGGATTTCAAGTTCTCTAAGGGATAGTTCTTAGGCTATAAACGACGCTAGAATATCTCCCTTCGGCGTAAGACAAAGACCGTATAGAAGGCTCCTAACGAGCTTGTATTGCTTATTATCTCGTAGCTTCAATTCAACCGTCGTAATAGTATCTGCCGCCCTAGTAAGGTTCCGGATCCAACTACGAAGGGTCGATATTCTCCTAGTTAGATTAGCAATATAGATCAATTACTACTACCCTTCGATTTCCGCGCCGAAGAGACCTATAATTACAAGGGCGCTAAAACAGTCCGAGTGAAGGTTGGAAAGAGTAGATAGGATAAGAGACAAGCCACTTTCTAAGGGGAAGTATATAGTAACGGTCTATAGCGTAGAAAGCCTCTTATTGTCTTCCGTAGCAAGCTAACCTACCTAGATACGCCTTATAGAAAGTACGAGAAGAAGTTCTACGACACTAGCGTTCATGTACTATTCTAAGAGAAGGCCTAGGTAGACGAGGATATTATAATAAAGTGGATTGAGAAGAGTTAGAAGTTCTTATACATTCTAGGCCTTAGAGAGACTAAAGATATGCCTCGTTTATTAACGCTAGACGTCTATGCTATATAGAAGACTAAACGAGTGTTGAACCGCTTCCGTAAGCTAAATACGACTACTTCCTTTATTCCTAGTAGCTATACTAGTTATGTCTAGGCACTAGACGTATCCATTAACAAGCTCCTTAAATTATATATTAAAGAGGCCTACGACGACTACATCTTCTACTACCCTAAGAAGATTGACTAGCCTATATATGAGAGGCGCGTTCTTATAACCAAATAGGTAGCAATAGCCTAGCGAAGGATCCACGTTAAGAAGAAGGACCTTATTATTAAGACCTTTAGCAATCTAGGGCTTACCCTACTAACTAATAGCTTAGAAGACGCGAAGATCTAGATTAAAGACTTGCCTAGCATTCAAATTGGTGACTATAGGCGCGTACTAAGTAGCGAGAATATCGCTACGGACGATACGGAAGTCTTAGAAGTCACGTACGAGCATACATTCAACCCTTAAATACCGGACTAACTAATCAAACAAGAAGAAGGCATAGAACTCGGTCCCCTAGACTATATACTAGCATTCTAGCTACCTCCTAAGCTTTAAGAACAGCTTAATAACATACACGTTGACCTTACTGCCGACAGCGATAATAAGGGCCGTGTAAGGGACTGGTTTAAGTCGAATAAGGACGTAGAACATGAGTCGGATATTGAAGATTGAAAGTAGCTTCTTTACGAGCTTAGAGCTAGGATTGGCTTCTACCGATTGCCCTTCTATATACCACTACGCTTTGACTTTTATACATTATAATATAGGACAATCTTGTAGCCCGCAATAAGGCGAGTCACCGCCGCTATCGTCTGTCTTATTTAGACCATTATAGCGTATAGTATATGCTCGTAAAGGTCTATAAAAATCGCGAAGTAAAGCTTCGGTCAAAGTCGGCCGAGCTTCTTCCCCGCAGGCTCGAGAATCTTAGATTTTAATGGTTTACCGCTAGTTTCTTAGCTACTACTTAACCGATTTACTTCGTTCTTTTTTTATATAAAAGCGTATATACTAACGAGAAACCTAACAGATCGATCGAGTAATTACGTAGTGTTACTAGGTATTTGAATAGAATCAAAGATTTTGGAAAGCCGCTAAGACCCCGTACGCCTTAGGCAACAACAACCACCCTATTACATATTCTATTGCTTCGAAAGCGACTAAACTAGCAACAACAACCTCTACGCCTTAATCTTTATCATATGCTGATATATAGTAAGCATATCGCGCACGGCGGCTTTAAGAGACGCTAATTCTTCCTTAATCTAGGTCAATTCCGCCTATATTTGCGCGTTTCTATCGCGCTAAAGCGACGGCGGTAATAGAGTGTCGCGATAGGCGTAGAACGGCACTTCTAGACCCTCCCTTACTCCTCTACGCAGGTGTGCCTTACGAGCCTCTATTTGGTCTATTTCTAGCTGCATACGCTGTGTGTATAGCCTCTACGGAGTCCTTAAACTCGAGGTTTCCGAGCTAGCCGGTAGCGACGACAATGGCTCGATTTTAATGCCTCTAGACGGCTTGGAAGGCGTATGTTCAAACTGACAGTATTAGCAGGCTTCTAACACTCTACCGAGCCTTTACGTACGTCTATTCGCACCGTATTATCCGCTATATCGATCGCTCTACTATATAAGAGGTAGAAAGGAAATGAGGCTAAGAACACCCCTATTTAGAAGCCGGAGAGAGCCGTTTCCGAGTGGGTCTACGTATACTATAAAAACTATGCTTTCTACGCTATAATAAGGACTTCTAATACATTGAAAAACGGCATTATTAGGGTAGGCTTATCAACCACCTAACACTTCGGATACTAATAGGTAGTATTATTACCTAGGCCTATCTATAGGGGTAGGCTATGTTGCTACCCTAGGCTAGCTAATCAGTTTCTACGGTATTAGACTTATTAGGATAGAGGCATTCGCTTTAGATCCCTTAAACGTAAGCTATTGTTGTAAGTTATTGTTATTACAGCTCGAACGAGTCGAAGCTTCGGGAGATTGACGCTTAAGGCTCTTCGACACCGACAATCTTCCGTAGCAGCACCTACTATCTCGTAAATCAGCTCCGGCTATTCATAAATTAACGGACCTAGGGCCGCTCCGGTCTCGGTAAGACTACATTGTTAGTAATCTACACTGTAGAGCATCGCATAGTGACTTCTAATGCCTATGCTAGCTACTTACTAGAATAATAACGTAGGAAAGAAGAATTAAGTAAATAATAGACGTAGAATTCGATACTATAGCTAATCCTAACTGTTCTAGGCATACTACCTGCCTAGCAAATAAGGTTCTACGACCCTCGCATTAACGTATAGTTCCTGCTATACAATCTTAGTATAATCTAGTATACCTACTAGCGCCGTAGGTACTAGTAGAGCCCTCGGAGTAGGCGGAGGTCCTTCCTAAGTAGGTAGATAAGTAGATAAGGGGTTTCTATCGTACTGCCTATGCTTGTAATAGCTAGAGTAGCAGTCTACGTTATCTTTAACGCACTTGCACCTCCTATAGGCCGTTTTGTATATACAGCCCTAGAATAGCGATAGTAAGGTATATATAATAGCGACGGTAAGGTAGAAAACAGCTATCTAGCGGTAGAGGATATAACTAACAAATTTGCCTTAGGCCTCCTCCGCGATCGGACGACTAATTAGCAGCGTAGCTGCCAATCTAGATACCGCGGCTACCGCCCGCGAAAATCTAAGTTGTCTGCTAAGACCGAAATGATTAGCTAAGAAATTTCGCAGAAGTAATATTTAATTAAAGATTGAAGGGAAATTTGACTTACCCCGGATTTCAGCGTAGAACGTTAATCGAAACAAATATTAAAGGGAAATTTGACTTGCCCCGGATTTTAGCGTAGGTATTAGCTAGTGTTAGCTAGCTAGTATTAGCTAGTATTAGCTAGTGTTAGCTAGTATTAGCTCGGACTATTAGCTAGTATTA